ACTCTCCCACCTTCCAGCACTGGTGTCCAACAACTCTAGCATGTCTTCGGCTCTTTCTTGACGAGCCACGGATTCCCCCCTTAATGATAATGCAGGGGAGGTCCGGGTGTGTCAAGGCCCTTCCTTTATTTCGAAAAAATTGAGCCACGGTTAAATTTGGCTCAACAAGCTCCTCCCTGGCTGCCCGGCTTAAACATGGTTCCTCATCAGGCAAAGGAAGTCCATGGCATCTGAGTTTTTCCCAAAAAAACGTAAGCAGGCCTTCTCCCCTACGGCGTGCTTCATTTCCACACAAGGAGTCGAAAAATATCAGTCCCAGCTCTTTCGGAATATAATCAGCCATACTCTGACCTTTCTCCGGAAGAGTGGGATTATATCCTTTAGCAAGGCAAGCTTGCAGATATTCGTCTCTGGTTTCCCCTGGTTTGCGAGGAGGAACAGCAAAGAAATCGCCTAGCGGCATTATCGCAAAATAAATTAGCCTAAATTTATTTAAATTATTAAAAAATATTTTTGTTGAAATGAGAATGAAAAAACATTTTCTGGGGGAAGTAGATAAACAACTTGAGTTGGGCGGAGTTGTGAACATTGGCCCAAACTCTTCTTTTTTGTACGCTTTGCTATTAAAGCAGTGAGCGCTATTTTTTCTACACATATGTGGATTGGCTATTTCTGTGCCCTCTTTTGTAAAAGGAGAGAAAAAATTTATTTTTTCTTTCTTTGACAAAAGTTTAGAGATGGAAATGTGTTGATGGCTTTTGGTGGTGTGCAAAACTAAGTTAAGTGTTTTTGCACATTCTTTTGTATAAGAAAATAAATTTTTTCTTATAAACAAAAGACGAAAAGAGCCAAAAGTTAGTTGAATCAAAGAATGGCTCGACAATTTATTTTTAACGAATGGGTGAGTGGCAAACATTTTAAGTTGGCTTGCCATCTGTTTGGCTTGCTCGTGCCCATTCCAAATTTTCTCTTTTTGTTTTGAGGGTGGGTAGGTCGCGATTTGTGAATAAATGTGAATGGATGGGGGTGGAAGGCTATGATTGCCAAAAATTAATAATGGGCGCAAAGCCCCTTCCCCCTCGACAGCAAAATTGTTTATTAATAAACTTGTGATGAGCAGAGAGCTCATTTTTCTCCAAATTGCGAATTTAAAACGCAGAATACTATAAATTGCAATTATTACTAAAGTGGATATTAGTAATAAATATAATGGAGATGGAAGCGGTAAACTTGTCATTATAAGCGAAATCGGGTGAAATCTTAATGGATTAAAATTCCATGCTGAGGATTTTTCACCTTTACTTGATTGGACAATTCGCTCTTGCCTCCACTGTATTGGAATAAATAAGAGCTGTCCTTTGATGTGTAATTGACTATTTCCTCCTGGGCACTTGACTTGACACTCTGTGTCAATTTTTGATCTATTGTAGGCAAAATGTGCTGCTCCTTCAGTTCCATTAAAGGAACATCGAGCAATAAAATGAATACCATCGTCACATCTGATGTCGGCAAGTGACGACCCAAAATCGGTCGAGCACGAATATTTGATTTGAACTCCTGTTAAACAGCGATAACAGCCACTAACGTCATCTATTGTTATCTGACAAGTGGACTCGGTTATTTCTGTCACTAACTGGAAATTATTCATTTGTAGATTGATCTGTATAGGAGTATATGACTGTTCGACGTATACTTGGTCGTCTTCAGTCAGAAAAGTGTGTCGGCCAATAGTTAGAGGTAATCGTTTTACGGGGTCTGCCAAAATTGCTTCCCCGTCAAATTCTCTACACTGGCATGTAATTGATCCGTCGGGTGTAGGACGGCAATCTTTACAGGTATTTGATGAAATATTGCAGCCAAACCCGGCTGCACTCGGCCTATCTTGACATTTTAGGTCTGTTGGGACTCCGTCTCCTAGAGCAACCGAAAATCCATGAGTAAGGAATGGAGTGCTCAAAACCGGAGCTGGAGGGTTCGTCACTGAAATTGGTGTAAGTGATATGTTGGCCCAATGATGGGTTAATCCCGGATGTAATGTGACTGTCTCCTCTACGATTTGGTCATTAACAGTGAGTTGTAATGTCGTCTTTATGTGAAAATCCCAAGTAGGACACTCGAAAAGTTCAAAAACATCGAGAGTCATAGGGATAGCATACCAACGGTAGAAATAGCAGCTGGCAGTTGGAAATCCGCATCCTTTACTCCATAGAGCGGAGGATTCCAAACAGCCACTGCTCCCGGGCTTGTCCATAACCTCGACTAGTTCGGGTATGTGTGTGTTTGCTCCTACTTGTGAACAGAAGCTACCAGAACATGATCCGCCACTGGGGCATCTCCATACTGATCTGGTACTTATACGGTAGCTTCGCAAATATGTGAGTGTCCTTGGATTGCAATTGAGCGTTAGAGCTTTGAGGGTGAGCATTAATGCTCCCAAAATGTCTCCTCTTTTATCCTTGATTAGAAGAGTGGTTGGTTGCCCTGCTGGTAGTAAGCTCAATGTTGTGGAGCTTAAAATCGTGCAAATTCGAGTACCTTCTCGTACTCGACAATTCTCTGTTTGTGAAATTATCGAAATTGGCTCTCCGATAATCAAATGGGCTAGGAACAAGAGGAGAGCAGGTATTATGCCATATCGTGCTAGTCGAGCAAGACTCGCTTGCCTCATTTCCTTACTCCTCTTTTGAGCTCCTTTCTTGAATTTTCGTGCATTTTCCTTAATGTTTGTTTGATTTTCCTTTAGGAGGTCTCGTCCTTTGCTTAATGCCTTGCTCCCTCTTCTTCTCCCCCATGTATAAAGGGGGCGCGTGAGTCTCCAAATTACTCCTAATGGACGGAGCAGTGTTTGGAGTGATTTGCAGCAACAACTTAGTATAAGAAGGAGAGGAAAACAAATTCCAATTAGAACCAAGGCAGCAGCCATTGGATTACAGGTTGGATTTGTTAGTAAATCAAGGCAGAATGTGCAATCCACTAGTTGACATTGGTGGAATGCTAAACATTTCGTACTAACTTCAAATGGTATTTCTCGGTTTGTGTCCCAAAATTTGGCATGACAGGTATAGTCATTAACCAATATTTCTTTGGGAAGATGATGAATTGTTTCTTCTTGGCCTGGTAGTAATTGGCATCGGTCTAAGCAACAAATTTCAATTTTGCTTATTTTTGGCGGTGAAAGGACATTTACCCCAGCCTTGCTACAATGGACTAAGCATCCATGGCAAGTTGGGCAGCCTTCACATTTAATTGGCGAAGTGAATCCCAATATAGGATTAATTATGATGGTTAAAAGGCAAGCGGCTAAAATTGATTGAATGCCTAATTTTGCCTTTCCTCTCGTGACCATTTTATGTTTTGAAACCAAAGCTGCAGGTTCTTTTGGTTTCTGCTTAAGGCTAGTTGTGGGAGGCTGGTTCTCGATCAACTGATTATCTTGCTCTTGTGGTTCAAGGAGCTCAGGCTCCTCTACCTGCTCCTCCTCAATAGGAGTAAAGCTTTCTACAGGATTACTGACTGGTTGTATGTCTGTTTGTTCTGTCCCTGCTTCGAGTGGGTAAATCTTGTTAACTGGTCGCGTTGTTATTCGACCATTTGGCATTTGGAGCTTAACGCTCCTTATAGGGCCTGGATGACCATTTAGCCCTACAACTCTGGCTAAAAGCCATGCATTTCTTGGTCGCATGATGTCTTCTACTAACACTACTTCTCCCAATTTAGGAGCTGAGTGTGTCTGTAGTCTTGGGCCAGCGTGCTCCCATTTTGAGCGATCACGCAGAATAACAAGATATTCTCTCTTCCATCGTTCCCAGAAGGAATCAAGATTTTCTAAAGTGCTTTTCCACAATGTAAGGAGCTGGTCGTGAGGGAGAACGTGTTTGTCCCTTTTGGTTTTCTTGAACGTGAAATCATAACTGAGTGTTGCTCCAGGCTGGATGAAATCCACTGGGCGTAAAGGAAGAGGAGCTCCTTCCTCATCTGATGTGTGAGTTAACGGTCTCGAATTGAGCGCGGCTTCAACCTCAGCCGTGAACGTTGCGAGTTGATCATATGGGAGTACTTGTCTTCCCATCGTCCTTTTAAAACATGTTTTTGCCATGCCTATGAGCCTCTCATAAATTCCGCCTGCCCAAGGAGAAAGAGCTGGAATGAATTTCCACTCGATTTTGTTCTCTGCTAGGTGGGAGACGAGAGCGGCGCTCAAGGCTTTTTCTGCTAAAACAAAATTACGTCCATTGTCACTAAGTACGCGATCTGGACGTCCACGCCGACTGATGAAACGGCGAAAAACATTGAGAAACGAGGCGGCTGTTAAATCCAATGTAGGCTCAATATAAACTGCTCCTGTCGTGAGGCAAGTAATTAAGACTAGCCAACACTTTACGAGGGAGCCTTGGACTTTAGTGAGTGTCGGACCAGCATAATCCACTCCAATTGACTGGAATGGCAATCTTTGCTGGACTCGGTCTGCTGGAAGTGGTGGCATTGTTGGTAAAGCATATTTGTAGGAGTTCATCCTCCTACAAGCCATACATTCTGATATAACTTTGCGGATAGCTTGGCGAGCTCTTGGCTGCCAATAGTTGTTCAAGAACTCTGTAAGAGTCCAATCTACACCTCCGTGACATGACCGTGTGTGGATGTCTTTCATGATTGATTTCCCAACATCTGAATGTTTTGGGAGTAGGACTGGATGAATCAAACCCTCGGGGCCCTGACTATTCGTCAGGCGAGTTTGAAGACGCATGATCTTATTATTGTCGATTATGTGGCGGTATTTACCGAGTTCCTCGCCACACTCTTTCTGTTCCCATCTTATTAAATATTCTTCAGAAATTTCGTAGTCTCGTGTCGTGGGGACTCCATTGAAAGAAATGGAATCCAATCTGATGGATTGTGCTCTCTTCTTCCCGAGCACTATTTTGATAAACCGAAGGATGTATAACATAACGCGCCTTGCTTTACCCCAGGAACTCACACGTTTCAATAGTTGATGAGTTCCATGAGGGGTCTCTGTAGCCGCAAGGCATATTTGTGTATTAAAGGGATCTTCTTCAGATTCCTCAAATTTATTGAGGTCGTGGTTCGTGAATGATTGGAATGTGATATCCTCAGGCCAATTAGCCTGTGGCTGAATGAGCCAGTCCGGTCCTCTCCACCACCTTAGGTCGGAACGGAGCTCGGTGGGAGTGGCTCCTCTTGTTGCTGTATCTGCCGGATTTTCATCGGTCCTTACATAATGAAAGTGTATATCTTCGTGCTTCTTAATTTCGTTTAGCCTTCTCTGGACGAAGGTTGGTTGATTTTGCGGTGATTTGACCCATGAGAGCGCTATTTGAGAGTCGCTCCATAAATGAACTTGGTCAATTGGTTTCCCTATCTCCTTATTAACGTAAGCCAATGCTCTTACGCCAATAAGTATAGCTATGAGTTCCATTCGTGGTATTGTGAGTGTTTTGCCACCCTTCTTAGGTTTAAGGCGGGTTTTGGCAAAAATAAGGTTAGAGGAGAAATAATTGTTATGCTCCCCTCTTATGAAAATAGCAACAGCATAAGTGCTTATAGAAGCGTCAACAAATGCGTGGATCTGTATCTTATCGTGTGATTGAAGGACTTTCCTTTGTAGACGAATCTCCTGAACTTGCCAACCCTGGAGGAAACTCTCCCAAACGGATTTTTCCTCCAAGGCAAGTGGAGTGTCCCAGTCGTGTTTGTCATCCCATAATTGCTGAAAAAATAACTTTGCGGGCAAAACAGCTGGACACAATAGTCCCAATGGATCGTAGATGCCCGCTAAAGTGCTTAATACTGAACGTCGTGTTGGATTGGGACTGATTTGACTACTCGGCCATTGAAATCCGAGCTCGTCATTTTGTATATCCCACTGCATTCCTAGTACCTTAACCTCTGATTTGTCAAGCCGGTCCTCGACCGGAATAGCAGAAATTGTCTCTGGTGAATTCGAGGTAAATTCTCGCAAGTTCATCTTCGCCTCCGAGAATATCATTTTGGCTTGATTGCACTTCCTAATTAATTCTTCTGGAGAACTTGCTCCTAAATGAAGGTTGTCCACATAAAGGCTACTTGCTAATTCAGTAGCAGTCGTCGTGCCGTATTTCTCTAGATGGTGACGTATTACTCCCGCCAGAAGGTAAGGGGAACAAATAACGCCAAAAGCAACTCTCGCAAAACGATAAACTTGTATGTTATCGGTAGATGGTGGTTTAACCGGGTCCTTCAGCCAAAGGAATTTGGCAACTTCCCGGTCTTCTTCGTGTAGGCCTACCATAAGGAATGCTGCCTCCAAGTCAGCAATAGCCACAAATTTTGGTAGGCGAAATCTGAGCAACAACCCTACTAGTTCTGGTAGGAGCACAGGGCCACGGAGGAGGCAATCATTTAATGAAGGTTGCCCTCTCGGATGTGCACTTGCGTCGAATACTGGTCTCACCTTATGAGTAATAACTGCATGGTGAGCCAAATAATGTTCCTGTCCGGCTGGATTCTTTCGCGCTGGTTCGATTATCCCTCTTCGAAGATAATCAATAATGATTTGATGATATTTGTCTAAAAGGTCGTTTGATCGTGCAAGCGAACTGTAAGTCGAACAAAGTCGACTATAGACCATTCTGTAGTTGCTCGGTGGTGTTATCTTTGGCTCACGCCAGATCCAGCTTACCGTGTAACGCCCTTCGTTATCTCGGGCAATCGAGGACTCTAGCTGTCTAACAGCTATTTGATCATCGTCAGCTCCGGGATCCTCTGTAATCCCTATCCCCTCCAAATTCCAGAATTCTTCTATAATATTGGAAGGAGGCATTTGGTCGATATTAGACTTGCCGATCGCTATCATAGCGTGTGAAGGTCGTCCTCCATATGGACTCATATCAGACTCCCCTCCAACTACTGGACCAAAGGCAGTCTGAATGACATAAATTCCAGGAGCGACTTCAGTCCTCTCCTTGAAGAACTTCCAAAAGTGTCGTGTTCCCAACATAATTCCTGGGACTTCTGATGATATCTTGAGTGCTTGCTGGACTTCTGGGTGATCTAAATCTTGAGTGGGCATTTCTGTCGTCCATTGAACCATCTCAAAAGGAGTACTTATCTCCTTGGTCCAATTTAGTTCGAGCTCTTCCCAACAACCGTCCTCTCTTCTGATTGAGACGGCATATGTTGGTGAGCGGATTCTGATTGGATCTCTCATTGTTCCGCCAAATCCGTGTACTTCGACGTCGTCGATTGATATTTGAGGTGGACGAATTTTGTCCACCAGTTCCTTGGTGATGTAACTTAGCTGACTGCCCGGGTCGAAGAACACATAAGCGAGTGTTCGGCTGTTCTTATCTTTTGGCGATTCGATTGCCAACTTTCGTGTCATTAGGTACGCTGATAACTTTTTGCGTAAGTGAGGAAATGCCATGGCTGTAACTGTTTTTGTTGGATCACTCTCCGAGTCGAGAGAATCCTCTTGTGTTAAATTAGCTCCAGTCAATGGAGTCTCGATCGTAGTTGTCATTTGGGTAAACTGCCTATTCGGCGCAGTGCCCTTCTTGTTTGTCTTGTTAGGTCGTGTTTGGTTCCTCGTTGTCGACGTGGTACAAACAAGAAAACTATGTTTGCCCTGGCAGATACGGCATAACATAGGAAGGTGGCATTCCTTAAATGAGTGGCCCTCGCGCAGACACCTTATACAACGGTGCTGCTCCTTTAACCGATTAAAACGCGATTGTGGTGTCGGATATCTTGGACATTTGCTTGGGAAGTGTGCTCCTTGATGACATAGGGAGCATTCTCTTTGTCCAAACTTCCCAAACGGTCTATTCTTGTGTACGTGAGCCGGAGCAATAAATGTACGCGATTGCTCCTGTACTCCTTGTCGTGGTTGGTAATTTCCTCTTCTAGAAGAAATGTGATTCTCAATCGTCTCAGTTCTTGTTTTGGGCGCTTGTGAGGTTGTACATCGCTGAACCTCTTCCTTGATTTCGACAATGTTGATAAGCTCTTTTCTGAGCTGAGCGCAATTCCAACGAGATTCTGCCCCTCGCTCTTTCTCTACTAGTTTAGAGACAATAGAGCGGGGCAACTTGGACTTGATGGCTGTCGATATAAATGGAGATTGATCGACAATATTGAAAGCTTCCAACTGACGGCAAATTCGTTCAATCGAATCTACGAAAGATCGAATTGAATGGCAGGACTCATTTGGCGGGCTCAGATTCATGAGCTCCGACTCTAGTGATTCAGTGATGGCTCGATTATCGCCATATCGTGATTTGAGCAAATCCAATGCTCTCGTGTAATTCTCGTTGGATAAAATGAATCCCGCAACTAAATCTTTAGCGGGACCTTGGAGGAGGGTGAGTAAATAACTCATTTTCCTAACATTGTCCATTTGGCGTTGGTCGATGTTGATTGAAAATAATTGCCAGAAAGCTGGCCATTTCTTCGGATCTCCATTGAATGGCTCCATTTTGAGCTCTGGTAAACGTGTGTCTGGTAATAAAGGAGTGTCCTTGACCTTGTTTTCTCCAATGCTTTGTTCTTCTTGAGTTCGACTTTGAATGCGTTGTGACTCTCGTGTTCGTTCACTACGCTCACTAGCCTCTGTAATTCTTTCCTCCATTTCCAAAAGGAGGAAGTCTAACTCGCCTATAATTCCTCGGGCCTGTTCTGCGAAGTCCATGAAATGGACCCACACTTGTCCTTCCTGTACATTAGGAGGAAACGTATTGTACAGCTGCTCCTCAGCTTCCAAATCTCCTCCATCCAGGAGATCAATAAATCCTGTCCACTCGTGATCGAGAGTTTCTATTCGCTCAAGTGTGCGAATCAACTGATGTCTTTCAGCCCGGAGGCGTGCCGGGTTTTGTGCTTCTTGTTCATTACCCAAAAGGGTGGTTGCCGCGATAATATGATCCTTGAGGGCTCTCAGAGCTAGCCCAATTTTCCTTCGAATATGTCCTGAAGATGGCATTGTGATAAGCGATTATAATAATCTGCTTAAAAGCGTTGGACTAGCTAATTTAGTCCAAAAACGCAAAAGCTTAAGGAACTTGTGCCTTTAAGCTAAAAAAATAAACTCGCTGAAGACTGACTATCAAAGTCAGAAAATTGATGAAAATATGAGAAGAGAGCACTTTTGGTATATTTTGTGCTAAATTGATGTTTACCGCGACTGGTAAGTGGCAGCACAAAGTTCTCTTCTCAAAAGAGAAAAATAAACGCAGATGTGTGAAAAATGTAAATAAACACTAAAAATGTAAAGTCAGTCGCTCTGACTTAACCGTGTAATTGGCCGACGGGTTGGCCAAAACAAAAGAAATGACTTGCTCACAGAGCGAAAAGTCAGTGTTCTTTAAACTCGTGTTGCCGCGCTCTAAAATGCGCCAATCGTGTGAATGGCCAAAGTTATGGCCAAACAAAAGAAAAGGCTTTCGTGTCCCTTTTCTTCTCAAAAAATGTGCAAAAATGCACCAACTTGTAAACTTGTTGATTGGCCGATGATTTGGCCAAATAAATTCCTTTCTTGTTTTTCGTGTAAAATTGTGCAAAAATGTGCACAACTGATGAAATGTGTTAAGACCTAAGTTTTGGTAAACAAAGGAATGACTTCTTTCAAGAAAAATGTGCAAAATAAGCACAAAAAAATTGCTAGCAAAGAGCAAAGATTGAAATTGTAGAAAAGGGGATGAGCGGGTTTGTTCGCGGAAAAAACTGCGTCCTTCAAGGAGCGTGAATGTATGTCGGTCCGCTTGAGGGATCACGACTTTGCGCACTTTGTTGTGCGGGCTTGTGGGGTAAGGCTGTGAATCGGATAGTTTCCGACTTAAGGATTACTCTCCAGGAGTAATAGATGATGAACTCGTGAACTGCTGACTTGTGAGAAGATAAATGTTGACTTACTCTCCAAGAGTAAGTATTCGTGTGCTGCTGGCTGATGAGCAGATAACGGTTGGCTCTGGTGGCCAAAACCGCGTGTTCAGGATGAGAACACAAAATTTAGCCTAAAAAGGCAGACGTGTTGATTGGCACAATTGCCTGAAGAAACGGGGGCAGTGCGATTGGACTGCGGACCCGTACGGGGCTCCAATTTTTATATGTGCCCAAAAGCCCTTTCGGGTGGACACACAATTTGTACGGCCTCCGGCTATGGGAGGGACGGACGCTTATAAAGGGAGGACAGAGAACTCAAAAGTTCTCTTAAACTTATAAGCGATGATGACGACGACAGCCTACCCAAAATCCCCAAAAATACACACACCAAAGAAGAAAAGATTTATTTAATTAACAAATAAATTTAGCGGTCCGATAACAGCTCGGGATCCGCGGTGTGAATAAATTGGTGATTAAAATATGTGGTGAAAATGCGAACAAATAATTTAAGTTAGTGCTCCGCTCTCCTGCTCCCAGTTGAAGGGAGAAAAGTTGGTTTAATTGATTGGGTTTAAAGGAATTAGAAAATTATAAGATTTTGAGAGAAGTTGGAAATTGAAAGAAGATTGAAAGAAGTGATTTTAGGGACAGCCGAGCGCTAACTTGACAGCCAAAAGTAGGCGTGGTTAAACAAAATAAATTGTGGGCGGTAAATAAAAATAGTACGTAAATATAACAATGCGAGAGGAATGGGAAAATAGTGTAGGGCTTATGCCCTTTTGGGCACAGTAGTATTTTTCTGTTAAAAAGGACTAAAGAAAAAAAATTTAAGGAAATACAGGTAATTTTTAATCATTTAAATATCATCAAATTAATGAGAGAATGTAAAGGAAAGAAAAAGTTAATAAAAAGTTTAAATAACCTACAAACTACCATTTTAAGTAACTAAACAAAGGAGCAGAGGTTTTAAAAAGTTTTCTATTGTTTAGGTAAAAGAAAAGGGATCACCCCAGAGTATCGACACCCAAAGTATCGACACCCAGAGTATCGATTTTTTAAATTTCATAATTAAGCATTCCAATGATCGGGCATGATGTTCTAACATCGGGGAATTGTTTTCGATCGAACTGAGCATAGCGACCGAACAAGAATCTACTTGGAGATCGATCACTCTTCTTTGATTGGACATATTGATCATGATTGATGTTTGATCCATTGTTGGAACAATTTCCCTGTGTTAAAAAGACTTCCCCGTCCTTGGAATACTTAATTATGAAGTTTAAAAAATTCGATACTTTGGGTCATTCGATACTTTGGGTGTCGATACTCTGGGGTGGACTCAAAGAAAATTGATGTTATAATGGACAGACTTCCCTACTGAATTTTAATTTTATTTTCCTTTGGCGATTAGTCACGTTCAATTGTAGACTTAAGCATTTCCAAACGATTTTAATTCTTAAGAAGGAGAATCAAATGATTACTCAAAGGCTATTATTATCTCTTATTCTTTGCTCTGAGAGCTCTTTCGAATGGGGGAGGGGTTTTAGAGGGGTCTTTAGACCCCTAGGGAGGGGGGGGGGGTATAAACCAAACTATTATCACCTTTACTTCTATCATTGATTCAAATATTTTTATTAAATATTCCCAACATTCCCTAATTCTCCCTACAAAACTCCCAAATACTTCCCTCAATCAATCTTTCAAATATTTCTCCTTTGACCTTTCAAATTTTGCCTCTCAACTATATTCTCCCTCAACTCCATCTCTTATTTATGTAAAATTCTTCCTTCATCGAGTCAGTTTTCAACTCCAATATTTATTAGTAGGGTTGTCCAGGATATGACGGAAAATTGGCAAATATGCTCGTATATACCTATATGCACCGAAAAATCCCAAAATATGCACCAAAATATGCAAAATTTCCCACAATATGCACACAATATGAAAATATTTATGCTCGAGAGTAGGGTTGTCAATTCCTGGAAATTCTTCAGATATCCGAAACCGAACCGAAACAAAAAATCCTCGGTTCTTCGGTTCCTCCAGAACCGACAACCATACTCGAGATGGTCGAAATATGCAAATATATGCATTAGGAACCGGGTCCTAAAAGTGTTCAGACCAGAGGTCGGTCGAAATGACGAGGGGACATCGGAAATTTTTTTAAAATTTTGGAAATCGGAATTCCGACTGACCCCTCAGGTTCAGACCCGCGTAAAAATAAAATTTTTTTTAGAAACTATTCAGTTGCATATTTTGGACACCCCTACTATTTATTAGAAAAATGGCTTTAATTGTTCTCTCAATTATAATGAACAGGTTTTGTGATCACTTAATACCTAAATTTTTCAAACGCAAAAAATGTGTTTCAAAGGCAAGTTTAATTTAATTTTTAAAAATCTTTTAAAAATTCGTTTTAGCCGCCAGCCGAACCTTTAATTGAATGTCTTGTTTGTTCTGATAAATTTAAATTTGAAGAAGAAAAAATTATTTATTGCAATTCGAATGCTTGTGATAATGTAGAAGAAGATGGGCCTTCTTCTAGTGGACGTATTTCCCCTCCCAAATTTTCTTTTAAAAAAATCTTTTTAAGAAATCCACCCATTCTGTCATGACTGTATTCTTGGCTTAGCATCGGCAGCTGTAGGAGAAATTCCTTTAGCTAAGGGAGGTATTGGATTGCGTTGTATGATGGGTGGTTGTGACAACCCTATTTTATATTGTTTGGAAATTTTTTGAAAATTTTTAAATTTAAATTTAAAGCTGAGATTTACAAACTTCTTCCTACAACTATACAAAATAAATTGGAGGAGAGAATGTTTGAGGAAAGTATTGGAATGGCTTTACTTGTTAATTTGGAGAGGTGTTTTTATTATTTTTAAATTTAGATTGGGCCTTTTTGGCCTTCCAAAATTCTCGAAATTTTCACATACGGTGCTAGAAAGGGGGAATCCCAGATCTAATTCGATATCTGCCAGCATTGAGCTGCACGGAGAATCTGGAAGCCATATTTCATTTAATCCCTTTTAATCTCTCCAAATCTTGCGATATCCCCTATATCCCTCCAAACTTTTTAGCACTCGCTGACAATTAATAGTTGAGCGGCTCAAAAACTCAATGAGCGGCTCAATCGTATAAAATTAAAATTTTTAAGATGTAAGAACTGCAATTTTGCGATTGAATTGGAAATGGATAAAAAAATAAATAAGGTTTTTGATTGCATCGCCTGTAATGCACAGTTCTGCCGTATATGTGAAAGAGATTGGGATGATGAACATATTGGCTTAAGGTGTGAAGAAATGGATAAAAAAGATAAGAAAGAAAGAGAAATGTAGGTTTTTTTAGGAATGCCTTGTCCGCAAATATTTGCGGACAAAAAAATTTGTCCGCAAAACTTTTGCAGACAAAAGTTGCGGACTTTTTAAAATTAAATTTTCAGTGAAAAGAAATTAAATGAGGCAATCGTTCGAAAATGTCCAAGATGCGGAGTTCAATTCGTAAAAGAAAAAGGATGTAACAGAATGACTTGTCGTTGTGGCATGACCCAATGCTATATCTGTAGAGAACGTGAAATCGAATACAATCATTTTTGCCAGTAAATGAGTTAAAAATTTATGAAAAATATTTTTTAATTTTAAAGACACTTTCGTGATCCAAATAACCCGACTTGCAAAGAATGTAACAAGAAATGCCTTCTTCATGAAGATACAACCAAAAAAGATGAACAATTAATTAAAGAAATTCGTCAAAAGGAAGGGGCGAAGGCTTAAATTCTTTAAAAATAATTTATTTGATTCTAACTTGAATTTTAACTTTTTGAATTTTTAAGGTTGACATAAATATTTGAAATATTTATTTATTGTCCTTATTATACATATTTATAGCTTAAAAAATATAAAATATGAGTGAAGAGACTCGAACCCGCAACACTATTTCAAGCGATTTATCCACTTAACCACAAAACTGCAAAATCGTTTACTCTGCAAATGTCCTCTATTAATACTTCAACTAAACAATTTCTAAACGATATTCTGGTTTTGTATTTCGGCGGTCTTTGAAGTTTGTTATTACGGCGCGCTCTTATTTGTTAGGGAGTTGTAGATATTTAAAGAATACCGGCCTCGTGGGCAAAAGTTTAAATTGATTAGTACCGTTTTCCTTCCATTTCCCTTCTATATTCACATATTTCCCCCTAAATCAATCGTTCAAATATTTCTTCCTTTATTCGATATATTCAAATTGTGCCTGTCAAAGTTTGCCTCATATTCTAATTTATTCTTTATCATCTTCCCGTCTTTCTTTAAGTATACCCTCCTACATTTCTACGTATCATTCTAACAATTTTCCTTCTTTGACTCTTCCAACTCCAATTCATTTTTTCTTATTAAAGATGGCTTCTATTTTTTCTGTCATCAAGAACAAATTTTTTGGCCTGTTTAACGTTGAAGAACCTAAAGCTTCTGACCCCAAGGCAAGCATTTTTTAAGAAAATTTTTAAAAAATTATTTCAGCCAGCTGCTGAAGAACAAATAGTTGAATGTCTTTTTTGTCTTGACAAATTTCCTCCTAGTGACATGATTTATTGTAATTATAATTGTGATAATTTAGAAAATAATCCGTGTTCTAGTAAACTAATTTATGAAATAGAGAAGGCAAAAAAGGGTTAGAAAAGGAGGATATTGTGACTTGTAGTAGTCTAGCTGGAGTTAACGGTTGATAAGTGAAATAAGATTATCCCTTTTCGTGATTTTCAGCCTAGATATGCCGACCAACCCCCATAGTCTTAAAAATGAGCTCGGTCCTCCAATGATTTTTCGATTTTTAAAAGTCTGTAATCCGGTTCTTAAATTTCGGATCGATGCTTTCTGAGCTTTTTCGAATAGAAACTCAACAGACCAAATAGGTCCAAAAACAAGAAACCTAAGTCATAATATCATATATAGTCATAATATAAGTCACAATACCCTAAGACAACAAGAAAAAGTTAATGGTATCCTTTAAAATCTTTTAGCAATCCATCCATTCTGTCATGCCTGTATTCTTGGCCAAGCTACGGCAGCTGTAGAAGAAAGCATCGGTAGCTGTTTTCCTTTAGCTAAGGGAGGTATTGGATTGCATTGTATGATGGGTGGTTGTGACAATCCTATTTTATATTGTTTGGAAATTTTTTATTTTTAAATTAAAAATTTAAATTTAAAGCTGAGATTTATAAACTTCTTCCCAAAAACATACAAAATAAATTAGAAGAAAGAATTTTTGAGGAAAGTGTTGGAATTGAATTACTTGATAATTTGGAACGGTAATACATCCATTTATACGTTAACATCGATGATCGAGATTTTTTAAAGCCTGGTTCCTGGGTTTCGGGTTTGATTTATAGACCTGGGCCGGATCCTGGACCTGTAGTCCAAGAAAAACCTAGGCCCAGGAAAAGCCCAGGAAGGTCAAAAAATGCCTGGGCCTGGACTCTGGGAAAACCCAGATGTTGGAATTGAAAGTAGTCTTGCAAACGAGCTTGGTCCTCCTATGGTTTTTCGATTTTAAACTAACTCGGTTCCTAAATGTCGGGTCGACTTTATCCTCACCTTATTCGCCTAAGCCTTCTGGGCTCTCTCGAATGACACCTCAACCTCCCCCCCCAGGCCTTGGTCACTAATTAACATCCCATTTTTTCTGTTTTAAGATGTAAAAATTGTGATTTTGCCATTCAAATGGAGGTAGACACAAAAATAAATAAAGTTTTTGAATGTGTTGTTTGTGAATCTCAATTCTGCCGTCTTTGTAAAAGAGATTGGGACGAACATTTTGGTATTAGTTGTGAGGAAATGGATGAAAGGGATAAAAGAGGACAATTTATAAATCAAGTTTTTGAGTGCCTTGTGTGTTATGATGAAGTTGAACTTAATCGAGTTGTTTTTTGTAATATTCATGTTAGCGCTACAGGTAAAAATTAGTAGAGTATGTTGGGTGATATTAGGTGACCCAAAAGTAATTGGACAAATTATTTATGATATAGCTCCATTCATATTAAGGCTACTGAAATAAAATAAAGCTTAAACGATGGGGAAATAAATAGGGAACAATATTTAATCTAAAATTTGAGAAGTATCCGCCCTTTGCTTGGATACAAAGTCGAAGGATTGCGGGAACTAGTTCACACCTCCTTTTGGACACTAATAGGGTTGGGGGCCGGTTCGGTTCAAAAAATCGAACCGGGCCTCGAATTTTGGCCCGAAAAAGACTCGAACGGCTTGGTTCGATAAAAATGAGGTTTGAAAAAATGACTCGGACGTCGGCCCGGTTCGAAAAATCCAACCCCAGACACTAATTTTCCTCGGTGAGAGTTCCTCCCATTCCCTAACGAATTCCAACCTTCTTGGGGTTTAGCGCTGACACTGGCCCTTAAAAGATACCACAAGATTAATCCGTCTGATGAAAGTCATTCTATATAAATCTGATCAAAAATTTTTTATTTTTCCATAAAATTTAGAAGATCCTAATACAAAAGCACATGCATTCTGTTCAAATTGTGTTTGTGAACATGCGTCTGCAGCAACCGAGGAAATTCCTATGGCTAAGGGAGGTATTGGATTGCGTTGTATGGCAACTGGTTGTGACAACCCAATTTTATATTGTTTGGATTTTTTAATTTTTTTAATTCAAAATTTAAAGCTGAAATTCGTATGTTTATTTCCGAGGATGTTCAAAAGAAATTGGACGAAAGAATTTTGCAGGAGAGTATTGGAATGGCTTCAATTGATAAATTAGAAAGGTCGTTTTTCTTATATTTTTTGCCGTCCTTCCTCACCATAATTTTTTGTGTGTTTCATCTAACCACGAGCTTTGGGGACGGAGGTGTCGGGTTTCGGGGTTTGCCTGGGCAGAGCCTTCAGGTCGGGGTTTTTGCCTAAAAATTAGTCTGAGGTCGGGTCGGGGTCGAGGTTCTAGCTTATTAAGGACGACTCGGTTGAGTGGAATGAGGTTAATCCCAAAAAGATGAATATGGATCCCTTACTTTTACTTAAATTGGATCATATTGCTCTCTTTAGTTGTGATCATGTTTTTGTTTTTAAGATGCAAGAAATGCAATTTTGCAATTCAAATGGAAGTAGACAAGCAAATAAACAAAATTTTTGATTGTCTCAGTTGTAAGGCAAAGTTTTGTCGTACGTGTGAGAGAGATTGGGATGAGAAACATGTTGGTCTAAGTTGTGAAGAAATGGATAAAAATGATAAGGACAAAAAAGAAAGAGAAATGTATGTTTTTTAAAGGAATGATATTTGTCCGCAAATATTTTGCGGACAAAATTTGCGGACTTTTTAAAATAGATTTCCAGTGAGAAGAAATTAAACGAGGCAATTGTTCGAAAATGTCCAAGATGTGGAATCGGATTCGTTAAAGTGTCTGGATGTAATAAGATGACTTGTCGTTGTGGAATGACTCAATGCTATATTTGTAGAGAAAGTGGTATTCAATATGCCCATTTTTGCCAGTAAAATTTTAGAAAAAATTAAAATATTTTCCTCTTTTAAAGACATACTCGTGACCCAACTATTCCAAATTGTAAGCATTGTAACAGTAAATGTCTCCTTTTTGAAGATGCAAATAAGAGGGATGAACAGTTAATCAAAGAAATTCGTGAAAGAGAAGGGGCGAAAGCTTAGACTTAAAAAAATTTTTAACTTTTCCTTAACAATTTTTCTGTCCAATTTTGAAATTTACAACATTTTCCCCTTAAAAAATATAAAATATCATTAAATAGACTCGAACCCTCAACCCTATTTTAAAAACAATTTTATACTCGTGCCATTTATCCACTTAACCAGACTGCCAATTCGCAAGACTGAAATGCCCTCTTTTATATTTCAAATTTACGCGTTACAGTAATTTCTTTATAAAACATTTTCTTTTTTTCTCTGACTACAATAATATTTCTCTAAACAATTTTGGCTCCCCTACAAAGGATAGATGAATTAAAAGATAGATGCACTAAAGGATAGATACGACCAAAAACTATCAAAGGATAGATGCATCAAAGGATAGATGCGCTAAAGGATAGATACGGCCAAAAGCAATCAAAGGATAGACAGCTGAATAGGTCGTTTGAGTCTGGACAAAAATGTTTAAAAATCTGAATCTTCGCTGGAAAAACGGTTTTTGTGCTGCTACGGAGGGTAGGCCGGGCATGGTCTTCGTTACACGATGGCCGTGCTTCGCTGCGGTCGTGCTCGCTCGCTCGCGGCGACCGTAGCGAAGCAGCGGCCGTCGTTCCGCTCGACATGCCCGGCTTCCTCCGCAGCGGCAAAAACTTTTTTCCGCGAATATACTAAAATAAAAATCAGAACAGAAACATGAAATCAGAACAAAGATCAGAAAAAAACAAACAAAGACCAGGCACTCAACAGTTGGTACTCAACTGGACTCCAAACTTTATCTATGTTTTACCCAATTTTAGACGTGTCTATACTTTAATGGATTTTACCCCTATCTATCCTTTGGCGCATCTATCCTTTGATGCATCTATCCTTTAATCGTTTTTTGCCTTATCTATCCTTTAGCAGCTTTTGGCCGCGTCTATCCTTTGATCGATTTTAGCCGTATCTATCCTTTGATTCATCTATCCTTTGAGCGGGCACGACAATTTTGTTTATTTCTGTTTAGAATAGCGTGTGCGAAACCCTTATTTTTAAAATGTTCTGCTTAAAAAGCTAAAATTTAATTATTTCAAAATTAAAAATAATTAAAAATTGTTATAGATTAATGTGAAAGTAAAAAATTCACGTCCACAAAATAGGTATTCCTTTCATTAATTTTTTTTCTTTTTCATTTAGGCTTGTATATTTAAAGATTGACCTAGTTATTTTTTGCCGCTCCCCTTCTAGGCATATGTGTATTTTTTATCTTTTTTTTATTAAGTACATTTTGAACGTGTCATACCAGAACTCAATCCAGCTTCGGAGTAAAATTTTTAGGGCGGGTTTTTAGGCAAACCAAGCCAATTGGTGCGGAACCAGTTAATATAACTGGCGCGGAAACGTGTCCATAACTAACTGGAAAATGTCTGACCCTTATCAATTTTAATACCAATTTCCTTATGTCGATGAGGGGAATCGTTTAATACTAAATCTGATAAGATTAAGAAATTTTGAAGCGTGTTAAGGCCTCGCGCCGTATTGGGCGTGTCCCTTAAGGCAGATGTCGTCTTAATATTTTTTTATTTTTTAGAAACTTTTAAAAATTAAATTTTATGTTCACTCAAAAAATAGCAACGTTTTTGGTCAATATAAGGAATAAAGTAAAATTTGGAGTTTCCTTTCAATTTTTAATATTTTTATTTTTTTAGTTACACTGGTGGAAAAAAGTATTGATCCCTGGGTATGAAAATTTTTGAAAAGTGATTATTTTGACATTGAAAGTGTAATTGTTTTACTTCTTTTTTCATAATCAAAATTCACAATGTTAAGATACTTTCCACGGAAAAAATTTTTTCTCCTCAAAACGATAGGTAAATTTTTTCAGAAAATTTGAACGACTATATCTTGTAGCAAATTTTATTGGCTTTCAGGCAGGCATAAAAGTGTAACCAATTCCTATATCAAAAAGATAGAAATAATTTTTGAAATAAATTACCCCTATTTCTCGTTGGAATCAAGATGTCTCTATTCCGAAGAAAAGAGTAGATATTGGAACAATCTCTTTATATATTAACTTCTTATGACTAAACATCTTTACTAAAAATTTTGTGGATTTTTTCTTAATGATTAAACCTATTTTGTAAATAGGGATCATTACTTTTTTCCACCCAAAAATAAAGGTATCCATTTAAAGTTGAGAGAAATTCACGAGGTTGGAATTTTTGAAAAAATTTTTTCCGTGGAAAGTATCTTAACATTGTGAATTTTGATTATGAAAAAAGAAGTAAAACAATTACACTTTCAATGTCAAAATAATCACTTTTCAAAAATTTTCATACCCAGGGATCAATACTTTTTTCCACCAGTGTATCTAAAGAAGAATGTATTGAATGTATTGTTTGTTATAATCAAGTGCCGTTAAAGTCAATTATTTATTGTTTTGTGCCTGTTGACAAGAAGGATATTTTAACGAGTGAATTGGCTGTTTTTGATAATTTTGAATTTGAACGAGTTTTGAATGGAAAAATTTGTGAAGAGAAGGAAGTGGATAAAGTTGAAATTGAAGGTAGGGAAGGGATTGGGAAATTGAAAAAAAATAAATTTTTAGAAAAATCTGACCCTCAAATTCACACATTCTGTCACGACTGTATTCTCGGCTTAGCATCGGCAGCTGTAGGAGAAATTCCTTTGGCTAAGGGAGGTATTGGATTGCGTTGTATGATGACTGGGTGTGACAATCCTATTTTATATTGTTTGGAGGATTTTTTTTTAAAAATTTAAAGTTCCTTTTTTAAAGCTGAGATTTACAAACTTCTACCAAAAAAGATACGCAATAAATTAGAAGAACGAATGTTTGAGGAAAGCATTGGAATGGCTTTACCTAATTTAGAAAGGTGTTTATTTTATTCAAGGATTTTATTTTTTTTATTTTTTAAGATGTAAGAAATGCAATTTTGCAATTCAAATGGAAGTAGACAAAAAATTAAATAAAGTTTTTGATTGTCCCGGTTGTAAAGCATAGTTTTGTCGTTTATGTGACAGAGATTGGGACGACAACCATTTTGGTATAAGTTGTCAGGAAGTGGAACAGAAAATTAAAGACTCGAAGAGAATCAAAAAGGAGAGAGAAATGTGAGTTTTTATGATCGTCCGCAAATATTTGCGGACAGTCCGCAAAGTATTTTGCGGACAAAAGTTGCGGACTTTTCAAAATTAAATTTTTAAGTGAGAAGAAAATAAACGAAGCAGTCGTTCGAAAATGTCCAAGATGTGGAGTTCAATTTGTAAAAGAAAAAGGATGCAATCATGTTACTTGCCGTTGTGGTATGACCCAATGTTATTTATGCAGACAAACTGGAATTGAACACGATCATTTTTGCCAGTAAGTAAAGAAAAAACTGGTGGTGTAGTGGTATTGTGTTCACATAAGGTTTTTGGCAGCAGAGTTCGAATCCTTTCGGGGTCAACCAATTTATTTCGGTTCTTTTTTCGATTTTTAACATTAAAAAAGCAAACTCACGCTAATAAACGATAGAAAAAAATTTTTTCATTTAATTTTTTGATTTTTATTTTTTAAGACATTATCGTGATCCAAATAGTCAAACTTGTAATGAATGTAACAAAAAATGTCTTCTCCACGAAGATGCAAACAAGATAGACCAACAAATAATTAAAGAAATTCGTGAAAAAGGAGAGACTTCTGTTCGTTTCACAACTCCAACAAGTCCAAATCGGAAGTCTAATACTGCTTCTAATACAGCACGTCTCACTAATACAGCAGAGTCTGCTACAGCAGATTACACCAACGAACTTGAATTTAGGGATATACTAATGGGTATACTAGTGGGTCTGCTAATAATTCTTCTGTTAATTTGGGGGAAGCTTATATACGATTTGCATTATCGTTGATTTGATAAAATCATTTTTTCAAATTGTTGTCCTAATTAATTTCGTTTTAATTAAATCAGCCCTGAATAAACAAAGGAAAAGAAGAAGAATATTTTTGAAAAGTTCATAAAAAGTAAAATTCATAAAAGAATTCTTTTATAAAAATAAGCAAAAGTACAAAACTAACTTTAAAAAATGAAAAGAAGGAAATATTCTAAAGAAAATTAATTTTTAGAAAGGAGAACCTAAAAATCAAATTCGATTAATAAAAATTTCAATAGTAGCTTTTGGCTCAAAATGTTAAACAAACTGCGAATTCACAATGCCCTCTCTTTTATATTTTCAAATTTGCGCGTTACAGTAATTTCTTTATAAAACAATTTTCGGTACACCTCAATGAAGTCCGCACGATTGAGTCCCCACGATTGAGTCCCGGCACAATTGAGTCCCCACGATTGAGTCCGCACGATTGAGTCCCCCTTGTATATACCTCAATTGAGTCCCCGTGGATTTAATAAGTTAAAATTTCCATATCCGGCATGCGGGATTATTTCAAAAATGTTGTGGGGCGTAGTTAGTTGACAGTATCAGCTTGCAATACATGTTTCCTTACTTCAGCATTGAGATTAAACAAGTTTTTTTAATTTTTTTGAATTTTTAAAAATTTTTTGAAATTTCTAATTTTTTATAAATAAATGTCGGCAAATTGGTTCTGAGATCCTACAGTTGGTGTGCACCCTTGTTATTAGCTTTAATCCCTCCAAATCCTAGGATATTTTTATCTTTTTTTTCATTTTTTCTAAATTTTAGTTCTTCAATTTTCTTTACAAATCTATACGCTTCTCAACATGTCCAAATGGGCACTACGGGTACAACGGCCATCAATGTGGAAGAGCAAAGCTTCAGCGCGGAACATCTGCCGGATAGCATTGATGACTCGCAGCGGGACATCATCGTCGAGAAATATGAGCTAGCCGAAGACGAACCAGTGGGGGCGTCGATTCGCGCCGTGAACTTCATTAAATTGCAAGGGAGACCATCAGTAACGAGGATAATGTAGTGCTGGGAGAGGAAGAAAAAAATCAAGAAATCCATCCAAATTCTTGATATCTACCTTAATACACCGATATCACCCTTAAAAGTTTAAATTTGCATTAAATCCCTCCATATCCACCGATATACAACTTGATCCCTCGATGTCGAATACAAGTCCCCTGATGTTCACTTTAATCTCTAAAAATCCCCCGATATCCCTCTTAATCCTTTTTAATATAATTAAATCCACGGGGACTCAATTGAGGTATATACAAGGGGGACTCAATCGTGCGGACTCAATCGTGCCGGGACTCAATTGTGCCGGGACTCAATCGTGGGGACTCAATCGTGCGGACTCAATCGTGGGGACTCAATCGTGCGGACTCAGTTGAACTGCTCCGACAATTTTGGCTACCCTACAACTCATCCAATCCTTAACTCATCTAACACTTAACTCATCCACACGGCCAAAAATGCTCAACTCATCCAATCCTCAACTCATCTAATGCTTAACTCATCCACACGCCCAAAAACGCTCAACTCATCCAATCCTTGAAATATCGGCCGGTTGAGTCCCTAGCCGGTTGAGTCCCTGGTCAGTTGAGTCTCAACCGGCCCAAGACTCAATCGGTGGTAATCAACCACTCAAACGGCCGGGACTCAACTGACCAGGGACTTAACCGGCTAGAGACTCAACTGGTCATGGACTCAAACGGCCAGGGACTCAACTTGTCATGGACTCAGACGGCCAGAGACTCAAACGGCCAGGGACTCAACTGGTCATGAACTCAGACGGCCAGGGACTCAACTTGTCATGGACTCAGACGGCCAGAGACTCAAACGGCCAGGGACTCAAACGACTGGTACTCAATAGTCTCGTTCCAAAGGATTGGATGAGTTGAGCGTTTTTGGCCGTGTAGATGAGTTAAGTGTTAGATGAGTTGAGGATTGGATGAGTTGAGCGTTTTTGGCCGTGTGGATGAGTTAAGGAATTTTAGCCGTTTAGATGAGTTGAGCATTTTTGGGCGTGTGGATGAGTTAAGGATTAGATGAGTTGAGCGGGCACGACAATTTTTCTTTATTTCTCTGACAATAATCTCTAACAATTTTTGTTTATCGTATCCCCTCAAAAGATAGACGCACTAAAATATAGATACGGCTAAAAGCGATTAAAAGATAGACGCGGCCAAAAGCAGCTAAAAGATAGATAAGGCAAAAATCGATCAAAAGATAGATGCACTAAAATATAGATGCACTAAAAGATAGATAGGGGTAAAATCTATTAAAATATAGACAAGTCTAAAATTGGGCAAAACACAGATAAAGTTTGGGGTCCAGTTGAGTACCAACTGTTGAGTGCCTGATCTTTGTTTGTTTTTTCTGATCTTTGTTCTGATTTCATGTTTCTGTTCTGATTTTTGTTTTATTCGTACTTTAGTATATTCGCGGAAAAAAGTTTTTGCCGCTGCGGAGGAAGCCGGGCATGTCGAGCGGAACGACGGCCGCCGCTTCGCTACGGTCGCCGCGAGCGAAGCGAGCACTATATTTTGGCGAGCCTACCCTCCGTAGCAGCACAAAAACAGTTTTTCCAGCGAGAGATTCAGATGGTTAAATTTTCTGTCCAGACTCAACCGGCCTATTTCGCAGTCTATATTTTAATAGATTTTGGCCTAATCTATCTTTTAGTGCATCTATCTTTTAATGCATCTATATTTTAATAGATTTTGGCCTAATCTATCTTTTAGTGCATCTATCTTTTAATCGATTTTGGCCTAATCTATCTTTTAGTGCATCTATATTTTGGCGAGTCTATCTTTTGTAGGGGAGCTTGTTTATTTCTCTGATTAGAATAGCGTGTGCGAAACCTTTAGTTTTAAAAAGTTCTACTTAAAAATCTAAAATTTAATTATTTTATAGCTTGGTGTGAAAATAAAAAATTCGTAGTCCACAAATATTCTTTTCATTAGCCTTTAAATATTTTTTTTTCTTTTTAGGCTTGTATATTTAATGATTGACCTAGTTATTTTTTGCTGCTCCTCCTCTAGGCATATCTGTATTTTTTTACTAAGCCATAACTTACTGGAAAATTATCAATTTTAGTACCAATCTCCTTATCTCGATGAGAGTAATCGTTTAATACTAAATCTGTTAAGATTAGAAAATCTTGCAGCGAGTTAAGGCTTCGCGCCGTTATGGCCTCGCGCCGTATTGGGCGTGTCCCTTAAGGCAAATGTCGACTTAATATTTTTTTTTATTTTTTAGAAACTTTTAAAAATTAATTTTTATGTTCACCCAAAAAATTGCAACGTTTTTGGTCAATATAAGGAATAAGGTAAAATTTTTGGAGTTTCCTTTAATTTAAAAATATTTTTGATTTTTTAAGTTATCTACGGAAGAATGTATTGAATGTATTGTTTGTTATAATCAAGTTCCGTTAAAGTCAATTATTTGTTGTTTTGTGCCTGTTGAAAGGAAAGATATTTTAACGAGTGAATTGGCTGTTTTTGATAATTTTGAATTTGAACGAGTTATGAATAAAGGGGAGAAGGAAGTGAAACTTGAAGGTAAGGGAGGGGATTGGGAAATTGAAAAAAATAAATTTCCAGAAATATCTGACCCTCAATCACATCCATTCTGTCGTGACTGTATTCTCGGCTTAGCAAAGGCAGCTGTTGGAGAAATTCCTTTAGCTAAGGGGGGTATTGGATTGCGTTGTATGATGACTGGGTGTGACAATCCTATTTTATATTGTTTGGAGATATTTTATTTAAAATTACTTTCTTTTTTAAAGCTGAAATTTACAAACTTCTACCAAAAAAGATACGAAATAAATTAGAAGAAAGAATGTTTGAGGAAAGCATTGGAATGGCTTTGCCTAATTTGGAAAGGTATTTATTCTCTTCTAAGATTTTAATGTTTTTTTTTAATTTTTAAGATGTAAGAAATGCAATTTTGCAATTCAAATGGAAGTAGACAAAAAATTAAATAAAGTTTTTGATTGTCCCGGTTGTAAAGCACAGTTTTGTCGTTTATGTGACAGAGATTGGGACGACAACCATTTTGGTATAAGTTGTCAGGAAGTGGAACAGAAAATTAAAGACTCGAAGAGAATCAAAAAGGAGAGAGAAATGTGAGTTTTTATGATCGTCCGCAAATATTTGCGGACAGTCCGCAAAGTATTTTGCGGACAAAAGTTGCGGACTTTTCAAAATTAAATTTTTAAGTGAGAAGAAAATAAACGAAGCAGTCGTTCGAAAATGTCCAAGATGTGGAGTTCAATTTGTAAAAGAAAAAGGATGCAATCATGTTACTTGCCGTTGTGGTATGACCCAATGTTATTTATGCAGACAAACTGGAATTGAACACGATCATTTTTGCCAGTAAGTAAAGAAAAAACTGGTGGTGTAGTGGTATTGTGTTCACATAAGGTTTTTGGCAGCAGAGTTCGAATCCTTTCGGGGTCAACCAATTTATTTCGGTTCTTTTTTCGATTTTTAACATTAAAAAAGCAAACTCACGCTAATAAACGATAGAAAAAAATTTTTTCATTTAATTTTTTGATTTTTATTTTTTAAGACATTATCGTGATCCAAATAGTCAAACTTGTAATGAATGTAACAAAAAATGTCTTCTCCACGAAGATGCAAACAAGATAGACCAACAAATAATTAAAGAAATTCGTGAAAAAGGAGAGACTTCTGTTCGTTTCACAACTCCAACAAGTCCAAATCGGAAGTCTAATACTGCTTCTAATACAGCACGTCTCACTAATACAGCAGAGTCTGCTACAGCAGATTACACCAACGAACTTGAATTTAGGGATATACTAATGGGTATACTAGTGGGTCTGCTAATAATTCTTCTGTTAATTTGGGGGAAGCTTATATACGATTTGCATTATCGTTGATTTTTTTCAGAAAATTTGAACGACTATATCTTGTAGCAAATTTTATTGGCTTTCAGGCAGGCATAAAAGTGTAACCAATTCCTATATCAAAAAGATAGAAATAATTTTTGAAATAAATTACCCCTATTTCTCGTTGGAATCAAGATGTCTCTATTCCGAAGAAAAGAGTAGATATTGGAACAATCTCTTTATATATTAACTTCTTATGACTAAACATCTTTACTAAAAATTTTGTGGATTTTTTCTTAATGATTAAACCTATTTTGTAAATAGGGATCATTACTTTTTTCCACCCAAAAATAAAGGTATCCATTTAAAGTTGAGAGAAATTCACGAGGTTGGAATTTTTGAAAAAATTTTTTCCGTGGAAAGTATCTTAACATTGTGAATTTTGATTATGAAAAAAGAAGTAAAACAATTACACTTTCAATGTCAAAATAATCACTTTTCAAAAATTTTCATACCCAGGGATCAATACTTTTTTCCACCAGTGTATCTAAAGAAGAATGTATTGAATGTATTGTTTGTTATAATCAAGTGCCGTTAAAGTCAATTATTTATTGTTTTGTGCCTGTTGACAAGAAGGATATTTTAACGAGTGAATTGGCTGTTTTTGATAATTTTGAATTTGAACGAGTTTTGAATGGAAAAATTTGTGAAGAGAAGGAAGTGGATAAAGTTGAAATTGAAGGTAGGGAAGGGATTGGGAAATTGAAAAAAAATAAATTTTTAGAAAAATCTGACCCTCAAATTCACACATTCTGTCACGACTGTATTCTCGGCTTAGCATCGGCAGCTGTAGGAGAAATTCCTTTGGCTAAGGGAGGTATTGGATTGCGTTGTATGATGACTGGGTGTGACAATCCTATTTTATATTGTTTGGAGATATTTTATTTAAAATTACTTTCTTTTTTAAAGCTGAAATTTACAAACTTCTACCAAAAAAGATACGAAATAAATTAGAAGAAAGAATGTTTGAGGAAAGCATTGGAATGGCTTTGCCTAATTTGGAAAGGTATTTATTCTCTTCTAAGATTTTAATGTTTTTTTTTAATTTTTAAGATGTAAGAAATGCAATTTTGCAATTCAAATGGAAGTAGACAAAAAATTAAATAAAGTTTTTGATTGTCCCGGTTGTAAAGCACAGTTTTGTCGTTTATGTGACAGAGATTGGGATGATGACCATTTTGGTATTAGTTGTGAGGAAGTGGAGCAGAAAATTAAAAACTCGAAGAGAATCAAAAAGGAAAGAGAAATGTAGGTTTTTAAAGGAATGGTCCTTGTCCGCAACTTTTGTCCGCAAATATTTTGCGGACAGTCCGCAAATATTTTTTTGCGGACAAAAGTTGCGGACTTTATAAAATTAAAATTTCAGTGAGAAGAAAATGAACGAAGCAGTCGTTCGAAAATGTCCAAGATGTGGAGTTCAATTTGTAAAAGAAAAAGGATGCAATCATGTTACTTGTCGTTGTGGTATGACCCAGTGTTATTTATGCAGACAAACTGGAATTCAACACGATCATTTTTGCCAGTAAGTAAATAAAATTGTAAAATAAATAACCAGCTCTGTAGTGTAGTGGTATCGTTCTTAGTTTTTGACAGCAAGGTTCGAACCCCTCCATGGTAAACCACATTTATTTTTGCTTGTTTTTTTATTTTTAATATTTAAAGAGCAATCTTACACCAAAAATGACGTTAAAAAATTTTTTTCATTCTCTTTTTTCAGACATTTTCGCGACAGATATCAAAAAATCTGTAATCAATGTAACAAAAAATGTCTTCTCTACGAAGACCCAAACAAGATAGACCAACAAATAATTAAAGAAATTCGTGAAAAAGGAGAGACTTCTGTTCGTTTCACAACTCCAACAAGTCCAAATCGGAAGTCTAATGTTGCATCACTTACCACTTCTAATCCAGCTACAACAAACTCAACAAGTCCCGATACAGATGTGACATATATATTAGTGGGTATCACAATTGGTTTAGTAATAGTTAATGTGGTTATTTGGGGATCTAGGTGATCTTCTAGTTTACTGGTCCCGAAAAAAAATTAGGAAAAAGTGCTGTTTCGATATTTTTGAGGGTTACCAGTAGGTAATCGAGTGTGCTGAGTCCGAATCTACTGGTAACCCTCAAAAATATCGAAACAGCACTTTTTCCTAATTTTTTTCTCGGGACCAGTAAACTAGAAGATTACCGGGATCTATTATATACCACCGTTTTCGTTGATTTGATAAACTCGTTTTTTAATTGTTGTTCTATATGCTTTTGTTTAACGCGGCGTTTTTTCGGCTCGGCACGATTTGGCGTCAGCTTTTATTTTTCCGACTTCAGAAACTGTGGCCAGTTAATAGTGCAATCCCAAGCGGAAATAAAATGTTAATAAAAAATGTGTTTAATAAAAATGCAGGTGCAAAGATTATAAATAAAAAATAACGGAGAAGAAAAAAAATTATGCACGATTAAACAAAAGAAAAAGGAATACTTTGACCTTTAATAAAAAGAAAATTTTTAAAAATAAAAAAAATTCTTAGAAACGAATGCACATTAGTACAAAAATGATGTGAAAAAATTCTTAAAAGAACAAACCAGAACAAAAATCAGAATAAAAACACAAAAAAATCTATTCTGGAAAGGTACTTGATAACTGGCGCCCAAACGGACCGCGCCCAGTTATTTGCGCCTTAATGACCCGTTGAATAAATTACCCGCGAAAATTAATGTTTTTAAAAGTGTACTTTTTATTTTCTTTGAATATTTATTTCCCTTTATTTTGACAAACTAGTTTTTAGATTAAAATCCTTTTAACTAAATATAATGTTTGGTCAACGCGAAGTTTATGTTGGTGGTCTTCGAGAAAATATAACAGCTGAACAGGTTAGAAATTAAATTTTAAGTTAATTTCTTTGTTTGTAGTTAGATAATGTTTTCCATAAATTTGGACGGATTCACAGAATTTGGATTTCCTCTTACTCTCCTATTTTTGCTTTTGTGGAGTTTGACGACACTAGACAAGCCGAAAATGCTATTCGGGCGCTTGACGGAACGTTAGTTTTTTTCTCTTGATTTTAGGGGAGGGAAGGGGGGAAGGGAGACTAGTATGGCGTTTGTTAGGCTTTCTCCACTCACCCATACTAGCCGGAAGGAACTATGGTTGATAATGTGGCTGAGAACATCCCCTCTGTTTCTGTCGATACTCAATTTTTCCCAAACCTTCATTCTTTTTTGAAGAGGAATGTTTTAAATACGGAGGGGATTATTAACTTTAATTTTCCTTTTTTTAATTTTAGCTATATCTGCGGATCTAGAGCACGTGTGGAAATGGCACGTAAAAGATGGCGTGGTGGACGTGGCTTTCGAAGCAGTGCCAGTTACCGGGATCGATCTCGATCTCATGACAGGGAACACTACAGGTTTTGTTTTTATTTATCATTTTTGAACACCCATTTTAGAACTGTGCGCAAAGTTCCAGAAGAAGGAAGAGGTCGTGGTGAAGGCGGGGGTTCCCGTACTGACGATGAAGGTGTGGAAAGAAATGTTAAAGAGCAGGATCGGTCTAATGACAATGACGCACGCTACAGGTTTTAGTTTTATCTATCATTTTTTCGATTTTCCATTTTAGTCGTAATAGACTCGACAATGTATTTAGTCCCAAAAGACTCGACAATGCAGATGATGATGAAGAAATCGGACTCGAGGATGACTCTTATTATTCTCCCGTAACTCCTCCCAAGGAGAAAGATCGGTCTAATGATAATCGCAAACGTGCAAGGTATAATCTGATACTAGGGTAGCACCCCGAGCCTTCGGGGTCGGGGATCGGGGTTTGTCGGGGAGGGCATGTTGGAGTTCGGGTCGGGGTTTTTGCCAAAAAATAGGTAGTCGTGATTGGGTGCTACTCTACTTTATACTTTTGACCAATAAGCAAATTTTAAGTGACACCAAAACCACTCCTCAATCATCTAAACAATTTATTTCTCAACTTTTTGAATGCCTTGTTTGTTATGACAAAGTTAAGCTCAATAATGTTGTTTTTTGCAATATTCCTGTGAGTGCTACAGGTAAAAGAAAATTTTTAAAATTATTAATGGACTTGAATTCTTAATCTAAATTTTCCCTAATTTCAGAAGATTCTGATCCAGAAGCACATACATTTTGTTTAACTTGTGTTTCTGGGCATGCTTCAGCAGCAGTTGGGGAAATTCCCATGGCCAAGGGAGGTATTGGATTGCGTTGTATGGCAACTGGTTGTGACAATCCAATTTTATATTGTTTGGATTTTTTAAATTTTTTTAAATTTAAATATTTTCGAAGCTGAAATCCGTATGGTTCTTTCCGAGGATGTTCAAAAGAAATTGGACGAAAGAATTCTTCAAGAAAGTATCGGAATGGCTTCAATTGATAAATTAGAAAGGTTTTTTTGAATTTTTTTTTTTAAATTTTTTTTAATTTTTTGAAGATGTAAAAATTGTAATTTTGCAATGCAAATGGAAGTGGACAAGAAAATAAATAAAGTTTTTGATTGTCTTGGATGTGGGGCCAAAATGTGTCGAATTTGTGAAAGAAATTGGGATGACGAACATTTTGGTATAAGCTGTGAGGAATTGGATGCAAAATACAAGGACAAGAAGAACAAAAAAGAACGAGAAATGTATGTGAAGGTTTATTTAAAAATTGGGGTTTTATTAGTCCGCAACTTTTGTCCGCAAGTGAGAGTTTGTGGTATTTTTGAAGGCCCCTCTCTTTTTCTTCCCAATTTCCGTTTATTTTACAATTGACAGACTAAATCAATCGAAATTTTCAAGTATTGATTTAGTTGGAATTGTTATAATACATAAGGAAATAGGGGGAAAGGAGAAGTGTGGTTATAAAGTTCAAAATTAATTATATTGAGTGGTCTTTAGAAATCGGATCGAGACGAAAACTCAAACAAAAATCTCGATACCTATACAAACTTCCCAATCTGTGTTCTAGTATGACTTTTTTCAGCAAGAAATTCCCAGTTAAGAAGCGGACTTAGGTGTTCAAAATTGCGGATAAATTAAAATAATTTAACCAAAAATTGATTTTAATTAAAAAAATATTTTTTCAGTGAAAAACAATTAAATGAAATAATTGTTCGAAAATGTTCAAGATGTGGAATTCAATTTATAAAAGAAAAGGGATGCAATAAAATGACTTGTCGTTGTGGGATGACCCAATGTTATTTATGCAGGGAAATTGATATTAAAGATACACATTTTTGCCAGTTAGTTTATTTTTAATTTTAAATTATTTAATTAAAAGTAGGGAAAGGGACAAGAGAGAAAAAAAATTTTGATTTTATTTTTGAATTTTTGAACAAATTTCCTTTTAATTCGTAAGAAATGGGAAACTATTTCTTCTCTAAAAAATTTTTTGAGAGAGAAGTTAGTCAGTTTAAAAAAGAACATGATTAGGATTTGCGGATCCTGGAAAATCCTCGGATATCCGAATTCAAAATTGTCGTGTATCCGTATTTTTCCATCAATCATGACAGGCCCGAAAAAATGCTGGTTACGAGCCTGAGCCATGACACCATTTTGCCTCAATATTAATTTAACAGAATTAAGTAAGGGTGTCAGATTGTCTCCTTTTTTAAGTTTAAGCTCCTCTATTTATGTAAAAAAATTTTTAATAATTTTAATTGGGATTTTAATCAATAATTTTTTAAAGACATTTTCGCGATCCAAATAAGAAGATATGTAAACAATGTGATAAAAAATGTCTTTTTCACGAAAACTCGGAAAAAATAGATGAAAAATTAATTAAAGAAATTAAAGAAAAAGAAGGAAAAGAGGAAAATAAATAATTGTGGAATTTTTAAAAAGTTTTTATATGAAAAATACCTAAATAAATTTCTAATTTTAAGAAAAAATTTTTTGAAAATTTTTCAAAAAATTTTTCAAAAAAATTTTTTTTTTAATTTTAATTTTTTGTAATTTTTATGAATAAAAAATAATTTATTTTTAAAAATAAAATTTAACAAAGTTTCCATTTTATTTTCAAAAAATATTTTTTAACAAAAAAATAAACTAAAAAAATTAATTGTGGACAATTAAAAATTCCAAAAGAAATCCAAAAATGATTAAATGGATGTTCATCTACCACAAATTTTAATAAAATCAGACAGGCAAAAGTATGGGAAATTAAAGAAAAAAAATTAAATTGAATAGGAAGAATTAATTTTAAAATAAAAAAAGTTTCAATTAATAAAGAAAAGAGGGAAATTGAGAGGATTATAACTAGCCAAGTGTCGCTGTCAGCAAAAATTAATTTGTCGACTTCTCCGGGGGGAAAGGAAGATAAAATGTGTTTTTCCTGAAATTTTAAAGAGAAAAAATATTTTTTTATTTGAAAAAAATTATTTTTGTGAGTAACTTACTCTGTCAAAAAATATACAAAAAAGAGAACATCCATGGGCTGCTATTGTGACAATATAGCTACCTTCCATTTTTCGAGAAATAAAATTTTTAAAAAATTAATAAGAGAATAGATTGTTATTTTTGTGATTTAGAAAGTTCACCTAATCTCTATGTGTGTTTTCTTTCAAGAAAATCTTCCCAGATATTGCCATGGAAACGGCATTTTCTTAAAAGTGTACTTAATTAAATTTTCAAATTGGCGCACTACAGTATACTTCGCTTCAAAAATTTTCTCTGTTTCTCTATTTTTAGAGAGTGTGGAAACTGAAAATTTCTATTTAAGCGTTATTGATTTTTGTTTACGAGCGGTATTTGTCCTTCAGGCTTTTTTGAAAGCATTTCCTCTGTTTTGTGTTTATTACGAATTACTAGATGACTAATTCCTCTAAAAATTTTTAATTTTTAGAGTTTGCTTTATCTTTTAAATCGAAAATTCGTTAATAAAATGTCTGGTCGTCGTGGAAACTTGATAGAAGGAAAAGTTTATGTGGGAGGCCTGCCTGAAGATGCTACATCTGAAGAGGTTTTTTAAACAATTTGTTTATAGCTTCATTTACTCATTTTTATAGTTGGATGATGCTTTCCACAAATTTGGTCGAATCCGCAAAATTTGGGTAGCTCGTCGTCCACCAGGCTTTGCTTTTGTAGAATTCGATGACGGTCGAGATGCTGAGGATGCAGTACATGCTTTGGATGGATCGTTAGCTTTTTTATTCTTTCTAATTAAACTAAATCCTCTCAAATTTAGACGACTCTGCGGCGTTAAAGTTCGTGTAGAACTTGCGGTTGGTGGACGAGGAGGTGGAGGACGTGGTGGCCGCGGGGGTGGTGGTGGAGGCTTCCGTAATAATGATTACCGTGGTGGTGGAGGAGGCGGCGGCGGCGGGAGTCGATACCGTGATCGATCTTATGATCGTCGAGAGCGTTCAAGGTTAACATTTTAATTTAGAAACTTGGAAGTTTTTTGGAAACCGTTAATGGCTGCCGCCACATTTTTCTGACATGGGCCACGATTCTCTTGTTTTGGCGGCAGTCTTTTTATATACTTTTTATTCTTTATTTCTCTATCTAATTTACGAGTGCTGTTTTCAGCTTTACAAAAAACTCCCAATCTTCTCAACTAACTCTTCTCTCCACACTTCCCTTCATGTTCTTCTTTATTCAAATCATTCTTCACTACCTCACATTCTGCACCCAAAAAATAAACAAATCGCCTCAACGGTTTACATGCGCCGGATAAAAACACAAAAACGGCTAAAAACAAAAATAATACAATTTTTGTTTCTGCCCTATAAGAACCTCCCATTCTGCAACTTTTTCTTGTGTTTGTGTCTTCTTCGCACGCTCCTCTTCCCAAGCTACTAACCCTGCTCAACTAAAATTTCTTTACTTCAACTTAATATGTAGATCTCGTTCTCCATATGAACGTCGTGGTGGCGGCGGTGGTGGTGGAGGAGGTGGTGGTGGACGTTCGCATTCGCGATCTCGTTCCCGTTCACGTTAATTTGGCTGTTTATGGATGATGGTGTGCGATTTTTGAAGGTTTTCTTTGAAATTTTTTTGAAAATTTTAAATTTGTTAACTTTTCAGTTTGGACACATTTGGCTGATTGTGAGAAAAGAAATACGTGAGGGGTTGTTTTATTTGGATTTTATGTCTATATCTTAAACCCCATGAATCAGAGCTGTTTCGAAATTCAAATTTTCTGAGTTATTTCGGTTTAGACTTTTTAGTTATTTGCAAAACTGAAAGGTCTGCTTTAAAGAGGCTACCTACGCACTAAATTAGATCCAAAGATTTTGTTTGATCCTGGTTCTGGTTTTACGTGGATTTTACGTGATCCACAAGCCTTGCTCCTAACTCTTGATTTTCGACTTACAATTAAAAAAAAGATTTCATTTCGAAACAGCTCTCCTGACACATCTTTATGTAAAAAAGGAATTCTTGAATTTTTTGGTTTTATTTTTGTTCTTGAAGTTATTTTAAAGAAATCCTTTTTCAACTAGTGTTCAACCAATATATATTTTCTTGGCATATTCATGTTTTTGTAATTCATCTTAAATAAATATTTTTTTTAAATTGAATTTTGATATTTTATGAATGGATTTCCATTGGTTTATTTGTCTGTTTACAACTTTAATTTTGAAATTTGATTTTTAGAAAATTTTTAAACTAAAAAAGTTAAAAAGTTTCAAAAATGACAAAGAAGCGCCGCAATAATGGAAGAAACAAAAATGGCCGTGGACATGTGAAGCCTATTCGTTGTACCAACTGTGGACGTTCCTGCCCAAAGGACAAGGCTATCAAGAAGTTTGTTGTTCGCAACATCGTAGAGGCTGCTGCTGTTCGGGATATTACTGATGCTTCTGTCTATGATCGTTAGTTTTTTTAATTTTGAATTTGGATATAAAGTAGAATCCGCTATAAGATACCCTTTGGGACTGAAAAATATATAGTGGGGTTACCTTAAATTGGAGGTTCTACGAAAAGCTAGTAAAATTTTTGCCAGCCAACTTAAAAATCGTATAGATATGGGCGTCGTATAGTGTTGTCCATCTTGTCCCACTCATCTTTCTTGACCTGAATTTTTCAATGGCTCCACTGAAGCCGGTTTAAACTAATCAGGTTTTTTGGGAAGTGGATGGTTTTTAAAACTTAAGACTTTTAATTTTTGTATTCTTAAAACGTTAAACTTGAATACTAATAAAATAATCTTTCAGAATACGCTCTGCCAAAATTGTACCACAAATTGCATTATTGTGTTTCGTGTGCAATTCACAGCAAAGTCGTTCGTAATCGTTCTCGTGAGGCTCGCAAGGATAGAAATCCTCCGCCTCGATTTGGACAACGTTCTGCAGCTGATCGTGCACCGCGTCCAGGAGCACAGGGAGGTGGAACTGGAGGTTATTTTTTAATTTTAGAAATTTGTAAAAAGAATTAATTTTAAGGTCAAGGAACTGGTGGACCAGTTGTGCCAGCACTTCGTAATGCCTGATTGACGTTTGGTGCTGTTTTGATTTTTTTTGAAGTGGATGTTTATGTTTGTTGCTATCTATTATCTATTATTGTTGTTTAATAAAATCTTCGGTTTTGTTGATTTTTAGTTTTTAATGTTCTAGGATTTAAGATCGTTGTTTAAATATTAATTAGGGAAATTTTATAAAATTAAAGTCAATGAGAATTAAGATGAATCTATTCGATTTGTTTCAAATTATCTAGAATCCGTTAGGACGTCCCAAAAAATTTTATGCTATTCTTCGAAAATATCAGAAAATTAGAAATAAGAGCTTAAATGAAAGAAGCACTTCGAAAAGTTCTCTAGTAAAATTTTTGCCAGCCAACAAAAATTCAACAAAAACAAAATTTAAGGGGGGAATTGGAAGGATTTCATTTACTCCCTAAAGACTTGCAAATCCAAATCCAAGATTATTCCCTCTACGCTAATGACAACTTAGTAAAGGTAGAGGATGACTGGCCTCCTATTTTGGCAAAATTAAAAATGAATAAAAAAATTAATTAAAAATTTTTAAACAAAAATTATAATTTGAGCAATCAATTTAAAAAAATATAAGTCAAAAATGAGGTCTGAAAAATTAAATAAAAAATAAATATAAAATTAAAAAAGTCGTCTTCTTATCAATAAAAATTAAGATGAACATCTTTTCCAATATTAAATTTTTCCTTATTTTCTTCAAATAATTCTTTTAGTCCATCACAGTAATTTTTATGAAGTCCAAGAATTTCTTCTTTTGAAGGGTAGGGAATTCTTTCAACTTTTATTGGTTTGCCTACAATTGTTGTTATTGGTCTTCTTCGAGGTAATAAAGGAAATAAGGAATGGCCGAAAAATATTGGTGGACAGAAACCACAGAATTTTTTGATTAAACTCTGAAAAAATTTTTTTTTGAAATTTTTGGAAAAAAATTTTTTAAATTAACAAACCTGTATTTTTCTAATTTGGGAACCTCTAGGGTGTGTATATTGCTCATAAACGTCATTCTCTCCAAAACTGTAGGATGGCACTAATGAGGCTCTAAAATGAAAAGATTTTGATAGGTTGTTGAGGGATATAATGTTGAGGGATTTTTGCGGACAGAATTTGCGGACATGGATTTTTGCGGACAGAATTTGCGGACAGGGATTTTTGCGGACAGAATTTGCGGACAGGGATTTTTGCGGACAGAATTTGCGGACAGGGATTTTTGCGGACAGAATTTGCGGACAGGGATTTTTGCGGACAGAATTTGCGGACAGGGATTTTTGCGGACAGAATTTGCGGACAAACTCAAACCCGATCCGCGAAATTTTTCGAAAACTCTATCCGAAACCCTGCCCAATCTAGTTCCTCTATCCACACCCCTCTCTCTATTGTACCCAAAAAATACCCAATAAAATAAATACCCAGTCTCAAGAGCAATTCTGCAAAATCCAAGTCTCCTCATCAAATTCAAATCTGTACTTCCCGGCTTTGAATCCAAAACTTCCTCAGCCCCGCCAATAACAATTCCAGCAAGTGCTCCCCCTTTTGGATTATTTAGAACAAAACGAAGACTTTTTGCCGAAGACTCTACACCTCCTTGAAAAAATAAATTTTTAAAAATTAATTTTTCAAAAAAAAATAGAAAATTTAAACCTAATCCAATCCCAATTTCTCGTCTAAAAGGAAACCAAAATTGTCCATTCAAAGTAAGTAAATTTGGTTTTAAACCAGGAAATTTTTCAGAGAAGCCAGTCGATGAAGTACACAAATGAGTGAATGCACCAATACTGAAGAGTCCGTGGGGGTGGCATCTGAAAGAAATTTTTGAATAAAAAATATTTTGGTCAGAAAATCTTCAAAATAGCTATTAAGAGAACAAAAAGCGATTAAAATGCCTTATTTTCACTCTTTAAATTTCAATTCTTCACTAAAATTGAAATGTGCGCCATAGCATATTTTATGCTGAAAACGCCAATTTTGGCGTTTTCATTTACCACAAAATTATTTTGGCGCACACCAAAGAACAAAGCCCAATAAAATAAAGGAGTACCCCGTCTCAAGAGGAATTTCTGCAAAATCCAAGCTTATAAATTTTCATTATAAGCTACGACCGTGGGGGTGGCATTTTTCAGCCTCAAGGGTGTAGGCAAAAATGAAAGTAGAAAAACAAACAAACCCCATAATGTAATTTCTGTCAGCTGGAAGGTCAGTCGTCTTAATCAATTTTATAGGAAAATAAGCAGCAAAATGGTTCCATATTGAGGAGTTTTTGTACCAGGACTTGAAAAAATAATTGAAAAATTTTTAAGAAATTTTTAAGTTACCCAATTCCGAGAACCTCTAGCCGGAGTTTCCAAATCATACAAAAACCACAAAGCATAAACACAAACTGTCCACCAATAACGAGTAAAAAATAAAAGATAAATAGGCAACCAAATAGTAATGATTGGAAATATTATCCATAAAAACCTGAAAAAAATTAAAAAAAATTTTTTTCGATAGAGAAAAAAAATAAAACACTGAAGACCAAGAATTTTTTTAGGAAATTTTTCAAAGTTAAACCAATTAAAAATATTTTTTTAATTTTGAATATCAACTAGGGTTGTTGGCGGTCGGTTAACCGAACCGAAACCGAAACCGAAAACCGGTGTTTTTGGCCAATAAACCGAAACCGAAAACCGGGGGTCAAAAACCGGCGAAAACCGAAAACCGATGGGCTAAACCGACCGGTTTCGGTTTATAAAATACACCCCTAAAGATGGAATTTTTTGGGAATTTTTTGGTCATTTGAATTCCCAAAACACACTTCGCGAAAATAATTTTCCTAATTTCTGCTTCAATAAATAAGTTTTTTCACTTTTATGCACAACATTGTGTGTGGTTGAGTGGTTTCTTGATGGGGTCACTTAATTTCTTTCTGATATGGGGTTGGGTTCGAGTCCAAAGGTGTAAAGTTGGCTTATTTTCTTGTTACTTCCAAAAACTACTAAGCTTAAACTTAAGTACATATTTTATACTCGAAATTTATTTTTAATATTAGAAAAACGAAAAAACAAGTCAAAATTTCCACGAAGTCCTATAATTCTAAAAATTTTCGCCTGCGGCGCAGAAAATGGAAGAAATCTGGCTCCTTGACCTTTGAAAATTCTCAAAATTTTCGCCTGCGGCGCAGAAAATGGAAGAAATCTGGCTCCTTGACCTTTGAAAATTCTCAAAATTTTCGCCTGCGGCGCAGAAAATGGAAGAAATCTGGCTCCTTGACCTATGAAAATTTTCAAAATTTTCGCCTGCGGCGCAGAGAGATTTGCAAGGATATCGGAAAAAGCTAAGCCTGTGTGACCTCTTTTTTCTTATTTTTCTTACATCCCAAAACTGTATTTTTACATCCCAGCACTGTATTTTTCTATTTGCCTTAGGCAATAGATGAATCCCCCTCCGAATCCCTCAACTTAAATAATTCACTCAAATCTCCGATATCTTCGAATCTTCATATATAACCCGTGCTGTGTATGCACCGCGAGCTGGCACCGTAGCCCGACTCCGGCGGAGCCGGAGCCAAGATTTCAAAAGCTCGGAGCCGGAGTCAATTAATGGCCAATACCCAGCACTGTATTTTCACTTGCAGCCCTGAATAATAAAATTTTCGTTGGCTGATCTTTAGAATATTTCATTAAAGCATAATAATGGGATAAAATACTAATTGAATATTCTGTATGGCAAATTCAGGCATAAACCGGTTTCGGTTAACCAAAAACCGGGGGTCAATCAAAAACCGAAACCGAAAACCGGGGGTCGTAAACCGGCCAAAACCGAAAACCGAGGGTACCGGTTTTTAACCGGTCGCCAACAACCCTAATATCAACCCATTAAATAATCATTGTCATCACAGTTTTGAATCGAAAAAAAAATTTTGTCAAAAAAAAACTTTGCGGACAAAATTTGCGGACTATCTTTATTTAATTTTTCTCATCCTCAAAATTTAACGTTTAATCTAGAAAATACAAAAGAATTATCTTTTCTTCTTCAAACTTTTACCTTTAAAGCAGATCAGAGGCGTCGGAAATCGGAACTGGCTCAAAAGTCGGAACTCGGAAATAAAAATTTTTCCGGAAATCGGAGGCGGAATTCCAACCTACCTCTACTTTCGTTTCTAAATGACACCGAAAGTTTTACTTTAAATCCTTCCTTAAACCTTCAATATAAAGTTAAGAATCCCGCTAGTCCTCCCAATAGTTTTTAAAAAATTTTTTAAAAAAATAAACTTACATATGATGATAGACTGCAATAAATTGTAAAATTAAATTAACAATATAAGCCAATTTAGTTGACATTTTTTAAAATTAATTTTTAAAAAGGCACAAGTAAATAAATTAAATTAGGTCAATGGGTTACCAAGTCCCTAAAAATATTTTATTTATATATGTTCTCTTTTTTAATATTTTTTTGTATTTTATATACCTAATTTCTGATAAGAAGGAAGACAATAAAACAAAGACCACAAAAAATACATACTTTATATTCTCCCCTCTCCCTCTTCCTTTCCCCTTTTTTCTATTGGAAAATACAAACTTCAAAAAATTAAAAATTATTTTAAATTGTCTAAATGACAAATTAAAAGGAAAATTTAAAAGAAAAAAATTTTTTTGAAACAATTTTATTAAAATTCAAAAAAAAATATATTTAATAAAACTACTATATAACCCCACTTGGATTATCGATTGATTCTCTCTTCTTCTTCAAAAAGGCATAGGCTTTTTTTCAAAGCCTTTCCACCGCTGTTTGCACGTGACATTCACGTGCAACCAGCCAAAACCTTTTGAAGGGTTTTTGCGGTAAATTTTTTCCCAGACAGCCAAAACCTTTTGAATGGTTTTGCGGTAAAATTTTCCAAGTAATTTTTCCAAGTTTTTCTTTTTGCCCCGCAGTCCAAAACCTATAAAATTATTTTTTAAAATTAATTTCCCACCATCGGAGTCGAACCATCAACCTTCAGCCTGTAGTCGGACGCCTTATCCATTCGCCCGCTCGCGAGTGTTAATAGCTTTCAAATAAAATTGAATATATGTCGGCTGGTTTCCTCCTCTCTTTAACCAGCTTCAACGGGAAAAATTAGTATTGATTGAATCACCCCCCACATACCCACTAGGTAAAAATAGAAAGAGAAAATAAAGAGGTATATGATAAGAGTAAGAGAGACAGCACTGACTCAACCCGGTTGAGTCAGTGCATGTTCTCTAACCCCTCTCCTCCCAGTGGGAAAATTTATTATTGATCTATTACCCGGTAAATGCTCACTAGGAGAAAATAGAAAAAGAAATAAAGGAGAGAGAAGGTTATAATGAGAGAGACAGCACTGACTCAAAAGGTTTGAGTCAGTGCGGGAGAATGTTCTCTAACCCAGTGGTTAGAGAAGAAAAAAAAAATAGTCTGGCAGCGGGATGGCTGTCACAAACTACAGCCTCCCAGCTGCGGGGGAAGAGAGTGTGTACTCTCTTGGGAAAGTACACTCTCTCTTCTCTTATTTTTCTATTTTTCCTGTTGCAGAAATAACATTTGACCGCTTAACTTATATAACCACAATTGGCCAAACACCCTATAAAATCACATTTCCCCAAACCCCACTTGGCCAACTACACAGCTAACCTCATTTGGTCTAACTATTATTTTTGGTCCCTTGTGAAACAAGGGGGAAATTTTGAACAATATTCTCAGCCTCGCTATAGGTTAAATAGCCCCGGTTGCGCAAATATCTTATTGTTGAAACCCAACAAAGGATTAGGATTGGCAATATAAGCGAATATAATAATAGAATAATGGGAAATCCTGTACTTATTGTTTGTCCTTGTTTCCCCTCCAAATATTCTCTATCAAGAGATAAAAAATCGTAAGGAACTTTGCTTGTATTATTCATTGTTATTACCAAAATTAGGACAACCGTTATTTATTAACCTAATGTAGAGTCAGAAACAATATGTCTGTTATAATCAATCATTAGCAATTGGTCAAACTCGCCCATAATAATCATCTCAACACCACCTGCTGGAATTGGAGAATTAAATTCTAGACGAACACTCGTTGTTCCGCTACGTAAAAGCTCAAAACCACAAGAATCATCTAAGGTAGACGTTAGGGGAATAACAAAGAAGCTCCAGCCCGATTTAAATTGGGCCATTGAAATATCAAAGGACCTATCAGAATTGGCCATCCCCAATGCTTCATACATGTCAACATATGCCCTTACGAAAATATCCTCGTCAAATTTAAGCTTATAAGAGACCATCGGATAAATATGGCCGCCAGTATGAACTGAAATATCCCTCAAATTGAATGGTTTAAAATTAAACGGTGAAAGACTAATGTCCCCATTAAATGCCCCATTTGCAACAAGTGCGACTGTAATTCGCCTAGGAATGGCTGAGCTGAATGCATTGTATTCAATTTCGGTTCTCCCTGGACTGAGGAAAGTGGACTTCAGCTCAGTTCTTCTCACTGCATAAGTAGCCGGTTTTGATTCAAGGGTTTTGTAAATGTTCATGTTAAGGGAGGGTTGAACCTCAATCATTTTCGCTAATAATTTAACATCGTGGACAAAGATTCTATACTGATTCTCATCCGCAGGATTTAACTTCTGTAAAGCAAAAGTATCCTTGGACCGATAGATACTAAAGTGTATATCGAGATTGTTGAGTAAAAATAATTCCTGATTTCCCAAATCAAAATCTAAGCGAGAAAGGAACTGGGCCCGCTTTCCTTCTTTAAAAATCGAGCAACGTTCTAGAAAACCATGATCAGTAATATCATCATGTTTATTGCTCAACCGATAGCCAATGGAAGAAAGAAAATTTGTTTTTACATTCTCAGGAAATGAGAGTTCATTTGTTAAATAAGATTTATAAGGATAAAGTGTTCCACTATCATAAACCTCTGTATTACCTACAGTAACTTTAAGTTGTTGAACAAATGTTTGCCCAATTCCTTGGATTGATCCAATACCAGTATCCGTTGCCAAAATACGTGTCCATTTTCCTCCTGCTTCCTGTTTTTCAATAGAAAGCTCAAGATGAAGATATGTACGACTCAAGTCTGTCCAGAGATTATCGCTAAACAAGCGAAATAAATATGGGGAGTCTTGTGTTATTGTACTAAGTGGAAGAATTTCACGAAAGAAGGAACGAATAACAGAAACATTTGTGGGAGGAACGGAAAAAATGCTTAAAGCACTGTTAAGAGCTAGCGGGCTGTTCTCATTAATCTTCTTGGAACAACTCATTTTAATATGGTCCTAATGCGTCTATGCGTAAACGTTTCTTTGGACGAGATATTTTCTTTTTTGAAAAAGTAGGAATAAAATTTGGTGGACCAATCTTGGAATAACAAGTCTTATTTATATTTTCGCTATTCATCTGTCCAATTGTTTTGGGACGTCTTTCCTTTTGTCTTTTGAATTCAAAACCATTTCCTTTTTGCTTCTCAATATTATTGGCTGCTTTTTCTAACAAATTCTTAAGTCCTGATTTACCCTCATTCACAAGAGATTCTTTAAGGTCTTTTCCTTCCAATACGTTACTCAGGACACGATTGCCTGATTCCAACCCTTGGCGACCAATGGCTGTGCCAATTTCTTTTCCAATTGGAATCAAATACCTCAGCAAACTTCGAAAAACAGATCCTAAACCGCTACCTCTTTGGAAAGGAACTCCACGAAAAACGTTATAACCACCCCATTGGTCATGAGATTCGGTCAGCGACGACCAATCAACATAAAGAGGATTAAAGTCAGTATGCATTGTAATGTACAAAATTTGCTCTTTCAATTATTTATATTAAAAGCTTTGGAAGCAATAAACTGCGAGACAAATCTATCAGCACTTACTCTGCTTAATATTAAAATAATATTGTCCATAGAAAAACCTGAACAACGCATAAACAAGAAAAATATTGCGTATTTACCACAAGTGCGCCCCATTGGCTGCTGTATTTGAATATTATTATAGGAAACTTTTGTAAAATTTGATAAATATTTTTTAATATAAACGCTAATTGGAGGCCAGAATCCCAGCGAGTCAAAGTAATCAACACTAGAAGGGGAAGAGCAAAATATAGCTATCCAATGAGAGCCTGGGAACATTGAAGGGTCAGTATTAACAACCATACAAAATGGAAAAGTAGATATTGTAAGAGGAATCCTATCAGATGCAAAACAGCCAATATAAAACCTTTTTGTAATAGCATTCCTTCTCAGGATTTTGTCAATTTGTATCGTATTCATTAAAAATAGGCAGATTTTTTAAAGTGGAGAGTTAAAGTACAAGTTCCGTATTGGAATGGCATAAGTACTCCACTGGCCGTGCGTATTTCAATGAGTATTTCAGCAATTTCTTTTACAAGTAATTTATGATATTGTACAGAAAGAAATTGTTCCTCAATAATTTCATCCTGCTTGCCTCGAATTGTCACAATGCGTAGTACAGGAGCTGTAACATCACCAATCACCATTGGTTCAATTAATCCTGGGGCATAAACATGAAAGCAAGAGACACCTCCACTCATATCTGGCATGAATTTTGCAAGAGTTGATTCATTCAATATAGTTTTGTCAAATCCTAGAATATAAGCTAATTGTTCTGTAATCTCAACTTTCTTTACATATTTTCTACCTACAAATAGAGAAAAACGATTTTTATAGGAATGAAAATCAAAGGCACAAGCAATTCCTGGTTTACGATAAACTTGAAGCCATGGTTCAAAACCAGTTTCTCTGGTTAAAGATAATAATTTTTTAGTATTTTCATCAAGACTCGTGTTAAAATCCCTTAACATCTCCTCATAAATTTCATTCTCTGACTTGATATCCCCCTCTTGTATTTCAGTTGCATTTAATTCTATTCTTTTCCCCTCTCTTTGTCTCTTAAACTCTTCTTTTGATTTTGTTTTAAGCTCCTTTATTCTTTTCTTGTATTCCATTTCAGTAATCCGTAAATTCTCAGCAAATGTTTCACACCCTTCACTTAAAGACCTGTCTAAGCTTTCCTTGAGCTGTTGGGGATTAGCCAAATTGCCAGAGGGAACAGCTACGCGGACAACCTCACCACTTTGCCAAGTTACAGTTACAAATTGATCAGTACTAGTCCCTATCGAAGGCCATGAGTGAGGGTAGACCATAACAGTCAAGCCCACATACCACTCCGAATTAAATTGTAGCTTACGAGGAAGACGAACTCTAAAGGAGTTTGTCCTGTTTCCATCAACATTTGTGTTTGAAGGGAGGATGATATAGAAAGAAGTCATTTTAAATTATGGTAAGAATGACAGAATATTTATATCATTTCCAGGTTATTGCACTAGCAGGGATCCACCTATTATGTTCGTTACCATATCCTTTGAATTTTACAAATATCTGATCTTCTCTATTATGTCTTCGCTTATCCAAAACTTTTTCCACAATATAGATACTTTCTTTTAATCTTTTTCTGACTAGCACTAAATCATTACCATAAAACCATCCACGAATTAAAGCTCCTCCCCTATCACGAATTCTATAGGTTGGAGGCTGATGTGGAACCAATCGGACTTTAGCAATAATAAAAATTTCATTTGTAAAATTTGGTAAATATCCCTTTTTGAACACTTGCTTATTCTTTTCCACTCTTACAGGGTCGCCTACATTAAACCTATTCTCCTTCCATCGTGTCGGGCCATGTTGCTCAAGTGCCTTTTCTTTTAGAGATTGTCGCAAGGATTCAGCATTCTCATAATTAACATCCATAGGACGCATCCCAATACTTGAATTGAAGGAATTGTTTATAGAATTAACAATATCCTGAATAACATTTACCCATTTTAATGTTTTGTTCTCCGTAAAATAACGGTATAATCGCTCTTTAATGCTACGATTGGCTCTTTCAGCCATACCTGCATGCCATATAGGAGAAGTAATCATAGAGAAATGTTCCATATTTAATGATTTGAAATATTTTTGTACTGGGCTTGCAGTAAATTCTAGTCCTTGATCAGTCAAAAGTTTCCAAGGAACAATTTTTACTCGAGCAAATAGTTTCTTAAATGCATTAATCATATTCCCGCTATGTTTACTTTTGACAGGTTCAACAAAGATTTGACGGCTAAGAGTATCTATACAGACTAAGAGATAGTTAAACCCTCTATTCTGGCTGCTTATACGATTAAAAACACTCAAATCAGCCTGCCATTCAGTATGCAAACCCGGAGCAAGTGTTGGCATTCGCTTAAATTTTCTCACAACTCTTCTATGGAGACTATAGACATTTTGCCCCGCAAGATATCTTTTAACATCCTGTCTTATGATGCTTTTGTTAAACCGTTTAGCTTCTCGGAGAAGAGGTTCAACAGAAGTGAAACAAGTAGGAGATTTTACATTTTTGTACAATTTATTTAAAAGCTTGGTCTTGTCCATAACGACGGCTTAAAACAAAATACACCAGAACCTTTTTGCTTACTTGTAGATTCTGGGAATAAAATCTGTTGTAAAATAGGATGATCGGTTATTCTTTTAATGAATTCGTCATAACCTGTAGGTAATTTCTTTGTACGAATCCCTCTATTTCTAATTATATGATTTACAATCTCCTCAACATTACTTGTAATGAATGGATAATCGTTACCAATTTTTCTGGCAAGTCTTCCATCCTCCAAAACTCCTAAAATATCAGCATTTTCTCTCAGATAATCCATTGCTTGCTCTTTTGGATCAGATTCACTTTCAGCTGACTGGTATTCTTCTTCCCCGCCCTCTTCCTCTTCCACATCCTCCTCAATCTTAATCGGTATGTGCCTTTTCTTTCCAATTTTTTTCCTTATTCTTTTTCTCAGGACTATTCTAGAATTGTTTACTCCTAAATTTTCAGAAAAATTTTTTACATTTACATTTATAGGTTTTTCCTCCTTTTCTTTTAAAAGTTTGTTAAATCTCTTCAAATTCTGCTCATAATTAATTGCTTGAGAATCGGGATCCATTCTCTCATTATTGGCAACAGCATTTTGCAAGCGATTTTTTATCAAACCAATAGCCGTACCATCCCCTTGTTCATTTTTCTCTAAAAGACTATTGTAAAAATCTTCAGGAATAAGAAACATTCGTTGCATTTTTTTTTTATTTTTCTTTTATTTTTTCATATTTATATTATTTACTTTTTCAACAATTAACGGGATAACTAGACTCGCAATAAGTCCGGCCAAATGAGGTATACCTTTTCCCTGTTGTAACAAATTTCTTGTTGAGGGGGCGGTCCGAGACCGACTAATTTTACGTAAAATACTTGCATGCTTTTGAAGGGTATTTATCCTATTTTTATGAAAAGGGAGACGCCCCCTTAGCAAATTTAAACAAATTTCAACAAAACATAATAATTGTTCATCAGTCGCTTTTTCCAAAAGATTTCGCAATACTTTTTTTGAATTTGTATTTGCAGAATGCAAAAAATCAGCATTCCTTTCTATTAATTCGCTAGTTTTTGTCATTTTGGAACATAAACTATTGTTTCCCTTTCATTGTATATATGTGTTCTAAGGCGAAGCTTTTCTGGGGTACTTGGGTGAAGATCAACCAATAGATAACCGAACATTTCCTTTGTCGCGTCGGCATACGATTCTAAAAAATATTTTGACCGCGAGGGGAATAATTGGGTAGCAAGGTTTTTAATCTGAAGGGAACCAGCGGGATTCCTCATCAAGACCAAATAATGTGAATTATTACGCGGGATTCTTAATTCTTTGCAAAATAAATGTTGCGTTAACAATATAACACTCATTTTCCAGTTATGGGACCCCCTTGTGAATATTGTATCTAATATAGTTTGATCAACTCCAACCATTAAATCGTCAAGTATAAGTAACATTCCATTGGCCTGCCTTTTAATAAAATCTTCGCTCGGCATTCCAGAATGAACAGTAACACCTATATCTCCCACCGAGCCTTTACGCTGCATTTGTAATATATTTGAATTTAACTCCCCATAACAATAAAGTATCATTGAAATATTTTCACTTGTCATTTCTTTCAGATTATTCAAAAACTTTTTTACCCATTCTGATTTACCAGAACCAGTACTTCCTGACACAATCATCGTGAAAGGGTGCTTAAACAGTGTGTGAATAAAATCAACGTGTTCAAATCCGTTCATTTTAAAAGGTACAATTCAATCATTTTACTAGTATATATAGATCCAAAAAAATTGTAATTTCTATTCAGAACTATGGAATTTCTCACGCTTATGATTTGGGGTGTGGAAGATGGGGTGCCATTTATTCCGGAGCCTGCGCAACCTGAGCCTGAATTAGTTATTGCTGACGAAGAAACGGAGGTTTAAATTTTATTTCAAACTCCAATTATTTGAAATTTTTAGCCAGCTACACCAGAAATTGGGGAAGAAGAGATTAAGGAAGGAAAGGAGGAGCAAAAGGTACTATTATTATTTAAAAAAATATAATTAATTTTAATTTCAGCCCCCTACACCCGCATTTGGTGTTCCTGTTGAAGTAAAGATAAAAGAAGAAAAGGAAGAGGAAGATATTGACGAGGCGATGCTCGACATGAGCGACAAGTTTCTTCGCATAACTATAGACGAACCTTTGGACTGGACTGTAGAAAATCCGTTTCGTGAACCTACTCCACCGCCTCCACCGGAATCTGTACCACTGATTGAATATTTGTGCAATTTGAAGAATTGCTCTCTGAAAGAACTTCATGTTCTCTTCCATAATCTTGAGGAACGCCGGGAAATAATTAATCATCTCCGCCGAAATGTAGAATTACGTACTTGTCATCTCAAACCTTGCTGCAAAAATTTTATTGTTCGCTGCAATGATCTGACTGTTCGATCGGCAAGTGTGGTACATGCTATGGGCGGATATTTGAGCATAACGGTAAATATTTATAAAACTATTTGTAAATTTTATATTCAGGTCCGTGGATACTACTACATCAAACACAAAGTCAAACTGGAGCATCCCTATTTGCCTTGTATCATTGAATTTGGAGGAGGCCGTCACCGTTCTTACTACCCGTTGGAGGTTCTATCTGTGACTGAGAATAAGATGAAAAAATGTCATTGATATTTTTAATTCTTAAATTGTTAAATTGTCTTTGAAAGTAAATATTATGAACATAGAAAATTGTACTGCTGTATTCAAACTTTTGCCTAGGAACTTAAGGTTTCCCCATGAAAATTTCATCCAACTAGCTAGATTTGGAATAAATACTGAGTATAATCCAAAGAGATTCCATTCAATAATTATGCGAATTCGATTAAAAGAAAATAGGACTACTGCTGCACTCATATTCGAGTCTTCAAAAGTGGTCCTTACTGGTATTCCAACTCCTGAACTTGCAAGAAAATTGGCTTGGAAAGTTACAAAAAGAATTTTGGCCTCTAACAAGGCCGCTGGGAACAACAACTCTTCAATCGGACTTAGAAATCTGCTGGTCACCAATATTGTGGGTGTCTATTGCCACCCACAACGCTTGGCTATTGAACAACTTTACAAACAACTTAGAAACAACAAAGATTTTCGTCATGTCTTTTACGATCCTACAATCTTTCCAGCACTTAGATTTAAACTTAAAGAAGCGTCATGTCTCTGCTACATCTCAGGACGTGTGATATTGACCGGAATTAAAACTCAAGAACAAATGAAAGAGATATTTGAAAATTTTCTTTTACCCCTATTTGAAAAATATACACGTTAATAAATTTCATAAGATTTACTAGACAGTTAAATGTATGAATACAATAAAAAATAATATCTATGAGTATCTTGCCAAATAATCTTCTCTAGTCCATCCTGATCCTCCAGGCAATGCTTCAAAATTGTCTTGTACTTCTTCAAGCTATAATAGAAAAAGTTTGCTTTGTTTATTTCTCCTTTAATTACCTCCTCTCTATAGCCGAATGGCAGAGTCTCCATTCCAGGCAGTATTCTTCCCTTCTCATAGCAGGGCCTATAATCCTTGTGAGCCATGTGTGTGTAGAGTTCCGAAAGTCTTGTGCGCCCAATCTGCGGAAAGTCCACGCCAATCACTCCATCAGCAAGCACTTCATCACTAGTTAAATTGTGATTAATGAATTATTTTTTAAAAACTTACATCTCCCCATCAATGTTGAATTGATCAAGTACAAGTTGTTTCATAGAATGAAAATTGAGGAGTTGGTGAGTAGCATAGGAAAGAGGGAACGAGCGGATCTTCAGCTCAGCTCTCTCATCCCCTCCTGTTGCTGCATCCACGTGACGATAGCCGTAGTTCTTTGGACCACCCGCAACAAACTCCACTATTCGCCGTGTTGGAATTTCCCTTTTCATTTGGCCAAGTGCCTCGCCTTCAACCACTCTCTCCCCGCCTTGCCTTGCAACATAGATGATCGAATCTGTGTCGCAATACAAGAGCTGGCCACCAATGTTGTTAACCTGCTGCATATACCCGTATAAATGTAGTCTAGCATATGATGTAACGAATGCTGCGACGGGTAGGCAGTTGGTCTCTGGAGCCGTTGCAAACTCAGCCTTCTTTCTCACCACACATCTGTCCATTTCTTCACTAACGTGTGCAAAGTCCAGTGTGTCGATCGTCGGGTCCTCCAAAATCTGATGAAATTCTGCTGGAGTCCGGGCATATCGAATTTCAGTTCCACCAACACGTTGCGCCAGCTTTCCCCAAAGTGAGTTGGCCAAAATTTTCTAAAATTTACTATTTACAAAAAATTACTAAAAAAATACCGCAATCATTCTAAGGCCGGGGTTCAACTCCACTTTGGCCATCTCCAGGCGAATGCCTTCCACTTGTTCAAATTCATTCAAATAGCATTGTTTTTGCTCCATTGTCTCACATCCTTGCGGCCATCCGCTTGCTTGTTGCTTAAGCCCCACAAAAGTGTTGACGTATCCTTTAAACAAATCTGAGTCCCAGCGTTCATAGTGCCAAACCTATTTTTTCATTAATTGGAAAAAATTTGTAAATAACCTCATGGACGTCCACTACTTTGTACCCCAGCTCCAATGCTTTGTTCAATTCCACATGGGTATAACCAGTCACCCATGAACGTTGCTTTTCAGAATGATGGCATTGATGTTGCTGCCTATCATCAGCACACGCAGCACATAGAGGGAACGTTAAACGTCCGTCATGTGTGCGATAGCCGAGTAATGGTGGGAGTCCTCGTATTGATGTTGGAGGAAGCACTCTAACCAGCAAAAGTCCTTTGTAAGCATTGCTGCTAGGGCGAGTCCAAGGCAATGTGTTCACTAGTGTTTCTCTTGTCAGAACTGTTGGATGGCCAATCGGAAACTCGCGGGCCTTCATCACGTATGGGTAGAGACTCACCTATAATATTAAAATAAAATTGTATGTTTAAAGAAAAATTACAATGTCAATGTAGAGAATTTCCTCGTCATTCCCACAGACGTGATGGAGCTTGAAAGGCTCAGTTCTGCCACCTCTCAAGCAGTCTTCCCTCGGATCCATCGGCTTCACATATTCAATCTCCCACCATTGCCGCTTCAGCTCGCGATTTCCATTCAACCTTTCCTTCATCTCATGGCCCCAGACTACATGAAGAGCGTAGCCGTGCTGATGTTCCAGCTCCCATAGACGTTGTTGTGTCCTTTCATACAACTCTTCAGCAGTTTTTCCAGCAGCGAGTCGTTGAGTGCGAAGAGGGAAGCAAATTGGACAGCCTAAATTTGATAGTAGGTGAGTAGCAAAAGAATAATAAAATTACCGTGGTAATAGCATCCCATATATTCAATGGCTAATGGCCTAAGCGGTGGTGACCTGTACCAAAGTCCGGAAAAAGCGACTGATGAACAATTATTATGTTTTGTTGAAATTTGTTTAAATTTGCTAAGGGGGCGTCTCCCTTTTCATAAAAATAGGATAAATACCCTTCAAAAGCATGCAAGTATTTTACGTAAAATTAGTCGGTCTCGGACCGCCCCCTCAACAAGAAATTTGTTACAACAGGGAAAAGGTATACCTCAATCTGTTTTTCGAAGTTTGCTGAGGTATTTGATTCCAATTGGAAAAGAAATTGGCACAGCCATTGGTCGCCAAGGGTTGGAATCAGGCAATCGTGTCCTGAGTAACGTATTGGAAGGAAAAGACCTTAAAGAATCTCTTGTGAATGAGGGTAAATCAGGACTTAAGAATTTGTTAGAAAAAGCAGCCAATAATATTGAGAAGCAAAAAGGAAATGGTTTTGAATTCAAAAGACAAAAGGAAAGACGTCCCAAAACAATTGGACAGATGAATAGCGAAAATATAAATAAGACTTGTTATTCCAAGATTGGTCCACCAAATTTTATTCCTACTTTTTCAAAAAAGAAAATATCTCGTCCAAAGAAACGTTTACGCATAGACGCATTAGGACCATATTAAAATGAGTTGTTCCAAGAAGATTAATGAGAACAGCCCGCTAGCTCTTAACAGTGCTTTAAGCATTTTTTCCGTTCCTCCCACAAATGTTTCTGTTATTCGTTCCTTCTTTCGTGAAATTCTTCCACTTAGTACAATAACACAAGACTCCCCATATTTATTTCGCTTGTTTAGCGATAATCTCTGGACAGACTTGAGTCGTACATATCTTCATCTTGAGCTTTCTATTGAAAAACAGGAAGCAGGAGGAAAATGGACACGTATTTTGGCAACGGATACTGGTATTGGATCAATCCAAGGAATTGGGCAAACATTTGTTCAACAACTTAAAGTTACTGTAGGTAATACAGAGGTTTATGATAGTGGAACACTTTATCCTTATAAATCTTATTTAACAAATGAACTCTCATTTCCTGAGAATGTAAAAACAAATTTTCTTTCTTCCATTGGCTATCGGTTGAGCAATAAACATGATGATATTACTGATCATGGTTTTCTAGAACGTTGCTCGATTTTTAAAGAAGGAAAGCGGGCCCAGTTCCTTTCTCGCTTAGATTTTGATTTGGGAAATCAGGAATTATTTTTACTCAACAATCTCGATATACACTTTAGTATCTATCGGTCCAAGGATACTTTTGCTTTACAGAAGTTAAATCCTGCGGATGAGAATCAGTATAGAATCTTTGTCCACGATGTTAAATTATTAGCGAAAATGATTGAGGTTCAACCCTCCCTTAACATGAACATTTACAAAACCCTTGAATCAAAACCGGCTACTTATGCAGTGAGAAGAACTGAGCTGAAGTCCACTTTCCTCAGTCCAGGGAGAACCGAAATTGAATACAATGCATTCAGCTCAGCCATTCCTAGGCGAATTACAGTCGCACTTGTTGCAAATGGGGCATTTAATGGGGACATTAGTCTTTCACCGTTTAATTTTAAACCATTCAATTTGAGGGATATTTCAGTTCATACTGGCGGCCATATTTATCCGATGGTCTCTTATAAGCTTAAATTTGACGAGGATATTTTCGTAAGGGCATATGTTGACATGTATGAAGCATTGGGGATGGCCAATTCTGATAGGTCCTTTGATATTTCAATGGCCCAATTTAAATCGGGCTGGAGCTTCTTTGTTATTCCCCTAACGTCTACCTTAGATGATTCTTGTGGTTTTGAGCTTTTACGTAGTGGAACCACTAGTGTTCGACTAGAATTTAATTCTCCAATTCCTGCAGGTGGTGTTGAGATGATTATTATGGGCGAGTTTGACCAATTGCTAATGATTGATTATAACAGACACATTGTTTCTGATTCAACACTAGGTTAATACATAACAACTTTCATGAATTTGGTAATAATAATAATGAACAATACAAGCTACATTCCGTACGATTTTTTATCTCTTGATAGAGAATACTTGGAGGGTAAACAGGGAAAAACAATAAGTACAGGATTTCCCATTATTCTATTATTATATTCACTTTTATTGCCAATTCTTATCCTTTGCTGGGTTTCAACAATAAGATATTTACGCAATCGCGGCTATTTAACTAATAGCGAGGCAGCGGATATTGTCCAAAATTTTCCCCTTGTTTCTACGCGTAATCCAAAATAATACCAATAATTAGACAAAATGGCCTCTTTTAAGAAAAATGGCCGAATGTGTTGTTTGGGGGTAGTTGGCCAAATGTGGTGTTTAGGGTAAAAGACCAAATGTTGATTTGTAGGGTAGTAAGCCAATTGTCGTTTCCTGCTGCAGGAAAATAAGAGAGAGTGTGTACTTTCCCAAGAGAGTACCCTCACTCTTTCCCCGCAGCTGGGTGGCTGTAGTTTGTCTTGGCTGTAGTTTGTCTTCTCTGTCTTCTCTAACCACTGGGTTAGAGAACCTGCACTGACTCAAACCTTTTGAGTCAGTGCTGTCTCTCTCATTATAACCTTCTCTCTCCTTTATTTCTTTTTCTATTTTCTCCTAGTGAGCATTTACCGGGTAATAGATCAATAATAAATTTTCCCACTGGGAGGAGAGGGGTTAGAGAACATGCACTGACTCAACCGGGTTGAGTCAGTGCTGTCTCTCTTATTCTTATCATATACCTCTTTATTTTCTCTTTCTATTTTTACCTAGTGGGTATGTGGGGGGTGATTCAATCAATACTAATTTTTCCTGTTGAAGCTGGTTAAAGAGAGGAGGAAACCAGCCGACATATATTCAATTTTATTTGAAAGCTATTAACACTCGCGAGCGGGCGAATGGATAAGGCGTCCGACTACAGGCTGAAGGTTGATGGTTCGACTCCGATGGTGGGAAATTAATTTTAAAAAATAATTTTAATAGGTTTTGGACTGTGGGGCAAAAAGAAAAACTTGGAAAAATTACTTGGAAAATTTTACCGCAAAACCCTTCAAAAGGTTTTGGTTTGGCTGGGGAAAAATTTACCGCAAAAACCCTTCAAAAGGTTTTGGCTGGTTGCACGTGAATGTCACGTGCAAACAGCGGTGGAAAGGCTTTGAAAAAAAGCCTATGCCTTTTTGAAGAAGAAGAGAGAATCAATCGATAATCCAAGTGGGGTTATATAGTAGTAATAAATCATTTTTTTAAGTGATCAAAATTTAAATTTTAGTAAAATTAATGATGTAATAATTAATTTAATTTAAAATTATGTTCTAATTTTAATTAAAAAAATTATATTTTGTGACTGGAAAGATAATTAATAAAAATATATTTTATAGTCCTTTTAAAAATTGCTGAAAAATTTTTTTTTAATTCTTTTAGAAAATTAATTTCCCAAAAAATCTCTCCAGTCTCAATTTCTATAATTATTTTAAATATCAAAAATCTCACAAATCCAATAATTTTAAAACAACCTAAGAAAAAGACAAATCATCAAAAACCAAAATTTTTCGAGGTTATTTTAAAATAAGAAAAAAATTTTTCTTCAAAAATTTTTTTTGTGTGGGTATTAGATGTCGGTAAAATCCCGTTTGCGGGATCCCGCGGGATATATCCCGCAACGAAAAAAATGCGGAATTGCGGGAGCAGTACCCCGCAAAATCCCGCGCGGGTTCACGTCCCGCGCCGACCTCTAGTGTGTATGAATTGTCTTTTCTACAAAAATTATTAAAATTTTCGTTGAATTGTTTTTTTTTTCAGTAAAATGTTTCCCCTTTCATCCCTTCACTTTACCGTCTTTTTTCCCATTCTTCTTATATTCACCAATCCCTTTACTTCTTCCCTCACTTTTTTTTTAAAATTTTTCTTTGAGATTCTTCTTTATCATCCAAAATTTTTTTTCAAAATTCAAACCCTTATAGATTGATCAGAAGAAGAAATTAACGGAATATCTGTTGGAGAATTTAATTTAATTGAAGAATTACTCGAAGTTGTTAACAAATGGATATTGTGAGGAGCTGATTCTACTGTCAAATCATTATTTTTTTCTTCCTCAATTAATTTTTGTTGTTGCTGTTGAAATTTATTTGGGGAATTATTTGAAGAAGAATTAATTATTTGGGGAGGTATAGATATTCTTCTGTCAATTGCTGCTGAGGCTGATGCCGCTCTAGAAGTTTTTCCTCCCCCAATATTGTTATTATTACATTCTGTTGTTGATTGTTGATGATGAACTACTTTTTTTATTCCGGCCCCTCCTTTCCTTTTTGATATATGGGGATTGTCTTGATAAGCATTTTTTAATTTGTACATTCTTAATTGGGTGTAAACACGTTTTAATTCGGCCTGAAAAATTTTTGGGGAAAATTTTTAAAAATAATTTAAAAGGGGAAAGAATTTTTGTGATTAAAAATGACCGCAAAAAAGTCGCCAAATTTTTTCCTTATTTTTAACTAAAGTCTTCTTCAATGTTTTGTGAAAATACTAGAAAACACTATGCAAATTTGAACAAAGAAAATTTTTTCGGTTCAGGAAAGTTCTAAACTTTTTGGAAAAAATAAAAAATATAAAAAAATTTTGCGGACATTTGTGGATTTTTTGGAGGGCGTAAAGGTATTTTTCCATAAAAAACTTGAGGACTTTCAGGAGCCACAAAATTTTCTTCCTCAAATTTCACAAGCAGTTCATATTTTCGGGAAAATCTGTGAACCTCTAGAATTTATTTTTTTAAAGAACACAAAAGAAAAGAAAACCCAAAAAAGTATCCCAAATAATTTTCAAAAAAAAAAACTCGAATATCTTCAGGATTCATATCAACAATCGGCACTTCTTGAAAGTCAATAGTTCCATTAATCAAATTTTCACGCATTTTTGCGAGGGAAGGATGTGCTCTATTACTTCCAATTATTGCTGTAGCATTTCCACTATTTAAAGTCCCTCTAGCCGTATTTTCTGTTGAAAACTTTAAAAAACGACAAAATTTTAATCTTAAAAAAAATTAAAAAGAAACCAAAAATTTCGGAGCAATAATGGCTATAATATTTAAAGAAATTGTTAAATGAAGTTGGAGTACAGCAACAAGAAAGAGTGCATCTCTTGAACCAACCTCATTTAGGGCATATCTTTAAAAAAAATTTTTTTTTTATTTTTAAAATTTATTTTTTCAAATTTTTGACTTAAACCTCTATTTTTTATTTTTTTATATCTTGTGGTTGCCCGAAAAATAAAATAAAAAAAAAATTCTTTTCAACAAAAATTAATCAAATTCAATTTTTATTAGTCCAATATAAATTTTTCATAATTAGAAAAAAATTTTTAATCTCAAAGAAAATGAACTTTTTTTTGTTATTGACTCCCAAAGGTATTATAAATTTATAAAATGAAAACAAAAGAGGCCAAAAGTGCAATTTAAAACCAAAAAAAAATTATTAAATTTTTAATCCTTTTTTATCAATTTAGAAAGTCTTTGAGAATTCCCAGGAGAATGATTATTCAAAATTTAAAAAAATATTAAAAATAACCTAATAGAAGAGGCTACAAGTGAAATTATTGCTTCCAAAATAACAGCCATTGTAAATTGGTAGCGCTCGACCCAACTGCTATTTCTTGCTTTATAACCTTCAAAAAGATTAAAGAATATGAGAAATCAGGCCCTGAGCCTTAAACATTATTTAGGAAAAAGAAAAAAAATTTGCGGATTTTTTGGAAAAAATAAAAAAATTTTACAGTCCAAAAAGTCTCCCAAAATTATTAAAAAAATCTTCCCACCCTCCAAAAAATAATTTTTAAAAAATATTCAGATATCTTGGAAAAAACTTTTAAAAGAAAAAAACCAACATAATCTAATTCCATAAAACAAAACCAATTGTTCACAAAGAGAAAAAAACATTCTAAATTCTTCCACAGGGCATTGGGGCCATTGGGACGACCATAAATCTGAGCGGGTCCAGGAACCTGAAGACCAAGCAAGAATTCCTTTAAAAAAGAAAATTTTTTTAAATAAAATTTAATTAAAAAATAACCATAAAGCACAATTAAAATAGCAAAAAGTAAATATAAAATTAAATCAAGTTCTCTAACAATAACGTGTTGAGCTTTACGTACTCGATATTCTTGTAAATTTCTAAAAAAATATTTTATTATTATTAAAATAAAAATTTAATTAAAAAAATAAAATAGGGAAAGTGTCAAGGTAGGACAGGGTTGAAAAATTTTTTGACGAGTTATCCGATGTTATAAAAAGATCGGGATTTTGAAAAGCATATGCCTGTTCCTGCGTTCTGGGTTTGATTTATTGATCTGGGCCTGTAGTCCAGAAAAAACCCATGCCCAAAAAGAACACAGGAAGTCAAAAAATGCCTGTCCTGGACTCTGGGTACAGGAAAAACCCAGGCCTTGGTCCAGACCCAGCTCGACCTCTAGAAAGCATAATATTTCAATATATCACCCAGTGAGAGCAGGGCGGATTTTAAATATTGAAAAAGAAACAAATTGGTGACCGGTTAACTTTCTGACCCCGTAGGTCATGGAAGTTATTGACAAGACCAACTGACCGTCAACAACCCTAATTAAGAAAAAAATAAACCTATAAATTTTAAGAATCACAGAGCCATAAAATAAAGTAAAACCAAGTTGCCTGCCAAAATCAGCAATCCAACAACTCCAAGGAATATGTTCTGGCCAGCCAAGTAAAGGCTAACAAAAAAATTTTTAACCGAAAAATATATACATACAATAGCATAAAGTATAATAGCACCCATAAAAAATGCTTCCATTATAGCCCAGCCTCTGTCATTTTGTTCGTGTCTTTTTTCTCGGACAATAACCTAAAAATACATTAAAAAAATTAATAACAAAAAACTCTTACAATAATCATAAAAAAACAAAAAAGAATGCAAACAATTGAGAGAAGAAAAAATATTTTTTGGAGGAGTAGCCAATCGACTCTACATAGTTGCTCACCATATTCTTCATGGCAGCAAGAACGCGCGAAAACTTTTACTCCTCCATGGACAGAATAAGAGCACTAAAAAAGGAATCAAAAAATGATTTTTAATAACGACAAAACGCCAAAGCTTAAAAGGGTCAAAATGCTAAGGTCCCGAAAGGGTCAAAAAAGGAAAGGGTACAAAATGGTCAGAGGGCCTATTTTTTAAATACTCAATAAAGGGATCATTTTAGAAAAATGGTCAACCAAAAAAATCAGTAAAAAAGTTCACATACATGTGTTTGGCAATCAGAATTTTCACAAACATCCAAAGAAAGTTTAGGCAACCTCATTTGCAGATATTTGTGAGGATCAACAGTTTTGTAAATTGCCAAAGGCACCCAAAAAGGATTACTGGAATGGTCATTACATATTAATTGGAATGCAAAGGCAGGTGAATTAATCGAATCTGGCTGTGTTAAGGGTGTTGAAGTTATTGTTGAATTTGGGGGGAGCGCTTAAATAAGAAATATAGTCTTTGATTTTATTGGATGGATGTCTAGTTGATGGAAAAATAAAGAGTAGAGATTCTAAAAAATGTAGCGGTACATGAAAACCCCATAATCTTCGTCCGCAAAAAAAATCCGCAAATTAAAAAAAAGTCCGCAAAATTTTTGCGGACAAGAAATTTTTGTACGCAAAATTTTTGCGGACATAATTCGAAAAAAATTTTCATTATAATGGAATGACACCCCAAAATAAATTCTAAATAGAAAAATTTAAAAAAAGACTTACAATAATCAGAATTAACAATATATGGATGTTTTGAATAAATTTGAGCAAGAGATAATAACAAATTTAATTGTGTAGATAACTTTTTTAAATCTTCATTTGTCGTGTTTATTTTTAAAATTCTTTGAATTGACCCGTTTATTAATTTTTGGATTAATTGGCCATTTATAACTTTTATTTGATTGTTTTCGTTATTGCAGGATAATAAAAGGCTGTCTAATTGTGCTAAAAGGTCATTTAATGAAGTTGAGGAACGGGAAATTGGAGCTCTACGCCTTTCTATTGAGTGGAAAGTTGTTGGGAGTGAAGCCTAAAAATTTAAAAAAAATTAAAAAATAAGAAAGTCCGCAACTTAAAAAAGGTCCGCATGTTTCGTCTCGTCCAAAAAAAGCCCGCAAATTTATCCGCAATTCCAAAAAAATCTGCAAATTTTATCCGCAAATTTAAAAAAAGTCCGCAAGTCTTATCTGAAAATCCAAAAAAGGTCCGCTAATTTTGTCCGCAATTCCAATAAAGTCCGCAAAAATTTTTCCGTAAATTCCAAGAAAGTCCGCAAATTTTGTCCGCAAATGCTCAAAAAATCCGCAAAAAATTTTGCAAATAAAAAATTAAAAAAAACCTCAGATATAAAATCCACAGCACTTTCAAAAGCTATAATATTATTTTCAACAATTGGCATCAATAAAAGAAAAATAAATAGAAGAAATAAAATCCATGACAACATCCCCCCAAAAAATTGTTGTTTTTTAAATAATTAATTTATTTAAATAAAATATTCAAAATTAAATAAAGAAGAAAAGAAGAAATAATTTTTCATAATTTTTTTGAGTTTTACATATAAATCTGAAAAAGAAAAAAATTAAAAGAAAATAAAGATTTGTGTTTTTGTAATGGTACTCTAGGGGATTTTTTGGCAGAATAAAAATTTTAAGTAAAAAAAAATAGAGAAGACAAATTTGAAAAAAATTTTTTTGAAAAAAATTGTCTGGCCTATATTTTTTGATTTAAAAATAAAATACTGACAGACCTCACTATAAGCCCTAGAGCCCGAAAAAATTAAATCGTATAACGGAGTATAGTATTTTAAAGCGGGGAGGAGGGCAACTTTTAGACGGCTCCCCATCCCTCAGGGTTCAGCCAGCCTTTGAAAAACGTTTCTTAAATTAAGGTATTGGGTGTGGATTATAGAGATATGTTCGGTTGTATTCAAAAAAAAAGAAAAAAGAATTATTCCCAGCCAAACAAAAATTAGAAAATCGAATATTTTAGTTGTTTAACTGCAACCCTTTTCAATATTATTATTATTTTTAGCAAAATTTTGATTAAATTTTATTTTTTACTTGTTTAAACAAATGTAAACGTCACTAAAAAGAATTTTTAAAAATTAAATTTTCATTTCTTGTTTAGCTTTTGAAAATTCAAAAAAGAAAAATAATTTTTCCTTTTTTGGCAAAACGTCATTTATTTTTTATTTGATTATTTTCAAAACACCAAATTTTCAAAATGTCCAAAAAAGGGACACGGCCAAACCGGCGCGCGGCAATAATGGCGCAAAGCTATAACTTACTTCAAGATTTTCTAATCATAACAAATTTAGTATTAAACGATTCCTCTCATCGAGCTAAAGAGATTGGTACCAAAATTGTTAAGGGCCAGACGAATTCCAGCAAGTTATGGCTTTACGCCGTTATGGCCGCGCGCCGTATTGGGCTCCAAAAAAGCTTTTAAAAATACGAAAAAAATACCAAAAATTTGTCAAAAAAATTTCTTTCCACAAAAAAGGTCAAGTAAAAATAAAGGGTAAAACTACTAGAAGAAAAGTAAAAGAAAAAGAAAAAAATCTCAGAAAATTTTTTTTTATTTTGCCAAGTAACCATGCTAACAAGAAAAATCCCTCCAACAGAGAAAGGCATTAAAATGGATAAAATCGGAAAAATGACAAAACTCTTTATTTTCCTTTTCTTTTATTTTTTCTTTAAAAAATACCAGACAAAAGGGCGTTAAAAAAGGGAAAAAAATTGGCTCGATTTTTGTTTTTAAAAAACAAAAATAAATTTTTATAATGTAAATGAATAAGAGGAGTGTTGCGAGACAATATTAAAATGCCAATGAAAATGTAGATTAAATAGAAGGGGTTTTGGCCTTGAAAATTTTTCATTGGTTTGGGAATAGTTTAAAAGAAACTGGGTGGCTGACTCCAGACAATCAAAAAAAAGTCTCTTAGGGTATTGTGACTTATAGGGGGTTTTTTTTGGCTGGACCGATTTGGACAAATGAGGTGTCATTCGAAAGAGCTCGCCGAGCTGAGTCGAACTAGGGGCGAGTGGAGTCGATCCGGCAATCAGGGACCGAGATACAGACCCCTGAAGTTTGAAAAAGAGAAGGGGGGAGTAAGCTCATTTTGGGGTGAAAAATTCGAACATGCAAATAATAGCTTATTCGACTGAGCTCGTCGAGCTGAGTCGAATGACACCAAAATCACCGAGAACCGACTTGATTTGACAAAGTTATGAACGTTTGTTTTAGCTCCTTACCTATGGTCATTGTTGACGTTTTTGCTGCTACAGAGGCCCTAAATACGCCCAGAGCAAGAGAGATAGGAATAGGTTTATGTTACTGACCCAGACCCAGCGACCGTTGACTCCCCGCGAGGCGCGTGCCGCGAAACCCCGCGCGAAGCGCGGGGTTTCGCACAAGCGCCTCGCCGACGCTCCATAGGTTTATGTTGACCATTTTGAACCTGTTTATCTTGGCTCAGAATCAAGATATCGAGTTGATTTTGGTGTCATTCGACTCAGCTCGACGAGCTCAGTCGAATAAGCTATTATTTGCATGTTCGAATTTTTCACCCCAAAATGAGCTTACTCCCCCCTTCTCTTTTTCAAACTTCAGGGGTCTGTATCTCGGTCCCTGATTGCCGGATCGACTCCACTCGCCCCTAGTTCGACTCAGCTCGGCGAGCTCTTTCGAATGACACCTCATTTGTCCAAATCGGTCCAGCCAAAAAAACCCCCTATAAGTCACAACATTCGTCTCTTATAGAGAAAGTTGATTATTTAGAGGGTGTGAACCTCTAAACTGTGAAACCTCTTTTATAGCCCTCTCTACCCTACATCCAAAGGACTGACTGGTTAATAACCCCCAAAAACTTAATAACCCTCAGACTTGCATGTCTAAATATAGCAGAGCTGTTTTTTGAGTTGCGGATTGCGTTTGCGGATTTTAAAATTAAAATTGCGGATTTCAGCTGCGGTAAAATTTTTTTCAATTGCGGAAATTCCACAGCCATGACAGCCATATGCTTTCTTGGTTAGGTAAAGAAATTATAACGGAGAGGTATCCTTACAATTTTTACGTTTTAAAATTTTTAAAAGAAAAATTAAATTTTAAATTTGAGGTGGATGAAAGAGAGGAGACTTTTTTGGGTCCAAAAAATATTATGTAAACACATTTTTTTCCTCATCAATATTTTTTCTGTTAACGACCAAACGTTTTTTTTTCTACCTAATAATTTCATCCAATATTATTTTTCTTTTAAAGTCAGTTGTTCATTTTTTTGTGGAAGGAAGATGGGAAATTGAGGAAAAATGATTTTCACTTCTTTAAATGATTTTTTTTCATTCACACACCAAAATTTAAAAAAAAATTTTTTTTATTTTTTAAGCGATCTGTGACTTTAATGGGAAATAATAAATTTTAAGAGGGAAAATTGGGGGAAAAATAAAAATTGGGGGAAAAATAAAAGGAAAAAATTTTTAAAAAAAATATGGAATAATAAATTAACAAATTAAACTTTTAAAAGTTTTTTAAAGTTAAAACTGTGGGGGAAAAAAGTTGGAAAATATTTTTTTTTTTGATTTTTGGGAAAGGCAAATAAGAGAGGAATAATTACGTTAATAAGAGAAAACTGGCAATAAAAAATTTAAAAAATTATCAAAAATGAACTTAGAACCATAAAATTTTGCACAAATATTCTCGACACTATTAAATAACTCTTCTGAAAATTTCAGAATTTTTGGTTCAGAATTTCTGGAAATATAAGAAAAAAGGTTAAGAGAAGTGGGCATTTTTCTGGGCATTCTCTTCCTACTTCTGACAATAATTTCGGAAAGCGTTGACCAAAAATTCTGAAATTTTTAGAGAATATAGCCAACACTATTTAGAATCTCCACACAAAATTTGGCAATTTTAGGGTATTTTTAGGCCATGATATTTAACCCCGCGCCGTAAATGTTATTGCGCCGAAAAACCTTTCACAGTCAAATTTTAACTTAAAAGGTAAAATAAACTAAAAAAAATTCAAAAAAATATTTAAAAGTAAAATATAAAACAAAAAAGTGTTATTATTATGAATGACACGCTTTTAGAAATTATTATTATTATTATCCAAAAAAAAAAGAGAAAGTATTGTTGTTTTGTGTTTGTAAAAGCTAAGGACATCCGGATAATCCTTCCTTTTCTCTTTCTTTTTTTCTTCTTTTTTTCCTCACAGCTTCCCACACAATTCGATAAATTTTTGGTGTTTGGGGGACAGCAAAGGCCGCGACGGCTGGGCCAATATATAGAGAAAATCAGAAGGGAAAGTCGACAAAAAAAGGGGAGAGAAATGGCATGTTTGTATATACTTTTCAGCCGAGTTTTGTGCCCTTCTTTTGCCTTTCCTTGTCTTCATGCTAGGCAAAATTTTTTTTATTTTTCCGTGTTGCTCTAGCATAAAAAAGCAAGAAGTTGGAGATAGACTGGAAGGAAAAAATTTGTCTAAAAAACACTTCTTCTGTTGGCCAAGAAAAGAGTATATATTTTCCTATTACGTAGTAAATATGCACGTTTAAAATACTAGAAAAAGATATCCTATTATAAAAGGATATCCTATTATAAAAGGATATCCTATTATAAATTATCCTATTATAAAAAAAATGGTCAAAAAATATGCATAAAACGTTAAATTAACAAAAATAAATTTACTTACCCGGTGGTGGACTCGAACTTACGTCGATAAAAATATGTTTGATTTTTTAGACTCGACGTTAGACCACTTAACTAAGCTACAACAATCTTAAACATTTAATCTTTTACTTTTAGTTTAATTTAAAAAGTGCTAAAAATTTAAATTTGAAGAGAAAATACTTGAATATTATTAAGAGGAAAATTGAAGTATAGAACGTTATATACACTTTCATTCTTTTCTTGCTCTTTTTTACCTAAAATAGAGAAAATAAACTCATAGACTTTTAGCACGCAAACCTAAAAATATATTTTTTTCAGTTTAAATTTTCAAATATTTTAGTTCCTTATTGAATTTTAAAAAAATAGAGAGAGATTAGCAACTTAAAGATACTACAAAATTAAAGAATTTTGCAATTAATTATTATTATACTAAAATAAATGAATTGATGCTAAAAATATTGGCGCTGGTCTAGTTTATGCGTCCAATGATTTTTCTTGGTATTGCAAAGTTGGGGTATGGTTCCAAAACATTTCTTCATGTTCGGGACCTACGCCTACAGGGCCTTACCATTCCTTAAAATTTGAAATTTATGACTACGATTATTTTCAAATTTAAGCTTCGGCTGAAACCGATTCCTACACTTGTCCCAATAAATTATTATCTCACAATATTTTGTCTTTTTTCAAATGTTTTAAAAAGATAAAAAAATATTTATAAATTTTGTAAACTTCAAAAAATTCTAAAAATGGCAGACAATTTAAGTAAAAATTAAAAAAAAACAAAATTCGATAACCTAAAATATTTTATATATTTTTAAAATCTAAAACAAACAAAAAAAACAAAAAAAAGAATCAACAACAAAAAATAAACAAAAAATTTTCATTATCAACGCGTATATATTTTGTAGGATAATGAGGTCAGTAAAAGAGAAAATATTTTTATTGTAACAAACTTTTTTATAAATTTAATTTTTATCATTGAAACTGAATATTCAGGGGGGTTGAAAGTGATAATAAACTTTCTCTAGAGATGTACAAAACCCAAAATTTTCCAAGACTCGAGACCAAGACTACACCCCAAGACCAAGACTACACCCCAAGACATAAGACCAAAAAGTAACAAGACTCAAAACCTTGGACATCTCTAATAATCTCAATTATACTCTCTTTCAATGCCCCACAACCACTTTTTTTCTATTTTCGGGTAGTCAATCCAATAAACGATTCACTTTTTCAGTCTTTTTTTACAAAAAAATCTCGGTAGAAAATGTAACTTCATACGCCACTAATATATGTAAGACGTAAGAACCTAGCTCATTATCAGATCGAATTCGCTGTTCAAAATTTTGTATTTCCCTACATTCTAGAGTTTTTTAAGTTATTAATTCAGTTTCAAGTAAAAAAATTAAACGGGAAACCTGAAACAAAGCTAAAATAAATTTTCAAGGTTTTAACGAAGAATATATTATATTATAAGCTAAATGAATTTTAAAACAAAATCGGAGAGACAAATTTAAAATATATTCTAAACATTTTTTGATTATAATAGAAAAGAATAGTCAAATTTCAATTTTTTGGTAATTATTAAATTTAAAATTCAAAAAACAAAAAAAAAAAACAAAAAAATATTTACTAAGAAATGAAGCTAAACATAGAAGAAGCATATGCCATTGCCCGGACCTTTGGATGTGGAACAGCTTCAAACGAAACAAGTTTGGGAGGGAATAATTTATCTCCCGTAATAGTGATGAAGGCGCCTTTGTTTCCAATTGTATCACAACTTTAAAAAGAAAAGATAAAATTTAATAAAGGTCAATTCTAGTTGGAGAGATGAGGAGAATCTTTCAAGTGAAAGCTGAAACTTCATTATAGCCCAAAAATTTAAACTTTCAAGTAATTCATCTTAAAAGGACAAATCAGAACTAGGATGCCCTCAAATCGTCTTCCTCTCCCCTTTAGGAACAAATGAAGATTTATAAATCAGTAATAGGACGAAGAGGAAGATAGAACAAGTTCACTCATCAAGGCCCGTAACCAGGATTTTTTAGGACAAAGGGAGAAAATTTTTCTTTGCAGGCGAACATTTTTAAAATTTTAGAAGGCCAAAAAATTCACTTTTTCAGCTCCCCCCACCTGGTTACAGCTCATCACTAAATAAGTGAATCAAATCCAAAAATTAAAACCCCTAAAAATAAAAAAAAGTTTTACTAGTTAGGAGCACTAAAGATTGTCCAACATTTCCCACCATGATGAGATTCATAACCTTCCGGTTTTACTTCGTGACTTCTAAAAATTAATGAAAAAAATATATAATAAATTACAAAATAACCTTATAACATAAAGTAACCCGTTCTCTTTCAAAAATTTTTGAGTTATGTCAGGTCCAAATTGAGTACCAACGCCTCTTTTAGATGGAGAACGTCCAGAGAATTCTTGCGGGTCAGACCTTTATAAAAATTAATAAAAATAAAAATTTACAGGTCAGTTTACCCTCTAACTACTAAAAAAATTCAAATGATTAATTAAATTTTATTCCCATTTAGAGGTTCAAAATGTAGGGGTGAGCTTAAGAAACCCCCAAAAATTCCTCCTTTAGTCAAAAAAATTAAAAAAAATACCAAAGCAAATCACACATAATTCCTTCATCTGGTGGTTGTCTATTTCGATTAACTTTCCTTATTCTATCCAAAGTAACACCATCTTCTTGAAATAGACCTCCATGACAAACCTAAAATTAAAAAAAATTTTCTTCAAATAAAAAATAAAACAAACAAAAATTCTTTCATTAATAACATGGCAAAGAGGTAAATAATTAAATATTTCAGTAAAAAGTTCTGCCATTTTTGTGTTATATTTACTTTTAACTTCTCCTTCGAATCCATACATTTTATTCATAACATCAGATTCATGGTTTCCTCTGCTCATATAAAAATGGTTTGGTAATAATAATTTGAAGCCAAAAAGAGTGAAAATTGCCTCAACAGAGAAAGAACCTCTAAAAAATAATACTTTTGTTAAATTAAATTTAGCAGGATTTTAAATCTGGGAATTTAAAAAACACAAAAATCCTTGACCCACATTCTTGAGGAAGGACGGATTGATTTCTAGTTCCTCTACCCTATAGATAGGCCCAAATCTGGAGCAAGACCTTGATTTTTCCCAAATACAAAGTCAAAAATCCGGTCAAGGTTCTCTACCAAAATCAAGGTCATTTTTTTCTAATTTCCGATTCCTACTCTAACCAAATTTTCGGTCTACTCACAAAATTTATTTTCAAAAAATTGCAACATTCTAAAAAAATTCTAAACCTGTCAACAAAATCTCCATTGAAAAGATAAGGATTCTCTTCTGATGGAAGACCATTAATTTCAAAAATATTGCAAAGATCATAAAATTGTCCATGAATCTATAAAAATAATTTTACTCGAATAAAGTCAAAAACAAAATTTACATCTCCACAAATTGTAAATTTATGTTTTGGAGGTACTTTAATGTCTACAAGTGAAGGAAGTTTAATTAAATATTCACGCACTAACAATAAAATCTGGAAAAAAATTAAAAAAATTAAAACCAAATATATTTACCTTATAAGCATATTTAATGTGTAATTTTTGTTGGTCTTTAAATGATTGAATTAATTTTTCCATAAATTCCATATTAATTTCGCCATCCAAACGAGGTCCAAAATAGGTGGTTTCCACTACTAAAAATAAAAAGTTGGGGAAATTTAAGGGAAGAAAGATTTTTTTGAAAAAGAGAAGTCAATAAAATAAAAATAACCATAATCATCCAATTTAATAGAATCTGCCACACTCGTAGTTGAATGATCAGAAGAAATAGCCTTCTCAAAAGCCAATCTTCTAACAATTTTATTGCATTCCTGATATTTGTTTTGAGCATCTTTATTTGTTGGACTCATTTTTCGAACTCGATCATAATCTGCCAAAGCCAAATTAAACTTGCTTAGAGCCATATTGGCTGATGCACGTCTATAATAAGCCTTTGAAAAGCAAAAAACGTAAATCTGACAAAAATTTTAAAGAAACCTTAACATAAGTTGGATCTAATTCAATTGCCTTATTTGCATCTGACAAAGCTAAACCATAAAGCTCTTTCTTTAAATAAGCAAAAGAACGATTTCCATAATAAAGGGCCAGTGAAGAATCCAAAAGAATACATTTTGTGTATAATTCCGCAGCAATATCATATTGATCCTCTGAATAAATTTTAAATTTATCGGGGTGGATTTATAAAGGAATTGGATGTTTAAAGCAGGGCTGTCCGCAGTTGCTAATTGCGTTTGAGGATTGCGTGTTTTTTTGCGCATTGCGTGTTTTTTTGACTTGCGGATTGAGTTTGCGGATCTTATATTAAAATTGTGGATCGCGGCTGCAGAAAATTTTTTCAATTGCGGACAGTCCTGGTTTGGAGGTGGTTAATGACACCGGGTTAATTTTTTAAATTCCCAACAACACCCTCCATTTGGCAAACTTAGGTTAAATTTTAAAAACATTTCATAAACTATCCCATATCTTAATTTGAAAACTAATTTTAAACTAACCTTTGAAAAACTCATTAGCCTTTTCCTTAATTAAAGCAGCCAATTCTTTTTCACCATTAGCAGCTAACGAACATTCTTCAATAATTCTATCAGCTTTTGACGCTGTATGATTATTATTTAATCTCTCTTCTATAATTTTAGCCATAGAATCCTGAAATTCTCGAGATGAGGTAACAGATTCTACAGCTTCTAAAACTTCACCCAAAGCATCCTGACGTGCTGAGTTTTCCATATTATTTAAAATAATATTTCTGAAAATTAAATAAATATATTTTAACAGAAGAAAACACTAAAAAAAATAAACTGCAAGAATTTACACAATTGTTAAAAAAACAAAAAATAAATCTCTCGGGAATAACCAAAAATATTAAAGCAAAGAGAACACAAAATGAGTAATATTTTTTCAAATGTTTTGTCAAAAAATCGATAGTTTCTCGTCTTTTTTATAATTTTAAACAGTCTAAAATGTAATAATTTTACAATTATTGATAGAAAAAACAACAAAACAAAGCCAAAAGTTTGAAAAACTCAATTGCCCGTTTTTGCAAGTTTTTATAAAAAAATAAAATACATAACGCCAAAAATTAATTATTTACGCCAAAAAATTAAAAAAATTTAAATAATTTTGCCCATAAATCAGGAAAAAATGTTGTTGGCCAGCTTTACATTGATTGCAATTTACTCTGCTTTTTTGCTTGTCCCAGTATTGTTTTTGGCTTTTTTAATTCGTGGTTTTGCTTTCCGTCTTTAAAAAATTATTTCAATTAATTAGAAAATTAAAAAAAATATTTTTTATTAAAAATTATAATTTTATTTTTCCTTTCAACAACCAAACAAATTTATTTTATTTAAATTTTACAGAAAAGGTTAATTTAAATCTAATTTAATTTTCATCTTTTCAATTTTTAGATGTTTTCATTTGAACGTTTTATGGGTCTAGGTGAAGCTGCTTCTTCCTTTTCTGTTCAATTAAGATGCTTCTCTCCCCCATTTTTTCAAAATTATGACACCCAAAAGATTAATGAAATAACTTATGGAGGAAAGGTTTTTTTTTAATTTTGTTATTTTATTGAGTTATTCCTCCAGATACTTTTACCAACCTCTTGTTTGGATAATTTGGTCCGTCGAAATATTCAGTGGCCGATGCTGTTTAAATTGACTAATATAAATCCTGAACATCAAAAATCGACTCATGCTGGTGTTTTGGAATTTTTAGCGGAAGAGGGAAGATGCTATTTGCCTTCATGGGTAAATTTTTGTTTTGGATTTAATTTTTTATTAAAATTAGATGATGAATCAATTATGTCTTATGGAAGGAGATTTAATTTTAGTTGAATACAGGTTGTTCTTAATTTCAAAAAAAATAGAAAAATCAATTTAGATCACTCCCAGCTGCTACCTATGCAAAGTTCAAACCAATGTCGACCGACTTTTACCACGTTTCGAATCCTAAAGCCATGCTAGAGGTTATTTTATATTTTATTTTTCTAAAATAAAATATAAAAAGTCAATAGAAAATATTACATCTTAGGGAGTGAGTAATCAGTAATCCCACTACGCCGAGATCCTACTACGTCTTGTGATTCCACATATATTTATTAAAAGTTTTTGGATTCCGGACGTAGAGGATGGTTTGTTTTGGTTCGTCAAGATACATATAACCATAATAGGGCATACTGCACATCTTATTAATGTTTAACATAAATTTCTCAATCGAGTCTTCATTAGAGTAGCTCTTCTACTACAGGAATCTATTCTCTCCAAAACTCAAAAATATTTTTAATTTGACAGGTTGAACTTCGCAAATTTGCTTGTCTCACAAAAGGGGATATAATTGCTGTTCGGGTAATTTTTTTAATTTCTTGAAAACTTCTAAAATTTTTTAACAGTACAATGAACAAGTATTCGAATTCAAAGTAATGTCTCTCAAACCACAAAATGCCGTAACAATTATTGAATGTGATATAAATATTGAATTTGACGCCGCTGAGGGTTACGTTGAACCGGAACAACAAAAAGAAACTTTTCCTATAACAGAAAATATTTTGGGAGGAGAAGCTAAGGTTATTTTTTAAATTATTTTTAATATTAAAATTTAATTTTTGAGAGGGATTCGATTGCTGGAACTCCTTTAGAGGAAGCTAAAGATGTCTGGAAACCTTTTGGTGGGTCAGGCTATCGTTTGGATGGAAAAGCTGTTTCAAACAATAATCCTGAAAATGATCGTAAACTTGTGAATCGTGTTGCGAAGACAAACGAAAAAATTGCTCAAACAGCTCCTTCCACTTCTAGACAGGTTTTCTCTTTAAATAAAATTATCTGATTTCGAATATGAAGTGAAGGTCCACCTCATTATAATTCTCTATTTAAACAATTCGAGCAATCGGCTAAATTTTCTTCCACTTATGTCTTCTATTTTTTATTTCTTCTGACTTCCGCTTTTTAAAATGCAGAAGGACTAGCCCTGATATGTCCTATCTTTAACATGAATAATTTCATTTTTGAATTTTCGGCTCAACGGGCATTTTGTTCAATAAACTTTACCCGTAAATTTTGATCCATGATCGATATCCACATTTGATAAAATTTCCTTATATTTTAGATTTGCCGAGAACGGATTGGACTCTTTAGAAAAAATCTTCCCTAAAATTTCACTAAATTTTTCAAAATTTTTAGAGAGCTGAATCAAAAACCCAAATTCAAGATGTTTTGGCTGCTACACCAATTATTGTTGATGAAAATTATGTTCCGGGTAAATTAACTTTTGTTCGTCGTGATTACAAGAGTAGAGCAGTTCTTGAGAAACTTGCAAAAGAACATGATGACGAGTTTGGAGAGAATGACAATTTAAAGCCTTTTAGTGGAAAGGGACAAACAATTCGTTAAATTTTTTTGATTTTTTTTTAAAAAGGTTGATTGGGTGATTTAAAAAAATTTTTTTGGGTTTATTGACAGATTTGTACACATTGTGCAGTAATAAATTGATAAATATTTTAAATTTTGTTTTTAATTGGGAATGGGAAAAAATGAGAGGAAATAACCCTTTAATTCTTTTTTTTCTTTATTAAAAATATTTTTTTAATTTTATTTTCTAAAGAATAAGTTACATGAATGGCGAGAATAACAAAGAGAAAGAAGGTTAATTTTTTAAAGATGTTATTTTAAATTTCAAAAAAAATTTAGGGGAAGACAGCAAGAGCTTCACGTAGAGGATTGCTTGGTATTTGTGCTACAACAATTGGGAAGAAAAAATCAAAGCAATTTGTAGGGTTTACTTTTATTTTGTTTTATGTATAAAACAGAGGTGTTTCGAAACAAAAAAATCTTCGAAAATCGGAAATCGAAATAAATCCAAAAATATCGAAATCGAAAATATTTTTTAAAATCTTGAAATCGAAAATCGGAAATCGAAAGAAAAATAACCTCGAAAATCGAAAAACGAAAATCGAAAAAAAATTTTTTAATAAAAAAATGAAAAATAAATTTTTGGTACTTATCGGTTATGTTACCACATTTTCTTTCCTTTTATTTCGTTTTCCTCTCCAAAGTTACTTTAACTCTAAGGAATTGGGGAAAACTAATGACTAGAATAGGAGGATAATGGGGGATTTAAGTAAAATCCCCTGATATAGTGAAAGAGCTAGGCCGCTTTACTTAACAGGTTGGGCGGTACAGGCATAAGGTTCCGGCATGGGGGGTGGGCTTCCTACTCCACATTAATTCGAGCAAATCCTACAATATACCGGAGCCGAAACATAATATTGTTTCAGGGATTCCTTTTTTACCGACTGAGTCGAAAATTTTGAGAATTTTGGAACACCAAGTCACCAGAATTCTTCCTTTTTCAGCGCCGCAGGCGAAAATTTTGAAAATTTTGGAGGATCCTTAAGCCAAAAATCTTCCTTTTTCTGCGCCGCAGGCGAAAATTTTTTTAATTTATGATGGCCGATAAGTCAGAATTCCTACTTTTTGGCGCCAAAAATTCAAATTTTTTCAAAAATTCGAAAATCGGAAATCGAAAATCGAAAGGAAAAAAACCTCGAAAATCGAAAAACGAAAATCGAAAATCGAAATTTCGAAACAGCTCTGGTATAAAACCTCAATGTTACCAAGGTTTTCGTAACGGGGACGTTGAAACTATTAACTTAAAATTTTTGGTGGATGGAATGATACAAAATACATATACCACGTAGAGTGTCCGCGAGACGCTTATGCAAATTCCCGCGCTTCGCACGGGGTTTTGAGTCTCTCGGAAGTCAAAAATAATTTTTTCAAGTAACTGTCAATACATATTCACCCTTAATTTAATCAAAAACGCATAGGAGTAACTCAAAAAATTAATTTTCCAATTAATTTCCTTTTTTTCCATTACCTTCAAAAATCTTTAAATTTCAGCAAAAACGTTCTGAAAATCGTGAAAGCAAAGAAGATGAACGCAAATTGGAAAATATTTTGCGTGAAAATGTTTCATTAAAAGAAAAGCCAGCTGAACGACGACCTCCACATTCTTTTATTATTCACATTGGGAAAGTTGGCCCTTTTGTTAGACAACTAGAAAGGGACTTGAGAAGAGTAATGAGTCCACATACTTCTGGGGAATTGAAGGTTTCCTTAAATTTTTAAAATTTTTAAAAAAAATATTTTTTTAAGGTCAAAAAACGAAACAATTTAAAAGATTTTATTGTAAATTCGCAATATTTGGGTGTTTCACATTTACTTATTTTGACGAGATCGGAGTTGTCTGTAAACCTTCGAATTATTAAAAATTCTCAAGGACCAACTTTGCACTTTAAAGGTTTTTTATTTTTATTAAAATATAGTCAGACTTCAATTTTACGCTCACTTTTGGGGCTGGAAAAATTCTTGGGGTATCGTTTCCATTAGATAAGACGGACATCGGTGGCCATCCAAATTTTAAAAAATGTACCTAAAATAGAGGTGTACCTATTATTGGGTGTATGTAAAAAGGAGGTCAAACTATTTTATTTTTTTAGTGGAGAAATATTGCTTGGCCCATGATGTTTTATCAACTCAAAAACGTCCCCCAATTTATGAAGAACTTTTTAAAAATGCGCCTTTACTTGTTATGAAAGGATTAGCTTCAAGTAATGAAAGACATTTACAGTTGGTACAAACTGTTGTGGAAAATATGTTTCCTGAAATTGATGTTGATAGGGTATCTGGAATTTTTTAAATTTTATTTTTTGAAATATAATTAAAATATCATGATGGGATAAATTTGTGTTGGGTGCTAGCTGCTTTTTGATCAAGGGCCCCTTCACTTCAAGCCTAAACCTTCTGGAGATCAACCAATCATGTTATTCAGGATTTTGACCCTACTTTTCCTTTCTAAAGTTGACTGACTAGTCGCTACAATGCCTTATAAATCCCATATTCTCTAGTTTTGGATTTAATTCCTCTTGCCTCTATGTACACAAAAATCGTTTATTGTTAGAAATTAATTCCAACACGAGATAAAATAAAATATCAAAATTCTCTTTTCTTTTAGGTCAAATTGGGAACAATTAGACGAACTCTTCTACTTCATTATGACCCTGAAGAAGGCTTATTTGAACTTAGACATTAGTTTGTGAAATATTTTTTATAAATTTTTAAATTTTTTTAGTTCAATAAAAACAGTTCCAGCAGGTGTTTGTCGCTCAGCAAAAAAATTATTACAAAATAAAGTTCCCGATTTATCAAAATATAAGGACATTAGTGATTTTATGTTAAAGTATTTTTTAAATTTTTTTTTTAAATTAAAAAAATTTTTTTAGGCCTGGACAACTCAGCGATAGTGAATTTGAAGGGGAGCAAGTAGAATTGGAATTAAAACAGGATATTGGAGGAAGAGGGAAAAAAGCTGGGCAGAAGACAAAATTAAGTATTTTTAATAAATTTTTTGAAAGATTTAAAAAAATTTTTTTAAAGGACTAATTGAAATAGGTCCAAGAATGACTTTGCGTTTAACAAAAATTGAGTCGGGAATTAATGATGGAGAAGTTTTGTATCACGCTTTTGTTGAGAAGGATGTGAAAGAACTTGCAGTATTGAGGAAACAAGCACCTCTTTCAAGGTTTTTTTAAACTATTTATGTAATTAGAATATATTTTGAGTGTAGGAAAGTTTTTTTTAATTTTTTCTAAAATAAGAAGAATGGTTTTGGGTTAGTTATTTTTGAAAAAAATATTTGAAAGCCTTGACTTTTTTGGATTTTTTGCGGTTAAGTTTTATGGACAGAAATTTTATAAATATTTATAAGAGGATTCAAGACTTTCTAAAACTGTTTTGTATACGAGGCCATATTTAGAAATGAAATCTACTAGTTTATTTAGAAAAAATCCACAAAAATTAATACGCAAATTTTCTGCAAAAACTTCGAACTAGGAAGTCGGGAGTTTTCTATCAAATGGTACCAAAAAATATACTATATATTCCTTGTTAGTTATCAAATTTCAAAAAAAATTTTTCTGTTAACCATTTTTAAAATTTTTCTCTAAAAATTCTTCCTAAATTTAACTCAAAAAAATTTTTTAAGAAAGAAAAGACTTCGACACGAAAAACAAGTTGAACACGAAACAATTCGTAAAATGCGTGCCCGTTCCGAAAAAGATGCTTATTTTGCTGAACACAAAGATAAAATGGAAAAAGTAATGATTGAACGACAAAGAGAAGTGACCGGGAATTATACTTATGGTGATGAAGATAATGGAAGGGTTGAGGATGTAAGTAAATATATTTTTGGGGGAATTTTGGATGTTTTTTTGGGTAGGCTAGAGTCAAGATAAAATGTCCTAGACCTCTCAAGAACATGAATTTTTGGGTTCCGAAAAATTCTGACTAAAAATGAAAAAATCCGCAAAATTTGTCTGCAAATTTTTATTTTGTCCGCAAAAATAAAAATAGCCATAAAATTAATTTTTTAGGTAGAAGCGGATGACGAATCAGAGGACAAGCCAATAAAAGTAATTAATAAAAAAGTTGGATTATTATCAAAAGGAAGACGGAAGAGATCTACTACAAAAAATAATGTGAATGATAAAGAGGACTCGAGAGAAGAAAGGAAAGAATTAAAAAATGGAAAGAATAAATTTAAAAAAAGGGGTGGAAAAGGAAGTCGATTTAATTAAAAATTCAATTTTTATTTTTTGTTATATTTTGTTTTTTCTTAAATTGAAAGTTTAAAAATTTTTGCAACAATTAGAAGATAAAATTGGTGGTAAACCAAGGATGAGGGCCCCCTCTATCTTTCTTCCCATCTTTTTCTATATTTCTATGGTTTTGGCAATTATGTCAATGGGAAGAAAAATAAAGAGGCCCTCATCCTTGGTTACCCAAAATTGGTCCAGGGGGAAGACTACCCATTTGAAAATCATCCAAAACCCAAGACTGCTAGTATCGTCGAACTCCAAAAATTTTATAAAATTTATTATTGATCTTAAAAATCTTAAAAAGTACAAGAACGTACCAAAAAATAGAAAAACAAGAAATGAATAGAAATTTCACAAAATTATTTCAAAAACAGCAATAATGCTATCAAATATTTTTTTATTTATTTTCCTTCTTTAAATGAGGCCCTTAGCTTTCAATTGATCCAAAAATTCCTGACCAACATATTCAGTAATTGATTTGGAGAAGTCGTCAGTGTTGGGAATTTTTTGGAAACGAACTTTTGGCTCTTTTGGTTGTTTAGTGTCAGAAGTACCTTAAAAATAAGGGAAATGAGATGACTCCTCTTTCTACTTCCCCATAGCTCAAATTCCTCAAAACCTATTTAAACAACCCCTCCCCAAAAAATCAGATTATTTACCCATTTCGTTCTGCGGAAATTCCTCTCTGAACGCCTTATTAGCAAATCCATCGCCAAAGTCAAAAGCGTCCGGATCCAAATTTGGCTCCTCTCTCTTGTTTTGCCAATTTGAGAATTTGCGGTTCTTCTTCTGCTTTGTTTTCGATTCTTGTTGTGGTTGCTTTACATCAGGCTACAAAAAATGAAGGTTAATTTAACACAAAAATACTAGAAACCTCAGCATCCGACTGGCCATCAGAGACTTCCCAAGTAAGAATGGCATCCGGAATTTTCTCATCCGGATCGGGATGTCCACCAGCAGGGCATTTAAGACAACGATGAGGACAAGCTACAGAAAATGAAAATAGTAAATTTTTCTGGAGAAATTTTACTTTTTATTTTTTGCAAATCAGGATGATTGTACATTGGAGCACTCATTATAATTATTTTTAAGATTTGAATAATCAATACTTATCTAAATTGAATAACAATGAAAAAGTTACAGACAAAAAACTAAAAAACCAAAAAGTCAATGTTTCCAGGAAAATTTCCCAAGTAAAGAAATAATCTGCTTTTATAGTAAATTAAATTCAATAATTGGGATAAAAAGTAATTTTCTAGAATATTAAATACACAATGCCAAAATTTGTGGAAATTAAGCGGAATTATTTTCTTTGATTTTAAAGCTCATTTTACCTGAGTTTTAATCATTTTTTAATTAAAAAATTAAAATAATTAGTTAATAATTTATCAAGAACTGTCAGTAATATAGAAAATCTACAAAATTATTAAATAAAAATTAATTAATTTCATTATTCTACAAAAGCTCTATAAGCATAACCCATTCTTTCCCATCTTTTACTTTCATCAAATCCATCTCTCATTTCTGGTTCGCTTGTAATATTTAAATATTTCTCTATATTATCTTCACTCAAAGGATCCCAATGAGGATAAATTTCTGAAGATCCTGCAGGTTCATTTGGATCGCCCCATTTGGCAAAGTTTGTAAAATATCTGTTAAATAGACATTTAAATTTTGGTGTTAAAAGGAATTTTTTAAAAATTTAAAAGGTTCTCTATATATGAAATAAAATCTTTCCTAAAATTCTAATTATGAAGAGGAACTTTTTAGAGTAAGTAGTTTCCAATTGATTTGGGAGAGCCTCTCCTAAACCTCCTCCCCTCATTCCTCCTCCTCCCTCCCCAATCCTTGAAGATACGATTTCCCGTAATCTCCCAGCTCATCCACGCCGTTTGGATTTCCCAATCCCAGACCCTTAGATAAATATCTCAGTGCCTCAATCGAAAAGAGGATTTCCCGAGGAAGCGAAGGAAATGGCAAGGTTTGGAAGTTACCAAAAACTGTCAGAACGTCTGTCCGTTTTAGTCAACTTTATAAAATCAGAAAGGGACACTGTTCCTTCCCAATAGAACCAAAAAATATTTTCTTTTTTCCTCACTTTGTAGTCAACTTCTTAACAGTTTTGTCAGCTTCCGTCCTTCTCCATGGAGTAACAAAAAAATTAATTCCAAAAATATAATTTAATTCATTCCCGTGAGTGCTGGCTTTGAAGGGGAAGAAAGGATTTAAAGACCAAGTACTATCTGAATTGTAATGTTCGAAAATAAAACGCCAAATATGGGATTTGGGTTTTTTCATATTGAGATGACAATAATTTTGTGTGGCTATATTGCTGATTAAATCGCTCATTATCTGTAAAAATAGATTAATTTTGAGTGATGACAGCATTTCATTCCCTTGTGAATAAGTGACTGCACTTCTTGTCACCTTCTTTTAGACTAGAGCCTTTCTAATAGAGAGTGCCTTTCTAATAGAGAGTGCCTTTCTACTTGAAGCATTTCTATTAGAAGGGGCACTTTTCTTCTTATATTTTTGCGGATTTAATAATTTGTCTGCAACTTTTTTTAAAATTGCGGACAATATTTGCGGACAAATTATTTGCGGATAATCCACTTAATCATTAATTTTCTCGTAAGTTCTTTTTTTTCCTCTGTTTAATTTTTGCTCTCAAAAATATAAACCATAAAATTAATTAAATTATTTGGGTGATTAAACTTATTTTTATCGCCGGTTTTTATTTTGCATGAATCATTAACTACAAAGAACGCCCTAAAGAATTTTTATTTTTTTTAATTTTTTCGCGCAACAATTGTGTATACTAATTAATTATCTATCACATTTTATATTCTTTTATTTTAATAAATTATAAAAAAATTTTTTCAAAGTTAGGTTGACATGAGTAAAAGGGGAAGGAAGTTATTTTTATAGAGGACTTTAACCTTTAGGCGTTGGGTATTTGTGGCCTTATAAAATCGTTTAGCAAGAACGTAGAACTTTGAAATTTTGCAGAGATATATTAGATACACTTAATTAACAACTCTAGAAGTTTCAGAATTTTTCGCGAAGTACTTCAAAAGTTATGGAGGAAAAGACTCGAAAACCCCTTGAAAATCCCCATGTATTCGTACCTTTTTAACTATAACTTTTGAAATATAAAATAAAAAATTATGGAATTTTCAGAGAATGTAGCTAACTATATGAGGAATAAAATTGCAAAAATTTATGAGTCTAGGTAATCCTCATCTGAAGTTATATAAAGACGCGCCGTAACACTTTCGCGCCGAAATGCTTATATGCCCCCTACCCATTTTATTAATTATTTTCAGAATTAATTAAGTTTAATTATTTAAACTTACGGTAACACAAGTATTTTGTATTTGTGTTTTATCTTCAAAAATTTTCAATTTCTTTCCCGCTACCATTTTTGGAATATTATAAAGTTGATCAAATTCATCAACTAAAGGAATTAATTTATTAGCTAATTGTTCATTTGGCATTCTTTTTCTTGCTTCTTTTAAGAGAGCACATACTCTATTTTTACAATAATTTAGTAATTTATTATTTGCTCGACGCATTCCTATTGCAACTGTAAAAAAGAAAAAATAATTAATTAACGTTAGTTTAATAGCGGGCTTGGTATTAGGTCTCAAGAAATCCTGGGGTTATAACTTTCTTATTTTTTAACCATTCCAAGTGAATCTTATATCATTCAAAAGCTCTAAGTCTGCTGATCATTTTTTCTAATATGACCTTTCTGAACAACTCATTCCATAAGAAGATATAGCCAGATAACTATAGAGAATCACGACTATCCTCCTTTATTTGGCTATAACTTTTTGTTTAGAGGTCTAATCAGAACGAACCCTTCAGAAAAAATAATCAGCACATTCAGAGCTTTCGAATGTTATTAAATTTATTAGAAAAGGTTTCCACAAACAAAAGTTATGGTTAAAAAAGTTTGACATTTTTATCTAGCCTATGTCTTTCTTGGTTTAGTGCAAACTTCCTAGGTTTTTGCTACCAAATGGCGAAGGTTCGAACCCCTTTGATGGAAAACTATTTTTATTTGTATAATTTTTAATAGTAAAAAGTCCTAGTTGATTAAAAAATTTTTTCATGAATAAAAAATTTTTAACTTACGAAATAAAAGTCCTTCATGTTGACTATGACCACATATCACCGGTTTGCAAACATCTAATTCATCTCTGAGTTCTCTAGGCGATTTGGGCACTAATTCCCCATCAATTACTGGTGATACAGCTAAACGCATTTCGTTAATGATTGTTTGGTCTAAGAGTAGTGTCATTTCTGGAAATAATTTTGTTGAAATTTTTGATATTTTTATTGGATTTTGTTCTCTATGGAGGGGGGGGGGTCCGTAAGGAACCACCTAGAAGGCATATCCAAGGGTTATGCTTTCTCATAGAATTCAATCAAGGGACGACGATTAAGACGGTTCAGTACCCGTGGGTGTTAAAGGGAAGGGAGGTCCTTCTTTCCACTTGCCCCCTCTTCATTCCCTTCTCCAAGAAATTATTTCTCTATTGGATCAAGTATGTATTCCCAACGGTATAATATAATTTTTATTTACCAACCAAATTTCTCAGCTGGCAAAGATCTCAAAAATTTCATCATTTTTTTACTTTTTTCCTCATTCCATTCTTTCCCTCCCTCACTATCAGCATCAACAAAACCAAAATCTTTAGCTCTTTTACGCGTATATTCAGCAATAACATCTTTAGAAGTAACTCCCCAAGTAGTTTCTGTACTTCCTCCAATTATTATCATTTGAGAAAAAAGATTTCTACTTTTTGGACATAAACTCAATAGATCAATTGCTGCCGCTCCAGCAGAATGTCCAAAAAGTGTTATTTTATTTGGATCTCCGCCAAATGAAGAAATATTTTTATTAACCCATTGAAGGGCATATAATTGATCCCACAACCCCATATTGCCGGGGCAGACTCCGTCGTTGCCTGTACAGAGAAATCCGAGAAGTCCGAGGCGGTATTGGAGTGTTACTACAATTACGCCGTGACGTACCAGAGCCCTGAAAAAAATTTTTTGATTAAATTGGGATTGACCTCTATACAATGGACACCCAATAATATAATTTCGACTCTTCTATAGCTATACCCTCTATATAGTGGACACTGTTTTCTGGACTATAAACACCCCTGTGGGTTAAATTGAGATTAACCTCTATACAATGGACACTCAATATAATTTATTGGGATTAACCTCTATACAATGGACACTCAATATAATCTGCACTCTTCTATAGCTATACCCCCTATCTGATGGACGTTGTTTTCTGGACTTTAGACACCCCTATATAGTGTATAATTTTGTCGGTTATAAAGGTGTACATAATATAGAGGACTCTGGGATTAATAGAATCTGACAAAGAACTGACCGTGAGACGAGAGAGTAGTGGTATTTGACTGCTGAATCTATAATAAATCCACCACCATGGATATAGACCTGATAAAAAAATAAAAAATAAATTCAAGTTATTCTTTAAGATCTCCCCAACCCTCTTCATTTTATTAAAAAAATTTACCAACCATAACAGGCCATCCATTCCCAAACTCTGCAGGTTTATTCCAAGAAGGTGTAAAAACATTTAAGTAAAGACAATCCTCCGACTTTCCAACCCCTCCCAATTCTATTCTGTCCCAAATAAAATCTTTTTGAATCGGTCTAGATTTGTATTTACGTGTTGGTAATGCGAGAGGGCCCCAAGGCTCTGGTTCTTCTGGCTTCTGCAAAAAAATATTTTTTATTTATTTATTGGACGCCCTGAGCATGTGTCCGAGCAGCTTATCTCAGCTTTGAAATTTGCCATATCACTATTGTCCTCATCTCGATTAACGAGCTAAAGCTCTGAGATATCCCGGTTTCTAAGAATCTTCTAGGATTGAAGCAACGTTATTTGATATTTTCTAAACTATTAGGGCCCCTTCTGTCTTTGGAACGGGGAGAACCTTCTGAAACTTTTTAGGAGGTTATTCAGTAAAGCTTTATTCTTCTTAGCTAGAATTCTCCTTAGTCTTCCATAAAAGTGAGTTAATGGAACTTTTAGAGTAATTGGACAAAGATTTCCACTTTAGCCCTCCCATCTCACATCCTTGTCTAATTAGAGGCAAAATAACTAGCCAAAAACTATTGGCCTATATTCGCTCACATCCCCCCTTCTAACTATAAATTAACTATACTTTAAATCGAAGTTGTCCAATAGGTGGCTTTGCAAAAGGAATACCCAAAAATACATTAACATATCTCCCATCTTTCATTTGATGTAATTTTCCTTCAACTGGGCCTTTGTCTGTATAAGCATAGGGTAAAGGAAGATAATCTTTTGTAGAGGAAGATGAAAATACTTTTTTGGCAGATATACAAAAAGGATGGGTAAATGAAGGAAAGGAAGAAGAATTAATTGATGTTGTAACCATTTATTAATATTTGTGTTAATTAACTAAAAATTAAAATTGAAAATGATAGGCATAATCAAGCTAAACAAGAGGGACAAATAACCAAATGGACAATTCACCGAAAAATAAAAATAAAAATGCCTGAAGGCAAAAATTTCTGTTAAAGGTGAAAATGTTTTTTAGTCTTAATTAGAGGCAAAATCATAGGCCAAGAACCAATATACAAAAAAAGTTCTGTTATGAGAAAAAATTTTTACTGCCGTTCGGTGAATTGTCTTTTCGGTGAATTGTCGGTTTCAAAATAAGGAAATAATTTTTTGTGAATGAAAAATATAAAGAAATTTAAATAGCTTTTTTAAACTTAATTTCAAAATAAACTATAAAATACGCTGCAGGTGTGGAATATAAAGTTAGTAGTTAGTAATTTTTAAATAGAGGGGCGGGAAGGTAACAGAATTAGTTAATTACATAATTAATTACGTAAAGGACACGAATAAAATAATAAAAAAAATTCGGCAAAATCAGCATGTCAAAGTATTTTTTTGTATTTTTTTATGTTTTTCTATGACATAAATAAAAGAAAAAGAGAAACAAAAAAAATTAATTAATTTGTTTTGCAACATTTTTTAAATATAAAGTGAAGGTGAGGTAACACTAACGGCAATAACTATAATAAAGTCAAAAATTAACCTAGAGACCTGAAATTTTGGGAATAAGTCTTTAAATAGATGAGAAAGCTTTCTTTAAAATTTTAGAATTTTTGGTAAAATATAAATCAAGTTATGGCCGAAAATATTAAAAATTTACTAAAAATTAACCATTTTTTGGAGTTTTTTTCCCATAACTTCTGAAATACTCAACCAAAAATTCTGAAAATTTCAGAATTGTTAATCGATAAGATAAGAAATAATAGGGCAAAATTTAAGCTTTCTAGCTAATCTCCAGTTTAAGTTATACAAGTTCGCGCCCAACGATTCCACGCCAAAACGTCTCTAAATTAATTTTAAAAACATCCGGAATACTTAAAATATAAATAGAAAATAGTTTAAAAAAATATTTTTTAAAAAAGAGATTATAATTTTGTGAATACTTTTTAGTAAAAATATATAATTTTAGTTGTTATAGTTACGTAACATAGAAAGAATTATAAAACAAGAATTGTGTGGGAAAAAAAGTCTGTAGGAGAACACTGTCCCCCCGAGGAAAGAATTTTTTTTAGTTAAATTGGCTAAATATAGAGGAGAGATTATTAAGGAGTGGACTAATATTTATTTAAAAAAAATAAATTGGGATTTAAACGAGAGAAAGAAAATTTTCAAAATTTGGGGATTTGGAGAAGTATGAGGAGGAGCGGAAATGGAATTTTAAAAATATAGGATTATCAGTTGCATGGGCTACTAGAGGTGTGTGTGTGGGAGGGAGAAATAAATTGTGAATTGGGCCTGGAAAACCTAAAAATAAACAGAACAGAGTTAGTCAAGTATGAAGTGTGCCAGTTTCGCCTTTTGCTTTCGTTTTCACCCAATTTCGTCTTTCTTTATGTTTCGCCTTTCGTCCCTTGTCTTTCGCTTCTTTAAAATCAGTTTCGGCACTCTCGTGGTAGTCAACCACCTTTCCTCTATTTTTTTGTTAGATAGAGACCGGACTGGGAGGATTGTACGATTCTCTCGATAACCAAAATTTCTATTCGAGATCTCATCTTGCCCGCTCTTTAGTTTAAAGAAAGTACTTTAAATATACTCTTCACATAATTATTTGACAAAAAAATTTTTTAAATTAAATGTACTTAAAAAATTTTAATTCTGGCCAAGAAGGAAATAAAATAAAATAAAATTTAGAAAATAAACAATTTAAAATCTTGTTTATTCCAAAAGGCAATTATCCCTTCTTTATTGTGGGAGAATTAAATAAAAAGTTTTTTTCACAAACTTTGCCCTCAAAAATAGTCAAAACCTGTTATTTTTCCTCATTTTTAATTTTTCCTTTTTTATTAAATAGAAAAACTTTTTCCAAATAAATTGTAAAATTTGGAAGAAGAATTGTAAAACCTGAAGAGTAAAACTTGAAAAAATTAAAGAATTGTAAAACTTGGAAATTGTAAATTTTGCATATTTGAGAGGGGGCAAAACAAAGCAATATTTACAATTTCCAAGTTTTACAATTCTTTATTTTTCAAGTTTTACAATTTTCCCTCTTAAATGATTACTCGAGGGTGAAACATGAATTACCCAAGTTCGAGCATATACTCGATAATTTACTCTAAATATTAAACAATTTAATTTTGTAAAATAATAATGTTTGGGTGATGTAATTTCTGGTGACTATAAATAATATTTGACCAAGTTAGGTGTATAAAATTATAGAAAAAAAAACGAAAAAATTAATTAAAGGTAAAAACCTAATTAAATATAAATTTAAACAATAAATAAAATTTAGAAAAATATTAAATAATTGTAAATGACCTTTGTAAAGTTGCGCGAGGAAAGGATGAGTAAACTATAAAAAAGGAAAAAAGAATTACGTAAATAGAATTTCTTTGTTCTTTTTTGAAAAATAAAAGTTTAATTTAATTTGTAAGAAAAGGTTGGAAAAATTAAAAAGGAAGAAAGAGAGTTGTAAAACTTGAAAAAAAATTGTAAAAAATTGTAAACTTGACGAGTAAACAAATAAACTTGAAAACTTGAAGATAATTGTAAAAACATTTAAAATTGTAAAAAAAGTTGTAAAAAAGTTTTAAACTTGATGAGTAAATAAAACAAAATTTAAAACTTGAAAAAAATTGTAAAAACATTTAAAAATTGTAAAACTTACAATTCTTCTATTTTCTACAAGTTTTACAATTTTTAAATGTTTTTACAATTTCCTTCAAGTTTTCAATATTGTTTTATTTTACTCTCAAGTTTTAAAACTTTTTTTACAACTTTTTTACAATTTCTTTCCAAGTTTATTTTATTTAACCCCAAGTTTTACAATTCTTCAATTTCTACAAAACTTGGGGGGTAAAATTGTAAAAATACAGAAATAATTGTAAAACTTGTTTTAGAAAATAATCTCTATATAATAAATTACTTAAATATAGCAGTTGTTTAGAAAGTTTTGAAACTTGAATTGTAAAATTGCAAAACTTGAGAAAAATTTAAATAAAATTAAATGTGAATAACCTTGAAATAATCAATGTGTAATTAATTAAAAAAAACTCTTTCGAGAATCTCTCTAAAATTGCATTCCTAATTTCGGTTAAAGATTGCAAAGGGTAAAATTAATTTAATAAATTAATTTTGCATCGTCATTAGAAAAAGGGAGAAAAAAATTTATTTTAAATAAAAGAACATATTTTTGTTGGTAATCGAATAACAAAAATAAATTTAAAAAATAAAATTAAAAATAAATTCTCTGACAATTTACTAAATTAAGATAAACAAAATTTGTTGTAAAAGGTTGTAAATAATATTATTTTGACAAAAATTTTTTTAATTTTGTTTTATAAGTTAACGTAAATGCTAATTATAGTTTCAACAGCTTGTTGGAGGGGGTAATTAATAGAGCGGGTTACCTATTAGAGCAGTTGGCACTTTATTTACACCTTACCAATATTTACTTTTTATACAAATATGACATGGGTCAATTAAAATTTGATGCGAAAATTATACTAGTCCCTTAATGGCAAAGAACGGCAGCCCCCTTAAACGGCGGGAGTACTTCAAATATAAAACCAAAAATTCTAAAATTTTCAGGGAGGTTAGATAACTCTATTGGGGATAACCAAGCAAAATTTCATAATTTTATCTCATCACAAAGTTATTTTATAAGGCGCGAAGTAACGCTACTTCTAGATATTTTAATGTTTTTTATTTAAAAAAATTCAAAAAAAATTATTTTTTATTAATTTATTTGGAATACTAAAAATACAAAAAAAAATATTTAAAAAAATTTAAGTGAAAGACTAGTTATTTTTATTTATTTTTGTGATTATCATCCCTTTCACTATTAAGCATTAAACATTCAACAGGCATTTGCCCACCCTCGGTGGCTGTACAATTTGCACTCCAATGAAAAAGATGACCAAAACTGTTGGGAAAATGATTAAATCATTTAATAACATGAAAAAAAATTTTTATAAAATTTTTAAAATTTTTTTTGAAATTTCAAAAAATTTCAAAATTTTCAAAAAAATTTCAAAAAATTTTTTTCAACCCCCAGACCCCCTTAAGCTTCAAAGCCTAAAAAAATCACATTTCTACATCTACTTAAAGGATTTATTTAATTAAAATCCCTCACGTTCTCGTTGCTAAACACAACCCAGGTTGAGCTACATTTTCACAATAAATACTTGAATTTATTGAATTTAAACAGGAACAAAAAATATCATCACAAAAAGTTTGGTTTAATTGTAATTGATCATAGCAAATGTCGTGTTTTTCACAACAAAGATGAACTAATAGAAAATTAGAGGAAAAAATTTTTTTTTAAATTTAAAAAATATTTTTTCCGGAGTTATAAAAGAAATTTCAAACAGGACAACAGTGTTGCTCCGGAAGTTCCAGTTCCGATAGGCCGGTTCCAGCTCAGGCTAAATTTGCGGTTACGACGCTACACTAGAGGGCAACATCTCATTATTTAAGACCCACAACTTCCCTTAAGGACCATCCATTTTAATTATTTTTGGTGTCATTCTAAAGCTTAGAAGCTGCTAATTATTTATTCTAAAAGGACCATTCGCCCAAAATTATTTAAATAAAATATAAACTTAAATAACTAACAAAATAACGATTATACCAACTCTTTCATTCACAACATTTTAATGAATAGTCTGACCTTAACAGTTCTTTTACTTAAAATAATCCCCACATTTAGAGCTTTCGAATGATACAAAAATCACTCCAAAAGGTTAACTACAAAGAAAGTTAGGGCCAAAAATAGCCTAAAGGTCGTCCAACACAATTGGGACAAAATGTCCCTTTTTGCGAATTTTTAAAAATTAAAAAGATTACTAGATTGTCGATCACAAGTAAGGCTTATAAGACTCGCAGCATAATAAGAAAAAGGTCCACCTCCACAACTAAATTCCCCCTCATCCCTCAAAACATTCAAAATCGTCACAGCCCCACTTGGAGGTAATTCTTTATAAAACAATTCTCCTGGAACAATTAAAAGGATAATTGCAGAGAGAGCAGTTAATGACACAAAAGGGGAAAAATTGGAAAATAAATTGGGGAAATTGGGAGGTTTATTAATTAATTTTGGATTATTTTCTTTTTTTAAGGGAGGGGATTTTGTTGGTGGTGATTTTTGTTGTTCTTTATTTTGTTTCATTAAAAAAACAAAAAATAAATTTTATTGTTTAAAGAGAACAACAAAATTGAGGTATTTAATTAATTAAATAAATAAATAATCTTTTAAAATAAATCAATTTAAATATAAGTATTGTGTTTGATGGTGGTTTTTATTAAAAAATTGATAAGGAAAAAAAATTTTGATAAAAAGGAGGTATTAAGTATTGGACAGAAATTAAGGGAAAATTATAATATTTCTTTAGTAATTAAGGAAAGGTATTAAGTAGAAGGTGGAGGAGGGGAGAGGGAGGGGTATTAAATTTATTAAGAAAATTAAAAATCGTTTTTAAAATTTTTAAATTTAATAGACAAAGAATTTTAAATTAATTTTTAAATTTAAAATCCTTTTGATGTTAATTTGATAAAATTGGGGAGACATAAACAAATCAAAAAATCAACTCAAAAAGTACACAAACAATTTTTGAGAGTAAACAAAAGATTAAATTTACAGTATGGACTAGTTAAAAAGTAAATAAAAATTGTAAAAAGAAACTAATAGATATAATTTTTTAAATTTAAAGTTAGACTTCAAATTTATATTTATTAAGACTGTCTCTGGAATTTTAGGTTAAAAAAATTAAATAAAACACATTCAAATCTTGTTATATTTGTACCCATATGAGGCTGAAAAAATTTTAAATTATAAAAATCCCCCATCTCCTAATCTGTAGTCAACTACATTTAAAAATATTTATAAACTATATTGAGATAAAATTGGATGTATATTAATTACTAGGTACACAATTTAAACGTTAAAAAAACTTAAATTTAGTCTGGATTTATTTTTAAAAAACTTAGGAAATAAGGATTCCTTATCCAAAAATACTATTTTTATTAAAAATTAATTTTTAAATTTCATTTAAAAATTAAATTATTCGTCCAATAAAATTTAATAAAAAGCACTTAATTTTTATTAAAATAATCAAAACCAAAAATTGAAAATAAAAAATAATCTCACGTGAACAAAAATATTAATTAATTAAATTTAATTGTTATAAAAATGACTATCAAAAAATGACAAAAAATAAACCAAAAAGAGAATAGAAATTTTTGTAAAAATTTTTTTTGAAAAAAATAAAAAAAAATAAATTGACAGCTACCTTAACAATCCTCACATGTCATTTTATTATGCAAAAATTGAAAAAAAATAAAAATAAATTTTTTGGAGAAAAATTGTTAATAAAGTTAAAAATAAATTAATTTAGATAAGAAGAAATTTTAAAAAATTGTTGTTTAATCCAAATCCATTGCTCTATTTTTATGTAAATTCCAATGATTTAAGAAAAGAATCTTTAAAAATAAAAAAATATATATTTGTATTTTTTAAAATAAGTTCTAAAGTTTTTTGTTTTTCTTTGAAATTATCAGTTTTTAAATTTTAATCAATTCAGGAAGGCATGTTTGAGAAGGAATAGAGTTAAAATTGCTCAAGAAAATATTAGCCACTCTCTAATTTTTTTTTCAATTTAATTAAAGTTCTCCTACATTAATTTTAGCCATTTCAATATCCACTAATTTAACATTTTCTTCCAAAATTTTAAAATCAATAGCAGCAATTAATAATTGTTTTTTACAATTATTTAATTCTCTTTGGACAGCACTAATTGAAATATCTGTAATTATTGGATCTGACATTGAAACTATTTTAATTCCTGCACATGAATGGTGAAGTTCTATTCCATCTTTGTAAAGTACTTTAGAAAAAAAAATAAAATTTAGGGAAAAGGTAAAGATGGGGGAAGGAGTACTAAATAAGTCCTAATAATAGTAAGATTAAATAGACCCTAAAAAATTGGTAACCCTCACCCCTAGAAATAAGCAAGTTCGATTAAAAAGTTATCAAAATATGACTCAATTAAAGTTGACAGTCTTAAAAGATTTCGCCAACCAAATTTTTTAAACGAGTTGAAGTTGAACCTCGCTGATATGTCGCCCTCGAGACTAAACAGAAAATGATAGGATTGACTTGAGGAAGACGTGACCACAAGGGCGTAGCCAGGGAGCTTGCTATCCCCCGTGAAATCGACCCCCTGGCCATACCCTTACGTGACTAGTTTGAATAAAATTTATCAGCGTATAATTGTGGAAACGTATTAGCGAGCGCTTAATATACAATAATTAAAAAATTCCTAATTTTTTAATAAAATAAAAAAACCCTTACAAAAATCAACACCAAAAGTCAATCCATCCCTTACAATCCAACCAAGCCTTCGAAAATATTTGTAAACAATAAATTTTCTAACAAAAGAAGGACCAAAAATTGAACAAAAATATTCAAAAATTTGTTCATTTTCTTTTGGAATATTTCCATTTATTTTAATTACATTTAATTCGTTTAACTAAAAAATTTAAAAATAATTAATTAATTAAAAAAAATTTTTAAACCAAATAAAAAGCTTCAATAGGTGTTAAATGAAGTAAGCCTCCTCCAGTATTTTTATCTGAAAATTTTTTTTGGAATTTTAAAAATTATTAAATTCGTCGAAAATTAAAAAAAAATTAGAGAGGTGTGTGGACTTATTCTCCGTTAGCCGATAAAAATTTACTTTTTATGATTTGCCGTCGACAACAACAACAATAACGAAAGACTAGACGGCAAACAGTAATATTCATTGTTTACTATTTATAATTCTGGTCAGCCCAAGGATATTTAACCCACACGAGATCAACAATAAGCCAAGAATGTCCTAAAAATCTAACAGTTCCCGACTGTGTTTCCAAAGTTTTAAAGATTCCAGTTTTGGGGAATTATTGCACTCAATGCCAATGTTAATCTGTTGATTTAATGGATGTCTTCTAAAAAACTAATCTTTACTTTTTTGACTTAATTAAATTTAAAAAAATATACCAATCCACTCCTTTGCTTTTTGTTTCGAATCAAAACTTGAATTTTTAACCAAACTTTCTTTACTAGTTCCAGCTTCACACAATTCTTGTTCATCAGAAGAAAAACATTTCCAATTAGCAAAATTCATTCTTTGACCAACAAAAGTTCCAAAATTTCCCTTAAATTAAAAAAATTTAATTTTTCCTCTTAATTATCAAAAAAAAAAACCATAGAAAATATTCGTTGAGCATGTAGAGGTATTTTAACAATAATATCCATTCCATTTAAATCAGCTATATATTTTTCTTCGTTTTCATCTAGTAAGGGTTCAATTATTGGTTTTTGATAATTCTCTTTTACATGTTTTCTCCTTTCAGATTCTAATTTGGGTGAACGACTCTCGTCAGAAATATCTTCCATCGTTAAAATTACTACAAAACAAAATTATTCTTCAGTCAAAGGAAATTTTGAGCGAGAAAATACTAAAGAATACAGGTCATGAGTCCCAGGAGTCGTTTAATATTGACAAGAAATTTTACGACAAAAACGATAGACGAGGAATAGGGTTGGCGGTTCCAGTTTAGAATATCCATAACCGCAAAAAGGCCGGATATCCGAAATCTTCGGTTCAATTGGGAGATTTCCCATGAAACTCCAATGTTAGTGGGAACCAAGAATTGGCAGGATATCCTAAATCTTCAGTTCAATTTGGATTGCCAAGGAACCGCTAACGTTAATGGGGATGGGATCGATGCAATTGACAACATAAAACAATCTATATGGGTAGGGAAGTCCTCTCCTAAATTTTCCTGAGTATATCTTAAAAACATTCTCTATCCCTACTCACAAGATGACACAAAACTAAAATCAGAACAATTGAAAAAATCAACAAATATAAGGAAACTTTTATAGAAACCAAAAAACAATGAGGAAATTTAATTCTTTAAACAAATATAATAATTACCAAACAACAAAAAAGAATCCCAAAAACAACATTTTTAAATCAAATGACAGACATATATTTGCAATAACGATGTGTGGATTTTCTTTTTTTAAATAGTTAACATCTTAAGCCTGCTATTTCTTCTTTCCAGCAGCAGCACCAGCCTTCTGTGCAGATTTGGTAACCTTTCCACCAGCTTCGACCTTCTCGACGGCCTTGATAACACCAACAGCCACAGTCTGACGCATGTCACGAACGGCGAAACGTCCAAGTGGAGCGTAGTCAGTAAAAGCCTCAACACACATTGGCTTGGTTGGAATTAAGTCGACAATACCTAAAATTGATTTTTACTAAAGAAATGAAGTTAAAAGAAAACCAGCATCTCCAGTCTTCAAAGCCTTTGGATTGTCTTCAACCTTCTTTCCAGTTCGACGGTCGACCTTCTCTTTAAGCTCAGCGAACTTAAAGCAATGTGGGCAGTGTGACAGTCAAGAACAGGTGTATAACCAGCAGCAATCTGTCCAGGATGGTTCATGATGATAACTGAAAAAAGGGAAATTAAAACAAAAAATTGATGAACAAGTTAACCCTGAGCAGTGAATTGCTTGGTCTCCTTAGCTGGATCATTCTTGGAGTCAGAAGTGACTGAACCACGTCGAATATCCTTGACGGAGATGTTCTTAACGTTAAATCCAACATTGTCTCCAGGAACAGCTTCAGGAAGAGACTCGTGGTGCATCTCAACAGACTTAACTTCAGTAGAAATTCCTTGCGGTGCAAAGGTAACAACCATTCCAGGCTTAATAATTCCAGTTTCAACACGTCCAACGGGCACAGTTCCAATACCTAAAATAGTTCGTTCAAATCTCTTCAAAGGAAAAACCAAAGCAAACCTCCAATCTTGTAAACGTCTTGAAGTGGGAGTCGAAGTGGCTTGTCAGTAGGCCTACTTGGAGGCAGAATGGCGTCGAGGGCTTCCAACAAAGTCTTACCGCTAGCATTTCCATCCTTCCTTTCAATAGCCCATCCTTTGAACCAAGGCATCTTATCAGACGGCTCCAACATGTTGTCGCCATTAAAGCCAGAAATTGGGACGAAAGCAACGGTTGCAGGGTTGTAACCAATCTTCTTAATAAAGCTGGAGACTTCATTCTTGACTTCCTCAAAACGAGCTTCCGAAAATGGTGGCTCAGTCGTGTCCATCTAAATTTCGATTATACAAGGGCAAGCTAAGAGATAATAAACCTTATTACAGGCAACGATAAGTTGCTTCACTCCCAAAGTCTGAGCGAGAAGAGCATGCTCGCGAGTTTGACCGTTCTTGGAAATTCCAGCCTCGAACTCTCCCGTACCACAAGCAACAACCAAAACAGCACAATCAGCTTGGGATGTACCTAAATTGAGCGTTAAAATCATTCAAGGAGTTAAAAGAAACCAGTAATCATGTTCTTAATGAAGTCACGATGTCCTGGAGCATCAATAATTGTGACGTAGTATTTGGCGGTTTCGAACTTCCAGAGAGCAATGTCGATGGTAATACCACGTTCACGCTCGGCCTTCAACTTGTCCAACACCTAGAATTTTAAAGAGTTGAGGATTCTTAAAGGTTTAGATACCCAAGCATATTTGAACGATCCCTTTCCCATTTCCTGAGCTTCCTTCTCAAACTTCTCAATCGTTCTCTTGTCGATACCACCACATTTGTAGATCAAGTGCCCAGTCGTTGTGGATTTCCCAGAATCGACGTGGCCAATAACCACAATGTTGATATGGATCTTTTCTTTTCCCATTTTTATGAACGAGGTTTATCGGTAAAAATAAAAATTATCTAGAAATGAAAGTGTTAATCAACTTTTATCAAAATAGAAAAACGAAGGTTATTTCGCAATACAAACATCTATTACCAAATTTTTACACACACAAATAACACAACATTAAACGGAATTTATTCATTCAATCAAGGTAAGAGAAATGTAACCAACAACAAAAAAAACTTTACGTTACAGTAAACTTTATCGATTAATTTTTCGAAACGAATGAACATCAAATAATTTGAATTTTATAAAGACGTTTCAGTGCCGATATTTGAGTGTCTGAAATAACAGGATGTTTCGGTGTAGAGCGATTTTTAAATGAGTTTATGGTAAAATTTAGGGATTAAGGTTCTTGTACCTTTGTATTTGGCAGAAATACACAATCAATGATTAAATATTTATTTCGGTTAAAAATATAAAAAATATAATTAATACAAAAAAATTCAGATTTGGCTTATCCATTTATTTATTCTTTTCCTTGTTGTCGTTGCTCTCCTCAAAATGAAGGTATTCTTTAGTATCTGAAAGGTCTTCTGGCATAAATGAATTGGTTAAAAGCTTTTTGTAACTTCCGCGCTTAAAATGAAAAATTATGAGTAAATTTTATGTCAAAATCACTCACAAAGTTGAATGGGTCTGTTCCAAGACATGTGCTATTCTGGTTATTGATGGAAAGTTTAAAAACAAATGGCTGATCGGTGCCAATAACCTGAAAATTAAACGTTAAAAAGATAATAAGGAAAGCTAATACAGCTTTAAACTCATCTCTCGGAATATTTTTGGCAGCGCATTTTGGTAAGAGTGTAAAGTTATTATTTCCATGGGAGAGTTGATTCCCCACAATTTTAATTTCCACAGATCCGTTCTCGCCTTTGGCAGAACTTTTAAGTGCTTAAATTCAATATTTATTTAAAATTGCTAAATTAAATGTACATCCATTCAACGCCTCCAAGCAACTGCAGTTGTTTATGTGGGATAACTTAAAAGCACATTCCTTGTCATTATTTCCATAATTAAGGATATACCTAAGAAATAAAAATTATTAAGAGGAACGAAGGTGGGAGGAGGGTCCCCTCATCTTCTAAGAGGTCCTCATCCTCTAAGAGGTCCTCATCCTCCAAGAGGTCCTCATCCTCTAAGAGGTCCTCATCTTCTAGGAGGTCCTCATTTCTAATGTAAAAATATCTCCTACGCATTGGTAAAGTTGATTTTAGCACAAGAATCATTACAATCCTTTGCTTCACTTCCTTTTTCCAATTTATCCAAGCAATTTGTATCATTTCCTGTTAATGTCAGGTTGTGACGAAATTCGAAACTATCAAATGTAGAGACTCCATACATAGTTAGTGAAGATCCGACATGTTTTTTTCTTAAAAAATATTTAAGAAATTTGTTATTTCTTCGATAATTTTTGTCTCTTTACTTTCCCAAGGCTCCTTCAAAACTTGCCAACAAGGCTAATAACCTCAAATCTTGCCAAATTCTAAAATCCTAAGCCTATCGGTATTCTTAGCTTATTCTACCCTTAGCAAAAGCTCGACGTTTGTCGCTTGATTGCTTCTCATAGGAGTCAACGGTACCTTGGTTTCTACCCTGAAACATAAACTATGATTTGGCAAGCTTTTCGAGTTGGCAAGATGTGCGGACACGCTTTCCCAAATATCCCAACCTCTCTTATATCCCTCACTGAGATAGAAGGAAGATGACACAGAATTTTATTTCAATCCCCAAAAAACTCACAAGTTCGTGTTAAGCACAACGTTCGAATGTATGCCTGCATATTTACTCAACAAATAAGAAAAGCTAGGGGCACATTCTTCATCTCCAGTAATTAATGTTGAAAGTTGGAATTTCGATTGATTACGAAGGAAAACATCCGCTCCCAACAACCAAGGTCCAACCAACTTAGTATCTTCAATTAACAATCCATTAGCAAATTTAACAAATTCTTGATTATATAATTTTCCTTCATTTGGATATATCCCGTTTTCAGAAGCGTTAGGTCCGGTTGCATAAAATCCAGTCAGAAACGTGTTCTTTTCAAACAGACGCATCAACAAACAATTGCCTTCTCCAACACTGTAGGTGAACCTGAAAGGGGAGAAGGTACTATGGAACTTTTCAAGAGTGTTCCGGAAACACCAAATAATTCAACCTTCTGGTCCACCCCGTTAGTTACGTCTATATTGGTTAATTTCCTGGATCGCTCCATCAATTTAGAAAAGTCCTTGATAAAAGTCCACTTACGATTCCTTTAGATAACTGGCTGAAAAGCTAAAATTGCCGCCAGACAAGTATTTAACCAAAAGTCCATGTTTAGGTCCAGCATTATTCCAATAATCGTAGTCCGGTTCGTTCTATATAGTAAAAGATTTTAGGGTTATATATATTATCAAATCACCCCTTTCTTTTTATCAGCATTTTTAGATTTGAGTGATTTATCGGTACATTCCTTAAAAATCGGATCGTTGTTCTTGTTCTTTACAGCATATTTAACAGCAATTCCATCTTTACGTTCAGGATCAAGCTGGCCCACATAACAAACCAAATAACTTAATTAAAAAATTTCTCTACTATCGAATATTTTTATTAATTTAACACTTTATTCAATATTTCTATTAAAATAATTCTGTATGGTCCGGCTTTGTCTCTCTCAAATTCGTATACTCTCTCACTCATATGGCTGTCTATTATCCGGAAAATTATTAAGAATACGTTTATATTTTCTCTGCTACATTGTGTTTTCCGGACAGCTTAAAATAAAACTGTATGGTCCGGCTTTGTCTCTCTCAAATTCGTATACTCTCTCTCTCTCTCTCTCTCTCTCTCTCATATGGCTGACTATTATCCGGAAAATTATTAAGAATACGTTTATATTTTCTCCGCTACATTGTGTTTTCCGGAAAGCTTATTTTCTTGTTTCTTGATAAAATTTAAAAGAATACCCAGCAGTTGAATTTTTGCATTTAGTTTCAGTTTCGTTTTTAGGTTCAGCAGGCGGGCAGAATTGAAAGGCAAAGGGGACTTTTCCTCCATTTAAACGTGGATCCTCTCTAAACAAAATTTGACGAAGAGCAGAAACATCTCCAGTGCCATGAATTGGGGTATAAATTTTAAAATCTCCATTGGGTCCATAATCGGATTCGTTGACTTTTGGATTAGTAATGTTTGTATAATTATTTGGCAATTGGATGATTGGTTCCTCAGAAGTTTCAGAATTTTTCGACTTTTCGGAAGGTTCTTTCTTTTCTTTTTCGGAAGGTTTTTCATTTTTAGGTGACCGAGGCAATCCTGGATGTCCTAAAATAAATATAATGGAATTATTCAGAAGTACGATTGAATATAAGTAAAGATTAACTAAAGTACTTAAAATTCACTTAATTTTAATATTTATTTTAATAACTATGACAATTTTTGCTAGTTTTTTGGCCATAATTTTTGAAATAATAGACCAAGGATTCTAAAATTTTTAGTGGAGTTAGTTGGATCTATTGGGGATATTTGTTCAAAATCTTAAGTTTCTAGGTGTCAATTTATCTATTTCATTAGCACTCGCATGACTCTGGATTACTCAGAACTTTTGGGTAATGCAAGGACATCCGATCGCTTATGAAGTAAAATAAATTGACAACTAGAACCATAAAATTCTGAGTCAGAAGTAGGAGCCTAAAAGGGAGGGAAATTCTGATGTTGGTATATTTTAATTATGAAACTAGAACTTAAATGAACAAACAGGCTTAAATAAACATGAACTTACTTGAAGGAACTTAGATAAACTTAATTAAACTTGACTAAGCTTGAAACTAAACTTAAAAACTTGAAAAAATAAAAAATTTATTCTCAACCATTTTTAGCTATAATTTCTTCACTTTCTCCATTACTCAACCCAAAACTTGAAGCATAAACCAAAATAAAAACATAAAATAACATTTTTTTGGAAAACATTGAAAAGGGAAAGGGAGTTGGATAATTTAATTGAAAAAAGAAAAATAATTTTTTTAAATTAAAAACAAAATGAGAAGAAAATTTTTTAAATGATGATTTTATATATTAAAAATAAATTTATATATAAAATTAAAAAATTTAAAAAATTAAATGAATGATTCATTTTTTGATATATTTAAAGGCCATTCACTTTTCAAAAAAAATGTAGAAAAAAATAAAAAATGCAAAAAAAAGGAAATTAAAACAAAAAAATCTGTTAACTTGTTGAAATATATTTATTTTTGCCGGAAATATTTTTTTTATTAATTATTAAAATTTTAATAAAAATATTAGATCAGATAAAAAAAGAGAAAATATATAGGGGGGTTATTGGATGGAGATATTTTTGTAAAATTTATTTTTTAATACATTAATTTTGTTAAAAAATTAATTTTTCGAACGAAAATAATTTTTATCTGATAATTTATTTTTTAAACAAATTTAATTAAATAATTAAGTAAACAGAAAAAAATAGTTAATTAATAGGGAACGGATATGGATAAAATATGAAAAATATGGACTGAACGCGAAAATATGGATTGATAACACAAAAACGGCCTTGGCAACATATGATAAAACTATGTTTTTCGGACGTTTCAGAACCCAACGGGGCCAGGAAAAAACAGAAATCCATATAAATCCGATCCCTGGTAATTAAAAATAAAATAGAACTAAATTATATACGATATTTTCTGAGAAAATTTATGACTAAAACCTGAAAAAACTGAAATTTTGTAGGAGGAAAGTTCTAAAGCTTTTCGATATGTATACCATTCGATTCGTCTAAGCGAGACGGATTGAATAGTACCACTGCAAGGGTGCGGAAAATTAGAAATAAAGTAAAACCCTTGATACAGGTCCCCAAAAATTGAAATTGTAAAAACACAATGCTTTAAAAAATTGCAAAATTAAGCTTAAAAAATAAGTTTTACTTAAATTAATAATTTAAAAAAATTAAACAAAGTTTCAAAAGACTGAGTTTTGCAAAAATAAATAAATTTTGCAATTAAAACATTTCTTTTAAAAATTGAAAAAAAGTAAGTCAGTCTTTTAAATGTTACAAAACTTGTTAATAATATGTGGGAGTTAATCATAAAGAATAAAATAATTTAAAAAGCTTAAATGTTAAGAAACTTTTTTTTACCAAATATTTTCTGTTACACTTCACAAAATACAATTACACATCCAGTAAATTCTTCTCCTCCAAATTGACCACAATTAAAATTATTTATTGACACAGAAATTGTTGGACGTTCACAATTACTTTTTCCAAATAAACCTAAAAAAATATTTTTAAAATTTTTATAAAATATTTTTAAAAATTTTTGTCAAAAAATTTTTTCTACAAAAACTAAAAAAATTTTTTAAAAAATTTCAAAAAACCTTTGGGAACACAATAAATTCCCTCAAAAATTGGTTTTTCTTCAATTTCATAAAGTTTAGTAATTCTAAGCAAAAATTCATCAATTAAAAGTTGTTGAAAAAGAGGGAAATGTTGAGGGAAGAAATCTGCTGCAGAACGTAAAAATAAACATTCTGAATGTGAAATAAGTTGATTTTGTAATATTTTGGAATAATTAAATTGATCAATTAAATTATCATCAGAATTGAGTGGGAACTGCATTTTTCCAATAGGTGAAGAAGAAAGTAACTGTTGGGGGAAAAATAATTTTTTTTTCAAATTAAAGGAAAAAAATTTCCTAATCTTCTTACAAGGGATATATCTGAAAAAAAGACATTTTTTCATATTAAGGACTAGTGTAAGGAAGGAGGAAAAAATATGATCCCGAAACTCCTTTCAGATACTAGAGTCAACATATCGAACTATGATCAAAAATTGTGTGTTGAGACACACAAACACACACAACATGTTAGAGATGGTCGATAACTTATTGTCAATTTTTGGCCCTTACTCCGAAATTAAAAAATTATAGGGCTTCAAAGGTTGGGTATTTTTGGAGCGGTTGAACCCCCATACTCTACACAATAGTGTGTGCTTCAACGCAAAATTTTTGGTCGTAATACGACATGTTCCCTTGTTAGTTAAAAATATTTCTTTTAAATTTTCTTAATTTAAAAAATAGTTTTTTAAAATTCAAACCAACATATTCTTCATTCATCTCCTTTTCTAAAAATTGTAAAAATTGGCGTTCCATTTCCTCTCGTCTTACAAAATTTTTAATTTCCTTCAGAAAAATTTTAAAAAATTATAAAATAATTTTTCAAAAAATTTTTTCTTTTCCTACTTTGCTAGGTTGAAACAAAGAAACATCATTCTCAACATTTCCATTAAAATAATTTAAATAAAATAATTTATTTCTTCTCATTACAATATTTTTAGGTTGAAGTAATAAAGCATTTTCCACAGATTGACAAGCTTCTCTTCCACGTTTTACTTTAAAAATAAAATTTAAAAACTTTTTTATTTAAATTTTGTTTTTACAATTAAATTGGCAAACATGTAAATGTTCATAATGTGAAAGCAACAAATGTTTTGTAAAACGACCATTGAGAAAACTTTGTTGAGAAATACAGCTTTGTTTGCATTGTAAAACAGAGAGATAAGTTTCTAAATAAGAAAATGTTTGTTTGAGTATTTAAACATTAATAAAACTTGTTTGTTGTAAAACATGAAAAGATAAACTTTGTTCAAAACAAGTTCTATAAACAAGTTTATTTTACCTTAAATAATTGTTTGTAAGTTATCCGAAACAAACTTTGTTCTAAACAAAGTTGCAAAACTAAGTTTTACAAAACAAGTTGCAAAAACAAGTTTTATTTTTAAAAACATGTTTTACAAACAAGTCGCAAAACAAGTTCTATTTTTAAAAGTAATTTTGTTCGTAAGTTTTGCAAAAAGAATGTTACAAAACAAGTTTTACAAATTAAATTAAAACAAATATTAAGCCTACTCGTAATAAAAACACTCCACTCATTCTGCTCATCCCCACCATTAATTTCCTCTTTGTTGTTTAAATATTCACATTCTGACCTACAATCTTCCAAAGCTTCCCAAAATTGTTGTAAAGATTCTTGGAATAAATTAACACAATTTAGCCATTCTTGATTGCTATAAGCATTTACGGCCTTCATATAAAGCTTCTGCAAAATTTATTTTTATTTCTTCAATATAGTTCCATCTTATTTCTCCCAAGGTATTCATAACCTCCAAGATATCCCAAAACTTATTTATTTCCTATTACCAGAGATCCCATATTTATATTTGAAAATATTTTCCTATTAATATATCACAACTTTCCAGTTATCCCAGAGGTTTTAAGTATGGAGTAAGGTAGAAAGGCATGGTATGATTTTAGTAAAGCTACACCTCATGCCGATATTGCCACTCATCAATAAGCATTTCCCGCTCAAATCCAGGCTGTTCCATATAAAAATGTAAATTATTCAAAGTATCATCATCACCCGGATTGGCCACCAAAAAAGTAAAGGCTGACTTGACAGCTTGTTTTAAATCTCCTAACTAAAATTTTTTGGGGAAAAAATTAAAAATATTTTCAAACCTTCCAATAACAAAATTGTAAATAATGAAAAGGTCCACGCTTCTTAAATTCTTCAAATAATTTTTTTGGATTGTTTAAAGACGGCCGTTGATTCGTAAATTTGTCAAGACGACATCTTTAAAATTTTTATAAAATAAATTTAAAAATAAAGGCAAACTTGCTTGAGTAAACAGAGAGCCTGATTGCTTTCATATTGCAAAAATAAAAGTGTTGGGTTCAATTCCTCAACTAATTCTTTAAAATTTGTAAAATCAGCTCCGTATCGGCCACGGCACATTCTAAAAGAAAAATAATTTTTTTTGAAAAACTTGAGGTAAGAATATTGGAAATTAACAAGAACTGATCATTGAAATTGTCAAAAAGAACTGATCATTGGAATTGCTCTTATTTTCCAAAAAAAAAACAAACAAACTTGCCTTCTACACCAGAGAACCTATAAATAAAAAATAACCTTTTAATCAAATCTTTAATAAAAAAACCTCTTGTCGGTAGAAAAGAAAATCTTCAACAGCTTTAAGCATATAAGCCACACAATCGGCCCAATTTCCATTTGTATATTCATTTTTGCCAGATTGATAGAAATGCTCAAAAGACAGGGAAGGATCTTCAGGACTACCTTGTATTGGAATTATAAAAAATAAAATGAAGAAAAATTTGTTAAATATTGAAGGCAAAAAGAATGCCATTCAACAACTAAAAATTAATTTATAGAATTGTTGAAAAAATGAAGGCATAATTAAAAGGAAAAAACTGAAGAGGAAAAAAGAGAAAACTCTGGTCAAAATCTTTTCTAGCAAAAGAAATCGATTATCTAAAAGCGTCGTTCAATCATTACTGCCACTAGTTAAAATAAGTCTGGCCAAAGGATAAAATTCAGTCCATAATATCAACACTAAAAACTCAAAACCTCTGCTTTTTTCCATCACTTAAATATTGTCCTAAGATACAAGATTGTTAAAAGAACTTTCTAAGAGAACTTTTTAGATTCTAGAATTTAAGTGAGGCATTCTTTAAATGAAAAATATGTTTCTCCTAACAGAACTTTTATAGTGTCAGAAACTTATTGAGGCTTGTCGCTAAAAGAAGTACACAAGAAACACTCACAAATTTAAAAATTTAATAAAGAAAAACCTTAAATCTTTTCTGGATCCTTCAATAAATACTTGCCATCAATTCATTAGGCAATTCAGTTGGCTCATCTACAATCGGCAGGAACAATTCACCATCAATTTTTAGATCGTCCTTGTCCAACAACTTTTTCAAATTAGCTACAGGCATATAATTCAACATCTTTTGTTGATTTAATGAAATTGTAATACTTCTCCGAAAATTCTAAAGAAAAAGTTAAAAACGGAAAAAAATATTAACAAAAAAAGTTAAAAAATAGCAAATTAGCCTAGAGATATTTTAAGGCTTCAATAAACAATTTTAACTAAATTATAAAATTTATTTTTACGAATAAATAAATTAAAAAATAATTTTTAAAATACGGCAGAGTAAGAAAAAATCCCCATAATGGAAAATATCAAAAATATTTTTAAACTATTTTTAAATCAAAGAAAGAAATTATTGCTGCAAGAAGGCCATATTTCTCCTAGGACACTATTAAAAGCCGTATTTTTAATAAAAATATTTAAAACTTTTTTCAGCAAAAAAATATTTAAAGAGGTCTATAAAATAAAAGGCAGTCAAAAAAATGAGATTTTAAATAGGTATATCAATACCCGTTATTTTTTCAAAAATCACTACAAGTTTTCTATATATAAAAATCTCCAAACGTCTCAATTCATTCATCAGGCCAAACAAAAGAGGATTGTATAGTCCTATTATTCAATAAATGCAGCGGACGAGGGTACATTAAAGGCGCATTCGAAACATCTCCTCTTGGACCTTTGCGAAGTTCTCGGAGTCTAGCTAATTGTTTTGAAGAAATTGGGATTTTTGAATAACAAACGAGCCAGTTGACCTAAAAATACGAAGTAAATATCACAGAAATTATAAATAACCGTTTCACGATACGGTGCGACAATTTCAGAACCAGAATAAAGCCAAAACCGTTTATCACGAATTGGAAGAAGTTGAGAAGCATCAAATTGTGGGAGTAAAAATTCAGTGCCAGCATATTTAACATGATAAAGAGCATCAATTAATGGAGTGAGATTTTCGTTGTCCTGCTTCGCTTCCTGAAATTTGAGAATATAAATCGAATGACAAAATTAAAAAAAACAAACTATTAAAAAAACTGCAATAAAAAGCGCCCCATCTGGAGATCTCAGAGCATCAGACATATCACCAAATAGAACATTTCTATGCAGAAAATTTAGTTCACCAGCAAATCCCTTTCCTCCGATTTTGTGCTATAATTAATGAAAAATTGTAATAAAGCATAATTGGCACTAGGGTAGAACGAGACCGTTTAATTCGAGGTTTATTTTTCCCTGTGGCAGACTTTTTCCTTCTCTCTTCTCTTTTTTTACCCGCCACAGGGAACAATAATCCAGGTTATTAAACGGTCTCGTCCTACCCTAATTGGCACTTTTAAAAATTAAATGCAATTCTATATGACAAATTTCTGTAAGACCGTAGATTTTGAATTAGTGTTTAATTCAAAATCTACGGTCTTACAGAAATTTTTACAAGTGCCAACTTATAATTTAATTGATTAATATAAATAATATACCAAACTTCCATCTTCTTTACCATTTCCCCAATTTATAAATAATTGTTGAAGTCGGAATTTTTTGTCATTACAGATTATATAAGGAAAATTCGTCACACTTGGGTTTGTCCATCTGACTGACAATCCAACATTTTGAATGTTTTCCATCAGAGCAGTAAATCCTCCGTAGTTTACAATTAACCGTGCGTTTGGCAATATTCCATTATATGCAGTATCTCCACGACAAATGTCAATTGGCGATTTAAAAAAACCCTAAAAATGAGATAAATTAATTTTTAAAAATCAATTACAAATAAAAATGCAACTTAACTAGCAAAAGAATCAATAACGAAAAAAAGAAACAAAATTTCCCCCAATAATTTAGGGAGCACGACATTTGCTTTCTGTTCAAGCAAAAAGTGAAAAAGAAGTAATCGACTTCAAATATACAAAAATTTAATCAAAGTCAACCTGTAAACTATAAGCATTCCCGTTAGGACGAGCACGGCCTCGCAATTCAAAAAGAATTTGGTTTAAGGCTGCCATTTGACGATTTTCTGATGCTGCTATACCTGCAATTAGACGATTTTCTGATGCTGATATACCTGCAATTAGATTATTTTCTGATGCTGCAAGAGCTGCCAATTTACGATTTTGCGATTGCGTGAAGAGGTAAACAAAACCTATATAGCCGATTGCAAATAATGCAACAACAATTGCGAATGGAGCAATGAAAAGACCAATCATCATCAAATTATAACTACTAATTAACTCTGCCTTGGTTCCTCTACACTCACTATATGCTCATTAAAGTCCTAAATTAAGATATTTTTAGTTTCTAAAAAGAATAAAAAAATACAAAAGTAGCAAAATAGCCAAGACAATGATTTTAGGCTTTTAATAAACATTACATCTATTTAATTAAAATTTACTATATATTAAAAAATAAAAAAAAAATTTTAAATATACAAAATTATTAAAAAAAATTTTCTTGTTATTCTTCAATTAAATTGTCTAATTCTTCTTTAAACAAAATATCTTCAATTTTGTCAAAAGATGAATAAAGACTTTCATCTAAACCATTTTCTTGCCAATATTTACGTAAGCAAAGGTATGATTGACGAGCTAAATCTGTCGATATTGGCATAACAATTTCAAAATCTTCAATTTCTTCTACAGGGCTTTCACAGGTATCCAAATTTAGAGCATTTTGAAAAACCTCCCAATTTGTTACATTTTGTATAATGTCGATAATAGGCTCTTCTGTTTCGCTTTTTTCTGTTCTGAACCTGAATAATTTTTTTATTTTTTAATTTTAAAAATTGTTGGAAGTCGAGGAAAAAGTTAATCGAGACCAGAAGACCAAAACAAAATTAACCAAGGGTATATCAAGGAGCTCGAGAAAAGGGACAGAATTGGGAAAGGGATACTTGAAAAAATCATCTTCCCTTGAAATAGGACATAAAATAGGGGATTTAAAAAATAGATGGAAGTCGAGAAAAAAAGTTAAAAATTTTCAGACCTAACTTGTCTTAGAGTTTGAAACTACAAGTATCTAGGATTTAAATAAATTTTAAAATAATGGTATAGCTAGGGGGCAATTCCGGATATAATTAGAAAAAATTGAAGAAAGCTGTTTTTAGAATTCATAACCGAAATTGCGACCAGTCTCTGCAAAACTGGACTAATTCAGAAATTAGGGTCCGTCAGATTAGACAAAATTAAATATAAACCTTATTGAATGTCTTTCCTTAAATTTTTCCATCCATCCATTGCTTGCCTTAAAATTATCAATTCCCATTAAATTAGCCATTTCCATCGCTTTTTCCTTAAATTAAAAATTCAAAAAATTTTTAACAATAAAAAAAACCTTCAATAAAGTTCCAGTAATAACAACATTTTCAGCCCTAACTTGTCTAATCCAATTTAAAAGAGCATCATCAAAATTTGCATGCCTTCCTTTTGTTAAATGTGAACGTTTAATTTTTATTCCATTATTTATTGCAGCAATAATATTTTGTTTGTTTTTAAGAATTGAGTGAATACTTGATTTTTTAAGTAAAATATTAAAATTGCTAAATTCTTCTGCTATTTGTTTTAAAGATGTTTTTGGATTTGCCAAGTAATAATCAATTATTTGCTTTTTTAGTTCAATAGAAATTTTTTGACGTTTTGGAGTTAGATTTGGATTATTGTTCTAAAAAAATGAGATTAATTTTTAAAAAAAAATTAAACAAGGAAATTAAGGGACATGATTTTAGGCTTAAAGTCAAGCGTAAAACAATCATTTTAAGCCCCATCTCCAAAAAATGAAGTTTAACGGGAAGCCCTTAACAATTTTGTGAAAAGTCAAGCCCCACAAACGCTCCTTATCTTCTGATTTTTTTTATTTAATGCTCACGTCCCAAGTGAAAAATTCTTTCAAAGGAAGAAATTTCAATGAAAAAATAACCTGAAAAATTCCTTCAAGCCCAGAATCTTCAAATTGTTGCATATCCACAGCTTCCCCTTCCTCCAACTTTATAATTTTATTGAATGTAATAGCGTGACGTTCTTTAAATCGTGAAAGCCATCCATCACTGGCAGCAAAAGTTGAAGACTCTCCCATCAAAATCTTGGACATTTCCAAGGCTTTTTCCTGAAATTAAAATAAATTTTTTGGGTTTAGCCAGCTTATTGTTAACTACAGAGGAACCCAAATTTAGTAAATTAGTCTGGGTAATTGCTAGGAATATTGGGAAAATTTAAAATTTAATGGTCCCCTATTTTCGTTTCCTCCCAAATTACTTAATTTAATCTCTTGTAACCTAACCACGGACCCTCAAAAACTCCAAAAATGTCAATTCATCAGAGGAATAACCCGACTCAATTAGAAAATAAAACTTTAAATAAAAAACCTTAAGTATCGGTCCGTTAATTGGAATATTATCAGCCTGTTGAAGTCTTACCCACCCAATTAACGCTTCATCCAATTCTTTATTCTTCCCTCCAGTAATTCTTACTCGCTTTATACTTCCACCTTTTCCAATTGCGTTTAAAATGACTTCTTTATTTTTTAAAATTTTTGAAATTGATCTTTTGTCTATATTGAATTTTTGACACAATTCTGAATTTTTTACTCCTCCCTCAGATTCTTCAATAATATTCTTTTTTGTTTCTAAACTTATAGCTTTGCGCTTACAAATATTCATTTTCCTTTAATTAAATCTGAAAATTAAAAAAAATTTTTTTTTAAATTGAACGTCTCTTAAATTGAGAGTTGACTTTATTGATTAAAAAAATATTTAGAGAGAGAAATAACTTTTAAAACAAAAATTCTTATATAGAGACGTTTACTCTTTCTCAATAAAATTTATAAGGGAAGAAAAAAGGAATGTGTGTTTGGGAGAGTTTACAAAATAGAGAGCTAAATTAGAGAGAAAATTAATAAAATGAGAGAGAGAAAATATAAATGTTTGTTCATTCTACAAGGAAGATTGCCCTGCTTTTAAAAGCGTATAATAAAATTGGTAAAAGAAAATCTATAGTAAAGAGTTAATAAAAATTTTAGATAATTTTACGTTATTTTAACCGTTAAAAATTAAAAAAAATTTTTTTTTTTGAAAATATTTTATTTAATTTTCAAGATTCGAAATAATTTAAAAAAAATTTTAAAGTCTTGACGGTAATATTGAAGGGTACAGATCCTCTTTTTCCCTCCCAATTTCCTTCCTATATTTTTACAAAATGGTCGACCTTTTCCCTTTTTTCCATCAAATTTACCTGTTTTTTTCATCTACTTGCACTTGTATAAAATTAAATAATCCTTTGTTTAAGCAGGCAAAAATTAGAAAGGCAAATTGGATGGAAGGAAAAAATCTGACCATTTTGTAAAAATATAAGGGGGAAAATTGGGGAGTAAAAAAGAGAATCTGTACCCTTCAATATTATCGTCTTGTCCAACTTTTAATTAAAAAAATTTGTTTCCCTTTTTATTTATCCACCCAATTGTTGTTGTTGATATTTAATTCGAAAAATAATTGGTTTGAGTAGAGACCCATCAGCTATTAAAAATTCACTGTCTTCTATTACATTTAATTCTTTTAATGTTTTTTCTAAATTTGATTTACTTGTAGCTTCCATTTGTGGAATAAGTGAATTAATTTCATAAAGGAAAGAATCGCTTGTTTTAACTGATGGATTTCGCAAATGACTAAAGAAAAGAGAAAAAAATTTTTTGGAATAATTTTGTATCTACAGGTTTCCAAATTGACCATTTTTTAGCCAAAAATTCGAAAAATGAAGTTAAAAGGAAAATGAGGGTAAAAGATCAAACCCTTTCAGTGTCCCTGTTTTTTTATTAACATTGCCCATCTCCCTCATCAAGGTTTTCCAAGTTTTTACCTCCTAGTTTTAAAACGATGAGGCTTTTTGAACTAAAAATTGAGGTGCCAAAAATCCTTTTTTATAATATGTATTTCTCTGGTTCCAGGTAACATTGTATTTAGATGCCCATCTAATTTCAAAAAAAAAAAATAAAAAAAACCTTACAATTTATTCCTCAACTGTTCAATAAATTCTCCAAGAGTTTGTTCTGCACCTATATGATATGTTAATGTTTGACTTGTTCCACAGACAAAACAATCTGGATCTCTTTCCAAAGGTACTACATTAAAGCATATTCCTTCAACATTTGCAAAATTCAAGTAATTTTGCATTGGAATTGAAGCGCTTAAAAATTAAATTAGATTTATTCCCGAACATAAATTTTCAAAAGCAGGAAAACTATTAAAGTTTAATCAAACACAAGAAAAAACTGCGAATAAAAGAAGAATTGATTCCAGAAAGAATAGGTTCTCCAAGCCAAAGTTCAAAGTGATCCCTTATTTTTACTTACTTTGAAGCCATTTTGAACGCCTCAAGTGCACAACAACCTAATTTGAGAAACAAAATTTACTTTAAAAATTTAAAAATAGACCAGCAATAACAGCATTAGTAGAAGCTACAGCAGGAATAATTCTTTTCAACACTCCTTGTGTTAGACGCAAATCAACACCCAAAATTTCAAATTCATTAGCCCGCTGTTGTGCTTTTCTAAAAGTCCATTCTACGTGTTGGGGATTGTCTGCATCCAATGAAACGCCTAAAAATAAATTTTTAAAATTCTCTAAAAAAATGGATAGAAATACCTTCACCAAAAGGTTTACATTTATCCCATAAAACAACTTTAACATATTCAACACAATGTTCAGGCAATCTGGGGGTATGGGCAATTGTGCATAGAGGGTAATTAACCTATGAATTTATTTAGAAGTTAAAATGTTTTTTTTAATTAAATAAGATTTAGAGTTAAGAGAACGTTGTCTGTTAGTTTGATCAGGAAATTGAATTAACTGAACTTATATGACTAGGAAAGGAAAGAAGAACGGTTTGAAAGGGTAGATGAGGGTCTAGATTTTGGGGAGGATTTGGTTATGCTTAAAAAATAATCAAAATAAAGTTTACAATTTTTAAGAGAAAAATTATTTCAAAACCTGTGGTGTATAAAGATTTATTGTACATTGAATACAAGGCGTGTGGTAGGGCAAAATTACACGGGCACTTCCACTAAAACCTTCAGTCCCGCCGTCAATAAGTGGAATAATTGTGCCTGGCCGTGGCTTGTTTTCTTCGTCAAATTCGACTAGAGAACACTTTAAAATAAAAAAACTTTAAAAAAATTTTTAAAAAATAAACAAAACCACTGTAGCATTTAACCATCTTCGAGCATCAATAGAATCTAGTCCACAAATTATAATTGAAAATTGTCCATAAAAATCAAGTCCTTTATCTTGTATTTTACAATTATGTCTAAATTATTTTTGAAAAAATAATTTGGAATTTTTAAAAATATTTACGCAGTAAGACGACATCCTTTAACACGTCTTCGAACAAATGCGGCAGCTACTTCTGCTTTGTATAAGCCAACATCGTGCTCTCTAAATTTTGAAAAAATTTTTTTCATCATAAAAAGAGGATAAATTTTTATATTTTTCTTGAAAAAATGATTTTTCTTTGAAACAAAAAATGTTTCTCCCAGAAAGGATTCGAACCTGTAACCAAAGAAAGTTTAACACGAATTTTACCAACTAAACTAAAAAATTGGACAGTTTTTCGACGAGAATAAGCGGTTATTTTTGGTTATTTTTAATTAATAAAATACCGAAACAAAAATTGTCTGTTGAGATTTGAAAGGTCAATTGTGTCCATATCAATAACTTCAATATTTCGAAATCCTGATAAGGCCTAGAAATTTAAAAATTAAATTTTAAATAAATTTTCAAAAAAAAATCAACCAAATTTTTCAAAATTTCACATCCAAGCCCGCCAGCACCAACAACCAAAACTGGACATTTCCTTACTCGTTCAAGATTCTATAAATTAAAAAAAATTAAAAGGTAATGAAAATTAAAAGGAATATAAAAAAACCTCCGGGCCGGGAACAAAAGCTGGATGGGCAAATTTGGAAGAACCAATCTCAGTAAATCGACGAACATCTTCCCAACGTTCTAAATCCTTTTCTATTTCTGTAGACATTTTCTAAAGTTAAAAAATGAAAGAAAACAAAAGAAAAAATAATAAAAATTAATTAGAGATCGGAACGGGATCGGGACCCGGTCCCGTTTCCCGGTTTCCCGGTCCTTTTTCCCGGCTTTTTTGAAGATGCCGGGATGAAACCGGGATCGGGAATTCCCGGTTTTCCCGGTTCGGGTCCCGGCCGGTCAATTTTCATTTCCCGTTTCCCGTTCCCGATCCCGGCTTTTTTTGGACCGGGAAACCGGGAAAAATTCTAACAGCTAATTTTAAATATTTTTGCTTGGCGTTTTGATTTTTGACTTAAAAATATTGGATATTTTACAAAAATTCTCAAAATTTTCGCCTGCGGCGCTGAAAACGGAAGAAATTTGGCTGTTTGGCCTTTCAAAATTCTCAAAATTTTCGCGGAAGAATTTGGAACGGAGAAATTTGGAGGTATTATTGTAGGAAAAGTTGAGGGAAATTAGTGTATAGTGCGATTTTATCAAGGGACCTGGTGATTAAGCTATATTTATCCCTCTAAATCCATTAGATCTGCCTTAATCATCTGATATCATTGCCTTCCAATTGAAGAGATTTGAATAGATATCAGGTGATATAGGTGGTTGGAGGTCTTTCTCCATAATCTCTCTTAATGCTCCAAACAAATACTTGAATAACTCGATATCTCTTTTAATCCCTAATATCACTATTGCACAGTGAAGATCAGAGTGGATTTGGAGGGATTAAATAAAGATTAAATTAAAAATTAAATCAGCATCAAGGTGGATTAGGAGGGATTAAAGGAAATTAGATGAGGAATACACATAGGCGATATAAAAAAATTTGAGGAGGCTATCTGGAGATCTTAAATTCCAAAATCTCCTAATATCCATCAATCCTTCTCTAGCCTCTCAAATCCCTTTAGCCCTACGTAATCCGCTTTATGTTTTAATTTAATTTATTGTAATTTACATTTGTTTTATTGATTTATTCTACTGATTTATTAAATTCTTCTATTTATAAATTAGATTTTTCAATAAATAACTACTCCCATAACTTTTTTAAATTTTTAAATGGATTTAAAATTTTTTTTTAATTTCCCGGTTTCCCGGTCCGGGTCCCGGTCATTTTTGACCGGGATGAAACCGGGAACGGGAATTCCCGGTTTTCCCGGTCCGGGTCCCTCCCGGTCGACCTTCAGAACCCGTTTCCCGGTTCCCGGTCCCGGTTTTTTCAAAATTCCGATCTCTAAAATTAATAAAAAAACAATAAAAAAGTAAAAAATTAAATTTAATAAAATAAATACAGAACGCCAAAAATTAATTTTTATTTATTTAAATAGGCGGAAAAAGGTTAATTTAAAAATTACAGGAACTTTCCATAATTGTAAAATTTTAAAACAAGTTTTACATTATTTTTCTCCAGCCTTTTTTTCAACATTCTCTAACTCTACTACTTTTTCTCCAACATTTTCCAACTTTATTTCCAACTTTCTCAAACTCTTCAACTTTTTTATTTCACAATCAGTGTTTTAATAAATGTTGCTAAACAAAGTTTCCTTATGAATAAATTTTAAAATAAAACTTTAATATTTCTAACATTTGTTTTGCTCAAACAACAATAATATTACACTAAATAGGTATATAATTTAATTTTCAAACAATCTTTAAAAGAAATGTGTGGTCTCTTTTTATGTTTTCTTTTATAGTGAGGTAATAAAAGTACAACAATTCTTTATCTCATAAATTTTGTTTTTGCTTTTTGTTGTTTAATAGAAAAGAATTTTCCCCAATTTTATTTAACACACATGTCTACTTTCTCGAAGTAAAATCCATCCAAGCTTCTTCACAAAAATAATTTAAAAATAAAAATTTATTTTCTACTTAATATGAAGTTTTCTGTTTTATTTTTATTTCCATTTTTAATTCTAAATTATTACAAAATTCATTCTATTGAAATTGAACAGTTTAAAGGAGATGATGAAGCTGATAAAGAAAATGATTGGAATAAAAAGGGAAAGGATCCAGAAATTTTGGACGAAGAAAAAGACGAGATTTGGAATATTTTAATGGGTAATTAATGTTTCCTAGGGATATTTGAAATTTTTTTGAATATTAGAATTGGAATCGGACGATTTGGATGAAATGTCCACATATTCTATTGACTCAAATAATTCCTCAATTGATGAAAATAATTCAGAAATTATTTCTGATAAATTAAAAAATAATATAACAACGTTGGCAACCGAAAAAGAACAGAATTTCAATGAGTCCAAACTTTTAAACCCTTCCCCGTCTGAACCAAAAAATTTGTTATCCACACACTTAACAGAAGAAGAATTAAGGTTGCCAGATTCTCTACAACCTTTGAAATATGAAATTAAAATTATTTTTGATTCAGAATTAAATACAATACAAGGACAGGTTTGGAAAGGAAGACATGCTTTAATTAGGGAACTTCATAATATTAACGAAATTTTCTTGAAGAGAATGGTTAATTGGGGGAATTACATACATATAAAATTAAGGCTGTAGTGTAGTGTACCGGTGGTAAAAGTTCGGGACGTGACATATGTCATTCGATTCGTCTCGACGAGCTGAGTCGAACGGTACCACTCCCTACTTTAGGAAATAATTCTGGACCGAGTTATAGGTCCCTGAAATTTGAAAAACCAAAGGGGGGACCAAGCACTTTTTTGGGGTGAAAAATTCGAAAATGCAAATTATACCTCATTCGAAAGAGCTCGTCGAGCTGAGTCGAAAGACACCAAAATCAACAAAATCCGACTTGATATGACAAAGTTATGACCGTTTGTTTTAGCTCCTTACCTATGTCCTTTGTAGAGATTTTTGCTGCTACGGAGGCCCCAAATACGTCCAGAGCAAGGGAGATAGGAATAGGTTTATGTTACGAGCCCAGACCCACCGCCCGTAGACTCCCCGCGAGGCGCGTGCCGCAAAACCCCGCGCGAAGCGCGGGGTTTTGCACAAGCGCCTCGCCGACGCTCCATAGGTTTAGGTTTTTTTGTTTTTTGTATCATAACTTTGTCTAATCTTGTTCAATCACGGTGATTTTGATGTCATTCGACTCAGCTTGTCGAGCTCTTTCGAATGAGCTAACATTTGTGGAATCGAATTTTTGACCATAAAATCCCCCCTATGGTTTTTGACCATTTCGAGCCCTATATCTCGACTCAAACTTGTTCAATCAAGCTGATTTTGGTGTCATTCGACTCAGCTCGACGAGCTCTTTCGAATGAGGTATAATTTGCATTTTCGAATTTTTCACCCCAAAAATGTGCTTGGTCCCCCCTTTGGTTTTTCGATTTTTCGGGACCTATAACTCGGTCCAGAATTATTTCCTAAAGTAGGGAGTGGTACCGTTCGACTCAGCTCGTCGAGACGAATCGAATGACATATGTCACGTCCCGAACTTTTACCACCGGTACACTACACTATATCCAAAATTAACAATATCTACTATAAATTTGAAATTTTTCTTGAATATCCTAAAAAAGTGTCAACTAACTAGTCTAAAAATTTCAGAATTTTTGATTTTGTATTTCAGAAGTTATGGTCAAAAATGCATAATTTTAATGGGAAATCTTTGATTTTTAGCCAGTTCTCGGCCACATCTTAAAAATTATTTCACTAAAAAATTCTGAAATTATTAGAACAGTAAGTTAAGACTATAAGACGTCTCTGTGCAAAATTTTATTTAGATAGGTTCACTCCTGATTATTTTATAAGTGATTGCCCAAGGATTACCTTCCCCCGTATAGAAGACAAAAAATGTAAAAATAAATTTCAAAAAAATTTTTTTCTCAGGTCAAAACAGAATTAAAATGTCTACAAAACACTTCCCTAATTAAATTAAATATAGCTCCAGATTTTGTACAACTTGGCCACGTTCTACTCGAATCTGCCTTTCCAATTAAAAATTTATTTAAATTAACCTCTATTAATACTGACTGGAAACGTCAACAATTAAATTTGGGATTAAACGAAAATTTGGAAATTGGGAATATTTATTATTTAAGTATTTGGTTTAGTTCCAAGTTTTCAAATGATGGAAGGGGTTTAAATCGAAATTATGACAAGGTAGGTGAAAATAAAAATAAAAATTAAAGAGTAAAAGAGGCGTTAATTGTCCCTATGAGAACCTGGGTTGCTTTTTGGAAGTGTAACTCAAGCTACAATAAAATATTCAAAATAATTCTGGTATCATTAAATAGAGAATTAAATTCTCTATAAAACCACAAAAAATCAGAATTTTTAATCTTTTAGAAAAAAAGTTATGGATAAAAATGTAAGCCTAGATTTAGCTGAATTTACCCCTATAATTCTACTTTTACTGGAAATTTGATTAGATTTTTTGAAATAAATTTATAATGTAAAGTCCTCTATGTTATGGACACCTTCTATTAATTACACACTTAACAAACGATTTTCTGTCCTCTGAAGGTCTCCTATAAGAGATAACCTCTAAATAAAGGAAAAACCTCTATTTAGTGAAAAACCTCTAAAAACCTCTATATAGTAGACAATTTTCTTGTTACGATGGTGTACACATTATAACGGTCCGACAAATTAAAAATTTCCAAAAAAATTTCCAGGAAAGAGGTATTTGGATCAATTCTTTATTTGAACCTTCATTTGCCCGTCGCCTCTTCCCCTGTTGGGATGAGCCTCGTTTCCGAACAGCAATTAAATTAGAAATTTGGTTATTAAACAAATTTGCTTCTGAGGGGTTTGAATGGGCAAGTTGATTAAATAAATAATTTTTTATTTTTATTTTCAAGTTATAAAGTACTTTCTGCTACTGACAGTTTTTGTAGGCAATTAAATGGGAATTTGAGTATTTGCAATTTTGAGCCAATTCCTCCTATTCCAACGTTTGAATTTTTTAAAATTTAAAGACGCTCTCAGTTATCACATTCTTAAGGCTATTCATGTCTGCTCGTGATAGCTTAGAGTTTAAGATTAGGTTAGGGAATAAAAAATATAACCATGAAAGTTGTA